AAAAGTTAGAATTACTTTTTTTATTTTGATTTAAATATCAAAACAAATTTAAAAGGATAATAAATTGATTAAATTTGTTTGAAAAGGAAAAATTAAATTGGTGATAGAGTAGCATAAAATATAGGATTAGGTTTGAGTAACTGCACTCAACTTACAAATTTAGATTTTAGGATAGGGTAAATTTAACTTACTTTTTTAATTTAATTAAATAAGCTTAAAATTTATTAAATAATTTAGTTTTTAACTTTAATTAAGCGTGATTATTATTTATAAAAGTGTAAATTAAATTGGGGATGATGGAGCTTCTACTATTGGTATTGCACTTGGTAACTGCAAGTTCCTTACTAATCTCACTTTTGATATTTCGTAAAAAAGAATTTATATTTTTTTATCAATAATTTAAAAAGTTAGAATTACTTTTTTTATTTTGATTTAAATCCCAAAACAAATTTATATAGATAATAAATTGATTAAATTTGTTTGAAAAGGAAAAATTAAATTGGTGATAGAGGAGCATAAAATATAGGATTAGGTTTGAGTAAAATCACTCAACTTACAAATTTAGATTTTAGGATAGGGTAAATTTAACTTACTTTTGTAATTTAATTAAATAAGCTTAAAATTTAGAAAATAAAATGCTTTTACTTCAATTAAACGTGATTATTATTTATAAAAGTGAAAATTAAATTGGGGATGATGGAGCTTCTACTATTGGCATTGTACTTAGTAACTGCAAGTTCCTTAGTAGTCTCACTTTTGATATTTCGTAAAAAAGATTTTACATTTATTTATTGATAACATAAAAAGTTAGAATTACTTTTTTATATTTTGATTTAAATGCCAAAACAAATTTAAATAGTTAATAAATTGATTTATTTTGTTTGAAAAGGAAAAATTAAATTGGTGATAAAGCGGTATAAAATATAGGATTATGCTTAAGTAAATGCTCTTAACTTAAAAATTTAACTTTTATCACAGAGTAAATTTCGTTTATTTTTTTTGAAAAAAATTAAATTAAAGTTTTTAAGATGTTAATTAAAATATCTTTATTTTTTTAGAAATTATGAGGAATTTTTTAAATTAAGTGAAATCATCAACTGTAAAAATATAAAATTATTGAAACTTATAATAAAGTAATTACATTTTTTTTTCATTAGATAATTATAGATAAAATTTTTAATATTTCTAAAAAATAAATTTATATTTATAAAAAGATAATTTCCTTAATAAAGAAAAACAGAAATCAAAAGATTAGCTTAAAAAATAAAAAGGTTAGTTAAATTAAATGTAGATGAAGATTGAATTACTAAAATTAATAATTAAATATTAATTTATTAAAATTACATAATTTATAACTATCAATATATAATTATAATAGTTGTATAATCAATATCTGTTTTAATCTTTAATTCCATATCATAAAAAAGAATTGATTAAATAACATAATTTAATTATCATTTTATAAAATAATTAAAGTATTTAATTTATATGCTTTATAGGATAAAATCTTTCTTTTATATCTACTATATTAACCATTTACAAAATAATAACTGTATTAATTTACTTTTTTAAACTTTAAGTATCTTCAATTAATTAGACTTTACAATTTACATTTTGGTCTAAAATAAATAAGAGCTCCATATTTCATAAATAAGAGAGCTTAATAGAATCTACAATAGATTATTTAATTTATATTTTTCTAATCAATCAAATATTAAGTAGCCAATTATTTTTTGAGAATATTAAATTAAATAATAAGTAATATAAGCTAATAAATATTATTTCGACACATAAAATATTTTTAATTTTAGTTTTTAATTTTTATATGTATTTTTATTTAAATTAATTTAATTTTTTTTGACAAACCAAATAATAATTCATTATTTTTTTTGAGAGTATTAAATAAAATAATCCAATAAATAAAAATTTATTTGGTAAACAAATTAAAATTTTATTACTTTATGTTATGTAAGTTAAAATTATTAAGAATTGAGGAAGTAACAAATATTATTAAATAGATATTCACCAGAAAAAGAACAAACATTAATATTTATTTAATATTTTAATTAACAAACTTGTTAGTTTAACTCCAAAAACAAAATTATTTGTAAATAGGATATTTTTGAACAACTTTAATTTTCAAATCCTATATAAAAAAAAAGTCAATAATTTAATTATATTTGAAGATATTTCTATTTATATTTTTTAAGATATTTAATTAAGTTAATATTAACATATTAAATCTTATAAATTTGATGATTTAATTAAATTTAATGGGATTTAACCAGTTAATTAACAAAAAACAATTAATTAATTCAGTGATCTATATTATTGATTTATAATTAATGAATATCCTAAAAATAAGGAATCTACTTCAATTAAAAAAATATTTATTTTATTCTTTTATATATCAGTTTTGATAATTTTAATTCGATTTATAACTAGCAATTCAAAATAATTGTGTTAAAAACTAACTTTTTCTTTTCTGTAAAAATTATAACCTGCTTTTTAACATCAAATTAAATAAATAAATTATAAATATTTTATTTTTGAAAATGTTTTTAGTATTTTTGAATTATTTATTAATTTTTTTATTGAGTAATAAAATAATGAAAATATCTTTTAGTCTATTTTAAGAATATTAAATTAAAATAATCTTAATGGCGATTATTTTTTTTAGTGTTAAACATATAATTAATTATAAGATTATCTTTGTTCTTTTTTGTTTTTTTGGAAACTAGATATAGAGAAACAAAAGCTCGAAAAATTAAAAGAAATTAATATTTTTATTCGTAATTTGATTTGGTCTATTTTATTTATTTATGTTAAAAATATTAAATTAAAATAATCTTTATAGTGATTCTTTTTTTTAGATTTTAAATAGTTAATTAATTATAAGATTATCTTTGTTTTTTTGGTTATTTTTATAAAAAAGAGAAAGGGAAATAAAATATCTAAAAATGAAAAGAAATTAAGATTTTTATTTACAATTATATTATGCATATTTTATTTATTTAATTGTAGTTGATTAAGAGTATCAGAAAAATTAATGGAATTATTAACTAACTGAAAAAATCTAATAAAATTGTGGTTAAAAAGCTAATTTTCTTTTATTTTTATAGCTTGTTTCTCTTTGTTTAGTTTTCAGAGAAAATGAAAAATAACCAAAAGAACAAACACCAGAAAATTTTATAATTATCTATTTTGCATTTACGAATTAATTTGCAGACTATAATTAAATAATTTATAAATAATAAAATAATCAAAAAATTAGCTTTCAATCAATTTTCAATTATAAATAAAGAAAAACTAGTAAAAGAACAAATAATCCAAAAAAGAAGAAGAAGAAGAAAAAATAAACAAATATAATACAGCAATTAATTTTTTTAATTAATCAATAAATATGGTCTATCAAAAGTTGGATTTATTTTCATCTCAATTTCAATTTAATCTTGGAAATTAGCAAACAAAGAAAGCAACTTTGTTTGGAACATTTTTATCAGTGATTGTTGTTACGACAACTTTAGCCTATTTTGTTTATATGATTAATTAGTATGTGACTAATTAATTGCAGCCAACTTTCAGATAATAGAGCTTTGTGACTGAGGAAAACATTGAACTGGATATAGATTAAAATTTAATTGGATATAAATTTAATTATGGAATGCCTACTCTTGGAAACTAGACTTATTTTATAATTATGGCATTTTTTTTTTAAAAAGATAATAATAATATGACAACACTTCCATTAAACACTATTGAATGCACACATCCTAGTTTAGCTGGTTATTTATGCTTTGATTTCTCTAAATTACCTTACACTAAAATGAATTTTGACTCCAAAAATAATATTTAATCTCAAATAAGAATATTTACATATGGATGCAGAGATATCGACTTTTTAAAAACATAGGAAGGAGTTAACTGCGCTAGCTAGAAGGAAATAGATAGCATGATAAATAACCCTAGTTCTAGCATTACGCTAAAATTATTTACTTCTTAGTATAATACATCCTCTTAGCAGATGACATCAAACTACAGAAATGTTGGAATGCCAACAAATTCCGACTTGAACGTTGTCAGCTAAATAAGAGCTTAAAAGTAAGTAACTAATGTCAAGAAAGGAATCATAATTCAATCACAAAACACTTATATGTCTCCGATTTCATACGATTAACAAACCCTTACTCTGGATAGATAAAAAACATTTCAATTAAATGGTATTAATTCACTTAGTATGATTTATTTGTACCTTGATGAAATGGTTTCAGAAACTGATATTTAATACCTTACTTTACCCTCGATTCTCGCTTCTATAAATAGTATATTCAGTCTTTTAATGGTTCTGGGTTACCTTGGCAGGTCTGTCTCTTCAAAATATATCAAAAAGGATTTCTTTATGCTCTTTTTAAAAAATTTGTTTCTAGAAGACTATTTCCAGATTTTAAAATCAAACAATTTACACAATGAACCCACTCAATAATAAAAAGATTAGCTTTAAGAAATTGAAATGAAATCTAATTAATATGAGATCGAGCTCAAAATCGACAATGAAAGAGAAGAAAATTTCTTTGAATAAGGAACTATACCCGAATTTAACAATAAGCTGAAGAAGTCTTTAGATTTAAGAAAAACCAATACGTTAAATTAATTTAATGTAAACGGAACAATCCTCAATTAATCTATTCCTTTAAAGAAGCAAGAAAATAGTCAAACTCAAATTTAGGATGGAAGATTTTTTTCTATCGAAGAAAACACACTAAATCCAGATTCACCAGCACTTATCCAATAACAATAAAATTAAAGAGGGTCAAATCTTAACATGTTCTCAGATAGTGTTTTGTAATCATCAAACTAAAAAATTTAGGACAATATATCAAAATAATCAAGTCCTAAGTCTGCTTAAAAACCAAGTTTTATAGGATCTAACTTTAAAAAGAATTCAATTAAAAAAGCAACCCTAATAAAGCAAGCAACAAAAACGCAGGAATACAGGAGACAATCAGATGAGTTCGACTTTGCCATCAAGAAGCTTTAAGCGATTTAAGACTCTAAAATATCTAACAAAATATAAAACATGGCTTCGAAAATAGTTTGGTAATATTTACTTTTAAATAAATAAAAAAATAAATGAATTTTAATTATTTTTAAAGTTTTTGTAGAAATAAAAATGCTTCAGAGATAAAAGGCTTGGATAAGAAGAAGTAAGAATTGATCGAGTAATAAGTTATGAAAGATCTGGATATATTGAATTTTATAAGAGACATAATGTTTTTAAAGAAAGCGATCATGCTTATCTTAACTAAAGACTAATACGCAGCTGTTTAGCTTATTGGGCTATCCTCTAATTTTTTAGATTTAAATTTAACTAACTTTAACATCGACTAAATGCAGCTAGGTAAAATATTATTGATTGATCGTTTAAGTTATTATTAATGAATGTTTAATTAATAAATAATAAAAAGAGAGCAATTTCAGTCCTTACGAATCTTAGTTTATTATAGCTTAATCAAAAGAACTACAAGAGTAATATCTTAAAAACTTCTTGGTTAGGTGTTCTGATGAAAAAGAAGAAATGAGTAATTTAGATAAAAGAATTTTTTAATCATTTAAAAAAATATGCTGTAAATGAAATAGTAAAAAAATTAAATTTATTTATTTACAAGTGCTTTTTCATTTACTTTATAAGGAAAAATACACATTCCCAAAAAAACTATTTATTTCTTTCATAGAAAAAAGTAAAAAAATCAATTAATTATTTTATTCTCAAAAATGAAAATAGACATTAAACACATAATATTTAAAAATATTTTAGTAAATAAATTTATGCTCATAAATTACATCAAAAAATTTGTTATTGTATTCTTCTTTTTATTCAAAATTGTGATCAAGTTTATTTTGAAAAATATTTCATATTTAAAAATCCTTCATTAAAATAAATTTTATATTGGCTAGGCAATATTAATTTAAATTTCATAGTGAGTGAGTGATTTGATAAAACGAATTTTAATTTGGCTTGTACTTGCCTCTAATACATGAAAAAAATATTTATGTTACGCTTGTAAAAATTTGAATAAACATAAATTATAATTTGAAGTTAGTTTTGATTTTTAATAGCTTCAATAATACAGATAATTATTTATTATTTACAGATAATATATATAAATAAGGTTAATGTCAAGATTTTTTATGTTATTTGTCAAAAAAAACTTGATTAAAAAAAATATTTGTCCAATCTTGATTAATAAGAATTTTTGGTCTTGTAAATTTATAGGTAAGAAATAGATTAATAATTAGCGAAGCAATTAAAAATATTGATTAATTGGTTAGTTATGGAATTTATCAATTGAGAATCTTTAACATAGATAAATTTATAATTATCTATTTGGTATTTATGACTTGCTGCAATATAAATTAATAAATAATTGTGATATCAACCAATCAACCAACTAATCAATCGACTGTTCGTTCATTAAGTTTCTTAATATCTTTAATTCTTAAGAAAGAAAAAAAATTAAAAGAGCAAATAAATAAATAAAGAAGTTAATTAGACATTTAATATTAATATGTTAATTTAAAATCTAGATTTGTTTTCCTAACATTTTTAATTTAACTTTGGTCATAAACAAACAAAGAAGGCTACTTTATTTGGAAGCTTTTTGTCGGTTATTGTTGTTGTGACTGCACTTGCTTATTTCATTTATATGATAAATGAGTATGCGACTAATTAGTTATAGCCGAATTTTAAATAGCAAAGCTTTGTGAGCGAACAAAATATTGAATTAGATATCAAAAATGATTTAGTTGGATATAAATTTAATTATGGAAATCCTTAGCTGAAAAATTAGAATTATTTTGTTGTTCTTGCATTTTTCGCTTAAAAAGTTAACAATAATTCTACTATAATTCCATTAAATACGATTGAATGTAGTCATCCTAGTTTAGCTGGTTATATGTGCTTTGATTTTTCTAATTTACCTTACACTAAAATTAACTTTGACTCCAAAAATAATATTTAATCTTAAATAAGAATCTTTACTTATGGTTGCAGGGATATTGATTTTTTAAAAACGCAAGAAGGAGTCAACTGCGCTAGCTAGAAGGACATTGATAGTATGATAGATAACTACAGTTCTAGTATTTCATTAAAGTTATTTACTTCTTAGTATAACACAACATCCTAACAGATGTAAACTAACTATAGAAACTTAGGAATGCCAACAAATTCCAATCTCAATGTAATCAGCTAAATAAAGGCTTAAAAGCAAGTTACTTCTGTCAAAGAAGGAGTCTTTGTTCAATCATAGAGTACTTACACCTCTCCTATTTCATACGATTAATAGACGCTTACTCTTGATAGAAAGAATACACTCTAATAGAGTGGTATTGGATCTTTTAGTATGATCTACTTGTATCTTGATGAATTAGTATTCGAAACAGATATTTAGTTTCTAACTTTACCTTCGATTCTTGCTAATATTAACAGTATATTTAGTCTTTTAATGATTTTAGGCTATTTTGGAAGGGCTATCTCCTTAAAATATATCCAAAAGGATTTCTTTATGCTTTTCTTAAAAAATTTGTTTATGGAAGATTATTTGCACATTTTAAAATCTAACAATTTACATGTTGAAATTGATTAACAGTAATAAAAGCAATTTTAAAAAATTGAATTAAGATCTAATTAAGATGAAATTGAATTCAAAATTGATTACGAAAGAGAAGAAAACTTCTTTGAATCTGCAATGATTCCAGAATTTAGCAATAAACCGAAAAAGTCCCTTGACTTAAAAAAGGCAACTACTGATACATAAAATTATTTAAATAACAAAGGAACACCATTCAATTAATCAATCATTCAAAAGAAGCAAGATAATAGTACTCAAACTTAGTTATAGCAAGAAGTCAGATTTTTTTCTGTATAAGAAAATACATTTAATCCAGAATCACCAAATCAAACTCTTTAGCAGATGCATCAAAAAAGCTCTAATTTTAGCAATGTATTCTTAGATTCTGGATTTTAGTCATCAGCTTAAAAAATATATGACCATTCATCCAAACAGACAAGTCCTAAATCTGCTTTAAAGCGAAACATAATTTAACCTAATTTTAAAAATAATACAATTAATCAATCGATCCTAACAAAAGAAGCCTCATAAGCATAAAAACAAAGAAAAGAATCTGATTAATATGAATTTGCTGTTAAGAAGCTGAAAATAATTTAAGATTCAAAAATATCTTCAAAGATATATACAATGGCTTCGAAGTTTGTTTGGTAAAATTTCTTTTGAAAAAATTATTTAAAATAAAACAAAAAGTGATATAAAATAATTTTATTTATAAAGTTTTTGCAGAAACTAAGCAGCACCTTAGATTAATGGTTTGGATAGATAGAAGTAGGAGTTTATTGAGTAACAAATTATGAAAGATCTGAACATAATTAATTTTATCAAAGACATAATATTCTTAAAAAAGGCAATAATGCTTATGTTAACTAAAGACTAACATGCTGCCATTTAGTTAATTGGACTTTCATCTAAATTTACAAATTTAAATAATCTAACTAACTTTGAAATAAGCAATGCACAGTTAGGTAAAACATTTCATAATATAATTTAATAATCATGAATTATTTTTAAAATTTATAATAGAGAATGACTTTAGTCCTTACGAATCTCAGTTTATAATTGCATAATCTAAAGAATTACAAGAGCGCTACCTTCAAAGCTTCCTACTCAGGTGTTCAGATGAGTAAGAAGAAATGAGCAATTTAGATTTAAAAATTTTTAAATCATTAAAAAAAATATGTTGTTTATGATACGATGATCATATTTCTCAAGTTATAGACTTATCAACCAACACACACTTTTGATATTAATTACAAGTATTACCTTTAAAATTTTCTTCTTCAAAACTCATTTCAAGTGCAATAAATTGCAAGGATTTGATTGTAAGTAAGAAAGGATCTAACTAATAAAATTAATTATTACTGATAATTTTTAAATTAGTACATTAATCACTAGACAAAGTTTTTCGAAATAGATATTTTCTATCACAAATAATGTTAATTGTTTGTTTTAATGAATAAATATCAAAATGAAAATAAAGAATAATAAGAATTTATATTTTTCTATTTTCAATAATGTAATTTATTTATTTACTTATTCTTGTATTTTTATTTATAAAATAACTAATTGATTTAAATATAAAACAATAATAAAGAAAAAATATTTATCTTACATACCACTTAAATCATTTTATGTTTTATAAAGCAAAAAAATACATAAAATATTGGATTACATTTTGATTGTTATTGTGGGGATTAAAGACAAACACTCTTGCTATTTGAAAATTTTATTTTTTGATTGAAGATTAAAAAATGTGAAAATTATTAAAGTGTATTTATATTATTTAAATGTCCATCCATTCATTATTTCCTTTTAAAAGTTAATTTTCTTTTTATTATTGTTAATTGATCTACACTAAAAGAATTAGATTCAATTGATATTTATTTATCTTTTTAACTTTTTAAATTAACCAAAATAAGACATTATTGATTTATGATAATTAATAATTCATCAACCTTTTTCATAGAGATATGAGATAATATATGAATTATTTTAAATAGATATTAAATAATTTTTAAAATTTTAGAAACCAAAAGATTTTTAACATAAATCCATTAAAATATTCAATAATTTATTAAAGAAGAAAAAATTTGATTTGATCAATTTTGTTTATAAATAAGAAACGATTACTAAATGTATTGATTAAATCAAATTTTCTTTTGTTAATACATTCTTCATTAGTTCTTAATTATTTTAACAAAATAATAATTAGATTAGATAACATATTTTAAAATAATATAGCCAAATATCCTTAAACGAGGCTTAATTAAATAAATATTTAAAAAAATAATAAAATAAATTAAGCTATCATAAAAATTTACCTTTTAATTCTTTAGATAGATTTCTAATTATTTAAATATATTTTCTTTCTGTCTTTAAACATATGCAAATATTCATTTACTTATTTATGAATATATTCATTAATTTATTTATTTTAGTTTATAGTTTTCATTTAAATTTTACTAAAATATCAATAATTTATTTGTTATGAAATAAAAATTATTTTAAAATCAATGATATTTAATAAATTATTTAGAAACCTATTTTATAAAATGATTTTATAATCAATTAATTTATAGAAATAGAAGCTTATTTGATAAAATTATAATATTTGCTTTGAAGGTATCCTACAATTGATTGATAGAATGATAAACAAACTTTTCTTATTATAAATAAATAAATTGATTGATTTTTTTATGTTTATTTATGGAAGATTGAATAAATATGTCATCATAAATCTTTTAGAGTAAAGAATTATTAGATATATAAAGTTTGTTTATTTGCATTCATTCTAAATAGAAATATCAATTCTTATTTATTCTTTAGAATTTGTAAATAGTTTAAAAAAACCTTTAATTTTTAAAGTTAGTCTAGTTAGCAAGCAAATAAAAATGAATTACGATCCAGATGATGATGAAATAGACGTCTTTTTAGATAGCAGAGACTTTGCAAAAAAAGTCTTAAATTATCAAGGTGTTACAGTTGTAGAGTTTTATGCGACTTGGTGTCCACCTTGCTGCCAGTTTTAGCTGATTAAAAAAGAGTATCTTCCTCTTCGAAAAAATAGGAATTATTACAATTGGTACAAAATAGATATTGAAAAGAATTTGGAATTTGCAAAGGGATTTGAGTTAGAGGGAGTTCCTTCTGTATTCTTGTTTTATAAAGGATAAATTATTGACCGCTTTGTAGGTCTTGATCTAAAAGGATTCGATCGTATCAAATAAACTGCATTACAATTAGCCTCATAACCAATACATAGCAACAATTCTTTCGAATGAACAGTTCTTCAACCAATAAATAAATATTTATAGTTTAAACAATAGCAATATAAATTAATGAACGAATTAGTAAACAAATAATATCCAATAAATCATAAATATATTATATAATATTTAAATATAAAAATACACTTTCTTGTATAATTAATTACTCTCTTTAAGTTTCCATAATCTTCTTTTTATAACTTTTAAACCATATATTCTTTTATTTTTTTGTAAATCATTTATCTTCTTTGCTTATAAAAAATGGTAAAAAAGACATTAAACAAGAATCAATAAACAGTTAGATCATTGAATTGTATAATTATCAAAAACATATTTAACGCAAATAAATACTTAACTATTTTTTGCAAATTTATATTATTTATAGGATACAAAAAGTTTTTTAATTAGATGGTTACTGTAATTTTTTCAATTAAAAGTCACAGATCCCTGCAATTATTATTCAAAGAGTTTTTTTTATAGTTTTTTTAGTATTTATTTTAGATATAAATAAATTGCATTTACTTTCGAAGAGATTTGTTATATAAATAATTTATATATTATTAAAAAATCTAGTTTCTATTTAGAAGTTGGTTGATTTAATAATTTAAATTGAAATTTTATTGATTGATTGATTTTTTTATTAATTAGTATTAAAATAACTTAATTAATTATTTGTTAATTTTGTGGTACTTTATTTGTTTATTTCTACATTCTTTTTTTTATCAAACTCTTCTGTTTAATTATTTTTAAAACTTAGATGCATTTTATCACTAATTCATCCATGTTTCTTCCATGAATCGATTGATTTAATCATTCAACAATTACATTTTAATCTTACTAATTTTCATCATCTGCATCTTCGGCTATAAAACTTTTAGCAATATATTTAATGAAAAGAAAGGATCCTCTTTTAAAGTTGACTTTGTTAGACTGAGTACTTAAAGAGAGATTATTATTACATACGAAGACAGAATGTCTTTTGAATTTGTGGCTGCTAAATTGTGGTGTTGTGAGCTCTTCTTTATCAATTTTTTGTTCCTATAAATGAAAATAAGCTCAGATAAAATTGTAATTAAAAAAATTATTTGATTTTTTTTACAAGCCATTCATGTTTGAGCGCTTTTTCTACTGTGATTCTTTTTTCAGGGTCTTTTTAAAGCATTTATTACAATAAATTTATTGCACTGGGATCTATTTATTTATATTCAGTAAAATCCAGCTCTTTTTCACAAATATTTCTGATTGATGATAATTCGTAGCCGCTAGTAGTTTATTATTAAATATTTTAGCTTAATCATAATATGTTTTGTATCAAATTACTTCTCATCTACAAACGGATTATAGCCTAAAAATGTTGTTAGAATAGTTATTCCTACTCCCCAAACATCTACAGATTTGTCATACACCTTTCCTTACAGTACTTCAGGTGCCATATATACTATGTTACCATTTTAGCTATACATTTTGCCATTAACAAGACAATTCCCTAAATCTTTCGAGATAGAAAAATCTATTAATTTGATACTACCTTGGTTATAAAAAATGTTGTTAGGTGTTATATCTCTATGGCAGATATGATTAAGATGGAGATAATTCAGAGTCTGCAAAAGCGATTTTGTAATTTATGACATTTTGTAGTCTATATTTGATACATTAATATAATAGATTTAACATTAATTGAGAAATTAATAATAAAATGAACTATGAAACTCTCTTAAAAGTAAATAAATAGATGTAAAGGATAAGATAAATTGATTGATTAATCAATTATAAATTAATTCATTGATAATTTCCTTCATTTATTTAATTGAGTTTCAAAATTAAAAAAATTACTTGTAAATATATAGCTATCCACAGTGCATTAGCTAAGAGTCAAACCTTCTGCTTTTTCCATGATTATATAGCAAGTCTTTTTTGTAGTGTCTATGTAAAATCCATGGTTTTTGATAATATTTGGATGGTTTAATCCAGAAAGTATCCTCCCTTCTTAAATTATCTTGTTTTATAATTAATTTAATATTGTTTTTCAACTTCTATTCGATATTTTGGAACATTAAATGAACAAAATCAGCCTATTTATTTTTTGTTTCTTACAATCTCTATTAATTTTTGAGTCCAGTTAATTAATTGGATAAATCGATTGATAGATACAGAAATATAATGGATTCAAATAAATCAAATTTATTCAATTTAAATTAGGCTGTTTTTCATAGTAAATTGAACTATGCAATATAAAATATTTATTGTGAAAAGGTTAATAAATTAATTTTTACACTAAAAACTCTTTCTGTGTCTGAATATTTTATTATCTTTACGACTAAAAGCTATCCACTCTTTTTATTTCTACATTATTTAACTACTGAGCTGCCACCCTTTAATTCATATAAAAATTGTTAAATTGTTGAATGAATGGTAAGTATATTTCTAAAGAAATTTACTTCTCCTATTTTTTCTAGTATTTCATAATTCTGATAAAACTCAATAGCAGTCGAAAAGTTTTCTTTCTTATTCATTTTACTGTTTTTAAATCTACTTTATCTAGAGTCTCCTATATTAATTGATAGATTTTTAGCTCTATTGCCTGAAAATGGTCTTCTTTCAATGAAAGTCTGATGTTTAGCTCTTATTTTAGGGTTTATTTCTTCTTACGAGCTATCTAAACTTTCTAACACGTAGCTTGATACTGGAAAAGGTCTGTTTTTCCTAATATTCTATAAAGAGTTCATTATTTATAAAAGCTAAAAAGGCTTTCAATCAACTAATCTATTATTATTATTATTATTATTTGTTAATATCAATAGATTTAAAAATTAAAAAACAATAATCTTTTATCTGAAGCTCTTAATATTTTTAATTGATATCTAATTAAATTTATTATCTTCGCATACATGTTTGTTTATTTTAAGTAAATATTTCTCCATTAAACTAATAAGCTTATTTCAAAGAGCTAACTTGTGCCAATCAATACACATATAAATTATTATATCAACGGCATTTTTATCTTAAATAGTCAAAAAATAGTCAATATGACAAATATAAATTTCTTTAATGAACTTTAAATTTTTATATAAAAAAGTATGAATCAAAAACTATTTTATAGATAAATTTATTCACAATAATTAAGTTAAAAATGATTTTCATTTCTTTTTGAATGGGATTTTCTGCTATATATTTTGCTTTTATTTATTTACTGTTTATTAATTTATTTGTTCTTAATAAATTATTAAAGCTTCTATTGATATTTTCTTTACGAAATTACTTATTACAGCCATGATTTAATTTAATTTAATCATTTAGAATACCAAATTTCAATATTTTGAAATTTGGATTTATGATTGATTTCTTACAAACTAACAAATTCATATTCTCTTTACAAATAAATTAATATTAATCGTAATTTAAATAATTATTAACTGATCAAATTACTAATAAGCCATAACATTTCTAATCTATAACTTAATAAATATCATTTTATTTTTGGATTAAATCATTTCCAAAAAAATTAATCCTCTCCTCTTCATCACTTTTAATCTTGCCAAGATTAGAGAAATTGTGATAATTATTAAAATGTAAATTATTTTTTAAAAACTTAACCAATGCTTATCTCCTCTCATTCAAAATTTCTTAAAATAGATATCAAACACATTATTCCACTTTATAAAAAAATTAAAAATATTAATTAATTAAATGAAAACATTTATTTTAATTTCATTTTACTTATTTTTTTAAAAAATACTTCTTAATTTAAATTAACTATTTTAATTGTTTTGGTTGGTATTTATACATTAAAATTTGACTTTTGCATTTAAAATATTTGATTAGTTTATTTAAAATATCTATCTAAATTCATTTGAAGCCAATTTGTAACTAATTTATAAAATAAATGAAATTTATGTAAGAAATTATTTATATTGTAAATAAAGATCAGATTGAATTTATAAAAATTTCAAGCTTTGCATAAATTATAAGCATCTTAATCAAATATCATAATTGATTTATTAATAAATATCTCATTTACAATTACCACAAATTCTTCTCCTTTTTCTTCTTGAATTAATATTTATTTGAAGCCAATTAGTAAATAATAAGTAAAATAAAGTCAATAAATGTAAGAATAATTTATGTGAATAAAGATTTGCTTGGGATTTTGATAGTAAGACAGAATATATAAAAATATTCAAGCCTTGCATAAATTATAAATAACATAATCAAATGCTATAATTAACTAAAAAATATCTCATTAACTATTACCACTATTTTTCTTTATCTTGAACATCTAAGTTTATGTTTATTAATAAATAATTAATTAAATAACTTTACATATTCAAATAGTCATTTAGTTAGTTAATCAATTAATTAAGCTAATATTTAGTTATTATAGTTGCATAGCCTTGTCAAAAGTGAGTTGTTATTGTAAGCAGATATAAAAATTTTGTTAAGGGAAGAGAGGAATTAGAATTGATTTCATTTTATACAAACGTTAAAATACAAAAAATCCATTTAAAGAGTTTGCCGAATGAATAAAAACCGTATAAAGGAATAAATATCTCCAACTTAAAGATTAAATAATATGGCTAGTAATGAAGCGAGAGCTGAGTCTAATAATAACAGTGTTTTAAATATTAGTGAGAGGAATGACTCTAGGACAGATTTTCTATTTAGAAAAGGATTTTTGAGAAATAGAAAGCTTGATGATAATTTATAATACAGTAATTCCTTTTAAAGCTAGTTTGATTATGATAAATAGTAATAAAAATTGCTCTAACCAGCAATTGATTAAAGCATTTAAAGTAGAGTTGAAGATGATGATCTTTAAGCTGATCCACCAAAATAGATTTCTCAATTTATGAGACTTGAGAGCAATAATTCAGAAAACATTACTCTTACTCAGCAGTAAATGAGCAATAAGAAAACAAACTCATATTCAATATTTGCTACTGGTAGAAAAATTAACAAAGTTCATTCTTTAGAAAAAAGCAACACTGTACTGACCTAAGAAAAAAATCAATAGTCTCTTAATATTTATAATTTAGCTAAAAGAGATAGCAATGACTTTTAAAGGGAGAATATCATTCCAATTATTCCTTAATTTTAGAAGTAAAAGAATAAGTTTTTTTCTTTGTTCAGCAACAACTTTTTAGACAAGAGCGAAACAAGCTCTTCGATAAATCCTAGGAAATCTGGATTTAGGTGGAATATAGTTTCTAAATTTGAAAATGTTCTCTCTTTTATTAATATTCTGAGGAATAATTCTACTATGCAAGAAAGTTTTAGGAGCTTAAACTAAAAGCATTACGAGCTGATTGGAGATAAATCAGATATTAATGTAGAATTCAAGTCTGCTTTTTCAGGAAAAATGAAATACCTATTTGATAGAACTATTAATTAGATTCCAATATTTTCTCCTGAGTCACATGGGATTATTTTTTGGAACTTCTTAAACTGTGTGTGCATATTGGTTTAATTTGTTGCTATTCCCTTAAAAATATCTTTCTTTATTGAATTTTAAGGTTTTTTGAGCTAATTTTTTCTATTTTACATCCATGCATTCATATTCGTTTTCGAAATTGTTATTCGCTTTAATGTTAGTTATTATGAATAAGGTATTTTAGTGTAGAGTCGCTTCAAAATCATTTAAAATTACATGTTTAAAACCTACTTTTTTTGGCTAGACTTGATAACAACTGTGATATTTTTAGGAAGCAAGGAGAGTAACAGCCCATTTTTAATTACAGTTGTTGTCTTGCGTGTTTTTTAATTGTTCTAGCTCGTAAATGACATAGATGAGCATTACTAAATTACTTAGCGTTTCTCTTCTTTTTGGAATTTAATTAAATTACTTCTTATAATTATGATTGTTGCTCATTTTACTGGATGTGGTTTTCATTATGTTGCCTACTTGCAGAGCGAAGATAGCATAATCACTTGGCTAGATAAATAAAAAATTTTCACTGAAGAATGGCCTATTAGGTATCTGAATTCAGTTTATTGGGCTTCAATTACTATGGTAACAGTCGGATATGGTGATATTGTGCCAATCACTCCAGCAGAAAAAATTTATGTGATAATAATGACTCTAATAAGTGCTGGTGTGTTTGCTTATTCGATAAATACAATCGGAGGTATTTTTGGCGAAATTCAGAAAAAAAAGCTAGTCATGAAGTAAATAAATAAATTTAGCATTATTATTTCTTTAGTTATTTTGAAAATTAATTTTTTTAGAACGTAAAAGAGACACATTTCTAATTACATGAGATCACGTGGAATCAATAGCTAGCTTTAGATAGAGGTTTTAAAATATTTAGATAATGTGAAGCAAGAAGAAATCGAAATAGCTAACAAAGGTCAAGAGGTTATACAGATTTTGAGTTCGTAGATTAGAGAAAAGCTTTAATCTGATTATTATGGAAGAATTTTACAAGAATCAAAAACTTTTTAAGGTTACAGTTAGTAGTTTTTATAGGAACTAGCCTACACTATGAAAGAATAGCTCTATGGACCAGGAGAAATTGTATTTAGTTTAGGATAGCATGATGATAGAATGCTTTTTATTACTCAAGGAAGCGTTTAGCTGTTTATTCCTATATAAAAATATAAATAAACGATTGATCTCCAAATCTTGGATGTAATTTCTATTATTATTTGAAACAATAATATATTTACAATTTTTAATTTTAAAGAAAGGTGAGGTTGGTCATTATGGATTTTTCACCTAACAGCAGAGATCAACAAGTTTAAGGAGCTTAGGAGTTACTATTATAGCTTATATTCCAAGAGAAGATTTCATTTAAGTTCTTCAAAAATTTCCTTCAGATCACGTAAATAAATAAATGAAAATAGATTTTGAAAATGAATGAAATTAATTTTTAATAGGAGAAATTTTGCCAGACAAAAGATATTTTGATATTTCAACAATAAAAAAATAAAATAAAATGTTTCGCCTGTTAAGTAAATGGGCATTCAATAATGAACTGCTAGAGAGTACATTATAAGAGAGACAAATAGACTTTGATTTGCAAGTACAATTACAATTATGAGCAATAAAGGAATGAGCATAATAGGAAAGTAAGCAATAAAAAAAATACTTACAGTTTAAAGAAAGTAGTGAGGTAAAGTTTGCTTAAACTGCGAGGTGAGAAAATGTCTACTATTTATCAAATTGAATTTTTGTAAGATGACTTCGAATGGTTGGAGAAGAATAAAGATCACACAATATTTCAAGTTATTCCTAAACTTTATTATCAAAATGGAGAATATGGGATACACTCTGAAACAGATTTTAGCTATTGTTCAGATGATTCTGAATCGATTAACTCAGATTAATAACTGAGTGATGAGAGTTATTTAGAAATTAGTTGTCCAAATACTCCATAACATTAATATCAGGTTTCATAAAAAAAGAGAGCTAATATCTAAGAAGAATTATCAGATCTAGAAAAACAATCTATAAGCTCTCAACGAGATCGATCAAGCTCCAAACATTTGTAAAGTCCTATTGCTTCTCATGTGAGCAAAAAAGAAAATTAATTCACATCTATCATCAATCAGTTCAGCAAAAAACGAACTCTAAAATAAAAATCTTAAAATAAAACGCAAGCTACTGATTTAAATAGATAAAGGAGAAAATCAGCATTTTGCAGTGGAGAAGTTGGTTTTTTATCAAAACAATTAAATTTAAATCATGTTGAGAAAGAAAGTGAAGAAAAACCAGTAATAAAATAGGTTCTTTCAGAAAAGAGTATTGATTCAAAATAAAATATAAATCAATAATACGAAAAAAAGGATCAATTAGATTAACAATTAAATTAGCTAGAATTGAATAATGAGGATTAAAAAACAATAATACCATTTTCTTAAGAGGTTAATAAGCTAATGTAAGATAGAACTCATTAAAATAATAAATAATAATTAATAGTTAACAAATAAGAAAATAATTAAATGGAAATAGTAGATTTTGAATAAATTGGTAGCTTAGATGCCTCTTTTAAATAAAACATTCAAACTCATCATTAAAATGAAGAAAAGAATAGCTTTGAACAAAATTATAAGATTGATGAGATTTAAAATTCTGATCAGTTTGAGTAAGATTTACCTTTTAAAAGTGAAATAATTAGCTAAAATGAAAATTTTTAGCGTCTTGATCCCTCTAGTCCAATTCTAAAATTAGAAGGATAAATAGCTCATTAAATCAATCCTTTAAAAAACATGATTTCCTTTTAAAATCTTTATCAATCTTCAGAAATAATATCTGAAGAAAAAACTAATTCAAGTCATACGAGAAAGAGTAAAGACATGACATTCCACTCAAGAAATTTTAACATTGAATCAAGCAAAATGAGTAACTTCGTGGCTAAAACTGGAAATTTCCTTGAATTTAGTGAAAACCAAACTGAAACTAACTTAAAAGGCTCTTTTAAAACTTCTCAAAACAAACAGCTTAGTCCAATTTAAAAAAAAGATTTTATAGGAGAGCAGAGAGAGAATCAGAGCTTTAATATTCCTTTTATTTAATCAATAAATGAAATAGAGAATGATGAAAGTCCTGGATTCTAACTAAATAATAATAATAATAATAACACTGTTGCTAATGCTGCACTACGTTAAGAAGAAGAAAATGGATCAAAGCAAGCTTTTTAAGTAGAATAAGATAATTTAGTAACAAAAGACAATGAAGCTAATTTAAATCAATATGGAGAAGCTCAACATAAAAACATAAAATTAAAATCTAAATTTAACATTTAATTTAATTCAGAAAAACTTGAATAAGAAACATAAAATAATGGAATTCAATCAAATTTTTCAAATTTCAGCCAACAAGCTAAATTAAAAATGCTTAAATCAAATAATTCTTCAATGAGAGACATATTTTAAAAGAAATAGGAAACCTAAAAATCTAAATTTGCTAATTAGCACAATTAAAATTGGAATGAATAAAGCCCTAAAATATCTATGTAGTAAATCAAACGTTTTAATAAACGTAACAGCATACAGAATAACTTAAATACTAGCATTAATTAGAGTGTTAATAATAATTATGCTCCTTAGCTTCCATCTCCTTCTTACTAGCCTTTTGCGATCAAATAAATATAGGGTCAACTTAACCAGTCAAATTTATCAATAGCCAGTCCAATTAATAGAGAGAAGAAAGAACAAAATATAGCTAATAGTGGGTAAATTATACAATAAATATAGCAAGTATTGTTATCACAGCTAAACAGCATTTAATAACAATTGTAAATAAACCAACAAAAATAGCCTTCGACCTCTTAAACTATCCAAAACTTTGATTTAAAAAGTCCAAGATAAATTATTTTTAGAAACACGGAACTAAATAAGGAAATCAATTAGCAAAAATCTTTAGAATATTTTATAATTATAGACACTGATTCCTTAAAATAGTACACTGTTTACTTCCCTCATAATAACTTTAATAATGTGATTAAGAATTTCAATAACTCTCGCGTTAAACGCTACTTGGATTTCCAAAGAAAATCAAAAAAGAAAGTTACAAAAGAATATAAAAAAATAACATCCACTCCAAACAAATACAATCCAAAAAAATAGTTTAAACAATCAAGTTTTATGAAGTAAAAAAACATGTGATTAAAAAAATAATTTGGATCAACACTTTGTTCTAATAAAATTTTAATAAATATAAATATAACCTTATCATTATTATGTAACTGTTTATTCTGTTAAAAATCCAAATTTTATTTAATAAAAAACATTTAATTAGATTTTAACTAATAATCTTAAAATAAATTTAAATGTTTTTTTTGATTAATTACTATAAATACTTAATAAAAATTTTTTCAAAACAATTTTTGAAAGCTTTGGATAATATGATAATCCATTTAAATTTTTGAGAAAGCAGAAGGACAAAAATTAGAATAATTATGGTTAATTTGTATGAAAATAATAATCATAAATTAAAAAAATTAAATTATTTTTTCTTTAATTTTATAAAAATTTATTATAAAACGTGTACTATTATTATTGAGAAAATTACTTCATTTTAAAAAATGTAAAGTACTAAATACATTTTTCAAAATAAAATAACATTAGATTGATAAATATACAAAGGTTTTGAAATTTGAGTTATTTAATTGATAATTTGATAGAACTGAAACACTTTTAATTATTTTGACTAATATTTCAAAATATTTTTCAAATTTCTTTCTACTAACGAAAATTGAAATTTAAAAAATTTGATTACTGTATTGTTTGTATTGAGTTTAATCAATTAATTGAATAAATGATAAATTCAGATATGTAACAATAATTTAGAATTAATAAGTAAAAGAAATTTATTTCGTTTTAAATGATAGACAGAATGTTTGTTTGTTTTGGAGGTGGTTAGCAATCAATCAATCAAGTAAATGAATAAATAAATTCTAGATTATTTTAAAGTTATAAATAAAAAGGTTGATTAATTCCTAATGAATTTATATTTAAAATCTGTTTTTCAGTGAATGAGCAATTACAAAGTAAAATTACATTTTAGTAAATTAATTTACTTTCTTTATTTGTTTGTTTCTATGTATAGTATCATGCATATTTTCAAAGATACAATCACAGCTGCATACTTAAGTATATAAAAAATTAATTTGAGAAAAAGTGAAAATGAAAAAGTTTTAATTTTGTTGGCTGGATTGTAAATAAAGTAATTGGCAATCTGAATAAATTTATTTTGAGAATATTTGATCTACAGTTTTAAATTGAGAAACTTATAGGTAAATTTTCAGAAATTTTCATAAAGATTTGGAAAAATTAAGTGATTATAACAATTAAAAAATTGAATATAATTAGTTTAATAATTAAATTTTTTCTAGTTATTTTAAGCGGATATAGAATAAAATTTTATTTGAGTAGAATTTAAGTTAGAAAAGGACTAGCTTAGCTTAGGCAGGTTAAAGAAAAGATTTTGAATGAAGAATTTTTATATCATAAATTAAAAAATAGATATGATGAGAAGTTGAGAGAAATAAGCAACCAAAAAAAATACTATTAAGGCAATATGCAGCTCCAAAAATTTAAAACAATAAGGTGAATATGATGGGAAATAATCGGGAGGGGTAAATTGAATTAGGTGATTATAAAAATTAAGATAAATTTAAATGAGTATTTGCAAAAATTGAGGGAAAAGATAAGCCTTTCTATTCTATTAATAGAATTGAAAGAATAAATTAAGCGATGTAAAAAGAAGAATTAAAAAAAGAGTTAAGCGAGGTTTAAAGAGCGAATTACAGGGTGAAAATAGAAGAAAAAAGTAAAATAGAAGGAAATTTGATTTAAGTAAATCATGATATAAGATGAAATACTTGTATGATGAGCTAGTTTTGGGCAGATGTTGGTCATTAATTAAGCGAAGAAGGCGAAACAATGAAATAGCTATGAGAGCTATAAGACGATAGACAAGTTAATAAAATAATGAGTTAAGATATGACGAAAGTCAGCGATTACGTAATATACGATAATATATAAAGAAATAATACTAAATTAGCTCAAAATGATTCAAAATCAATTCTGCCAATACAAATTAATCAATGAGCTATCTTAATGAAAAGTATAATATTTGTGGGGGGCTTACTTATTTTTAGAAAAATTTACTTATTAATTAATTAATTAAATTTTGATGCTGTTTAAATTTAATTCAAAAAAAAAGTTCTTATTTATTTTAAAATAAATTCATCAAATATAAACAGATTTCTTCTTTTTAATCATTTTTTTTAAATCCACTATTTACTCTTTTTCTTTTCTCTTGTTGTTTTTTCATGTCCTTCATATTTTCATTCATTTTTGCTCTTATTTTTTTGCTTATGTTGTTTTATAATATCTTTTTTTCTCTCTTTTTATAATTTTTCATTCAATTATTTTATTCATGATGTATCCATGATTTTTTCATTCATCTCTTATTTTATTTGATTTTATATGATGAGGGTTTATTTTTTCTGATTGTGTTTTGCTCATTTTAAGATTTGGATTTTGATCTATTTTTCTAAAATTGTTTGGTTAATGTGAAACTAATTCATTTTTTATACATTTGCGATTAATATTTATCAAAAGTGATTGATTTACTTGTTTTTGATTGATTTTTATGTTCATTCATTATTCACAAATTTTTTGAAATAGCTATTGATTATCGATTATAATTGATAAATTCTTAATTGATTGATATTGATATATTTACTTTTCATTGATTTGAATCAATTATTTGTAACAAGCACAAATTTAAATGATGAATACTATGTATTTTTAAATTGCTGCTTAGCAAGTCATATTTAATATCAAGTCACTCTCAAGATATGCTCGTATTAATACGGCCATGCCCTCCATAAATAAAAATAGTCTATGTTTTTTTTTTGAGAGAAGGAGAAGGAGAGCTATTCATTAAATTGACAGTGAAAAAAAATTAATTGATTTTTTTGATTGATAGATATTGATAGTATGTGCGTCGCATATATAATATTTTGCTTGTCTAAGGTTTTGATTTTAGTGTATTTTTAGGTTTTGAAAAATAACAACTTCACAGATGAGCCAAAAATAGAAAAATAAGAATACAATAAACAAAGAAAGAAAAAAAACAAAGAAGAAATGAGAGTGTGCAGTATTGAATATAATAATAATAATTATAATTATATTATGTTTATAATAATATGAAAACTGATTAATTTCATTATATTTTGATTGATATTTTGACTTACAAAACCATCAAATCATTCAATTTTAGGGCTATAGTGCGTGTAAATAATATCATTCTCAAGAAAGAATTTTGATATAATCAAAAATTAAAAAAAAAACAAATACAAATAAAATATCGACAAAAAGAGAGACAATATATTAATAAACAAACAAACAAATAGTCTTATATTTATTTATTTTCATTCATTATTAACAACAAAAAGAGCACCTAATTCTAATTGATTAACTTTGCTGATCCCCCAGCTTAGCAAATCTAATTCAACCAACAGCATATTTTGCTTTAACAGCTCCAATCAATCTTTATTCATTTCTAGTATCGAGGTTGATTCTACCGCTTGACATTGTGTGAATAAACTAATAAAGAAAAAAACACTTTTAAGTTCAAAAATACAAAATTAGAATTCCTTACAAACAGGAAGTAAGTATCAGCACAACATACATAGAAAAAGCGTTACCAAAACTGAGTTTCGAAATGTAATTTGAGAGAAGCGATAGCGAAGAGATTAAAATGCACAGTAAGAGTTGCAGTTCTTTTCCTTAAAGCGATGTCCTTGTTCATCAAGCTTCAACAGTATGCAGCGAATCTTTTCAAGATAGAGTTTAAGATTTGAAAGAAATTTATAACGAAGAATTGAGTCCAACAGCCGTTTATTTGGCTTTCGATACCATATTTGAGAAGGTAAAGCAACAATTTAATTAAAATTATTAATATCATTTAGCAATTTGTAAGCGAAATTGAGTATATTGGACAAAAATATTGTAAAAGCCTGCTATTTTTTTGAATATGAATCTACTGACTGTTTAATTTGGGAATGAATAAATAGATATTGATAATCAATGAATGAATAGTGAATGATCATTTTAATTAAGCAAAATTAATTATTAAATCTAAAAATTGACTACAAATCCAAACGGACAACTTAAATGAACGATTTTCTTCATTTCATTCAAAAATATATTTTGAGCAATTTACAAGCTTAGGCTATTTAGAAAAGAAAATTATTTAATTGTCTGTTTAAAAATAGAAAAATGGGTTTGCTTTATCTAATAGATATTTATGAAAATATTAACAGTACTTAATAGTATGACTCTAAACAAATTGAATATAAATTAATATATTGATTGATTACTACATTTTGATATTAAGGAATAAAAGTAATTGAATGGCACTTAATGATTGAATGAATGCTTTTCTATTACTCTATATAGTACTAAAATTAATAAATAAATAAATTCACTTCAATTCAATTTGAAAGTACAGAATTATATTTATTTTAGAGCAAACCAAAAATTACTCTGCTTTGAATACACACACACAAACAATCATTTAATTATATATGTAGATTTTTTTGGAAAACAAAAATAGACAGAATTTTCAAATAATAAGCAAATTACTGCATATTTTGACATTATTTAGTCCAGCACTCAATTAATACTTTTGCTAAATGCATTAAAATTAATATTTTAAAATATTTTTTTATATTTGCTAAATTTATTATTTAAATTAACAGCAAGTTGTGGTAAAGAAAATCTTCAAAAATAAATTAGACGACTATCAAATTGAATAAGCAAGAATCGAGTGCCAAATTGCTTGCAACGTCAACCACTTTAACCTTTGCAAAGGCTACTACAGCTATGAAAACGATGAAGAATTCGGAATTTTCATGGAATACGTAGATGATGCTGAATATTTGGTCGAAAAAATTGAAAATGTAAATAATTCATCTGTTTTTTGCTTTTTGTAGCACGGGGATAAATTTTAACGTAAAAAGTGCGAAAAACCATATTATATTTGCGATATTGCATCACCTTCTGATTAGATAAATTGCGATATTAATTAATCAAAATTTCTAACTTTGATAAAAGCTAATCAAAGTAATCAAACTAATTAGAACTATTATCAATCAATTAAAGTTATCTTGCTAGCTTCTTTACTAGCTAGCTATCTATTTAGCTTTATCTATCCACAGATAAAAACGATTTAGTTAGTTTTATATCTGCTATCAAATTTGTAGCAATCATTCATTCATTAGGTCAATCTGTCTCATACATCTAAATCTAATTTAATTTGAGTCAGTACAACATAAAGTTTTCATAAAAAGCATCCAAAATATATCATTTACTTTGAAATTAATTTTGCTACATTTTTGCAGATTGAACTGACCTATTTTTATAAATATTTCGTTCATTAAGCAATATTTTATCTTTGATCAGAAATATTTTTTATTCTAAAATGCAAGCTAAAACTTACTGTCTGAATTACTTTTCTATATTATTTTGATTCTTTTACAATATCGCAAAACCAATAAACCTATAAATTAAATAAATAAATAACAAAAAATCTATTTTTAGAAGATTTCCCTCCTGCTTAATTAATAATTAACATGAATTTCTATTTTATTAATTTTTATTATCTAATTTAAAAAGTCACACTCACCCATCAAGAACGAATTAAAAATGAAATCCTACGTCCTTGACATCTTGGAAGGTCTTAAGTAAATCCATTCAGAAGGTAATATCAACAATTGATTTATTTTTAATTAATAATAATAATATTAATTTTTAAATAGGATATGTTCATTTAGATATCAAATTATCTAACTTGTATTGCATCAGAAAAGAAATCGAAGGTGTGAGAAGAGTTAAAGTTGGCGACTTTGGTCTTTGTCACAAAGTAGACGAAAAAACTGGTCTAGCCTATGTCAAATACAACTGTGGCACATTTGGATTCAAAGCCCCAGAAATAAAAGATAATTCTTATGTTTCACAAAAAGCCGATATGTGGTCTTTGGGTATGGTCCTTTACATGATGGCCTGCGCATATAAGCCCCACTAAATGAAAGGCTATAAATATGGTACTGGCCCAATTCCCTTCAGAGCCTTCGACTGGAAAAAGAGATCCCCAGAACTTAAACAATTCGTTGAAAAGCTCCTCGATGTAAACCCCGAAAACCGTCCTACTGTCGAAGAAGCCTTAAAAGATCCCTGGTTCTCAACTTCAGACTGATCACCTCTCCTTATTTAAAGACTCTTGATAATTTTAACAACTATGTACTCTATTACTAAGTAAATTAACAAAGAAATATCTAACTAAATTAATAACTAAATCAGCGACATACTCTACTTACCTCCTTCCAAAAAATAATTAAACAAATTATCTATTTGCCTCATTAAATATACACACATACAGCTATATATCAATCAACCAACTATATAAAGATATAAATAAACTAATCCATAATCAATGAATAACAAATATATCTCCCAATCAAGTCAATCAATAAACACATTTTTGAAATCTTTATGAACAAACAAAGCAAAAAACAAGCAATAAACATTAAAATAAATAAATAAGTAAATAAATATATTACTTACTACTTTTCTAAAGTCTTAATTCTCTATAAAAATTAACTCTCTCTTTCTCTCTCTATATTATAGTAATAAAATAAATTGCTTGAAAAAAAACTCTAAATGAATATCAGCAAGAAAAATATTAACTAAACAGCCAAGCTAACTATCAAAACTTATTTAAATATTTTAATGTGCTCATTAGGTAATTTAAGCATATAAATACTCTTTATAGATAAATTCTTTATAGACCTATTAAAGAGATAGACTGAACAAAAATAAACAAATACATGCTTTATATTTAAATGATTTGCTGCCTGACTGGCCAAAAAGACAGATAAAAAGATAGACAAACAAACTAAAAATCAGACAAGCAAACAAAAAAGTGAAAAGACACAGTTAAATAAAGTGCTACATTAAATATAAAATATAATAAATACTTACAAATTGAAATTTATTTAAACAAATTCTACTACAAACTAGTCTTTATTTAATGTTAAGCCAAGCATTCATGTGTCTCTGTCTGCTATTTACCTAAAGAAAAGCTGATTTCATTTAAATAAATAACATAATATAGCTAAGCAATCAATAAATAAATATATTTAAACACTTTTGAAATTAATTAATCTTTAATAAATATCATTTTAATTGGTATATCGCTAAACTAATTACTTTACTGATTTATTCAATAGTAATTTTAGAAATAATACTTAAATAAATAAATAATTAATTAATTATTTACTTTCAACTATAAAAAATACCTTCATCAAAATATCTATACTTAATAAATAAAATAATCAATATACAAATAAACCAAAATTAATTATTTTTGTTAAACTCATTTCAACTACTGCTATTTGTACTGAACCAAATAGTTAGATATATTAACATAAATATATAATTATAATCCATTCAATAAATATATAAATAATTATTCTTATATTACCAACCAATTATTTATACTTAAGTTGTATTTTATTCTTTAAAAAATCATTCATCAATAAATCCATTAAAAAAATTAACAAAAAAATAAACAAGTTTAAAAAATGCATTTAATTATTAACAAAATTATAAGCCCAGTAATTAATATTTAAATTATTTATCAGTATTTTCTTTTAATAATAATTATTTAATCCAGCAAACAAATTTAAAATTTTTAAACTTATAAAAAGAGATTTATTTTAAAATTTATTTTCTATTCATTTCTGACAATATATCAATCATAATAAAATCTATCAATTTAATATTTAATTTCAATTTTAAAATTACTTTTTTTTCAATTAATTTAAATTCATTATTTCATTATTTAGAATCACATAAATTTAAATTAACTATTTTTGTATTTCATAAAGTTTCAAACTTAATTTAAACATAAAAGCTTATTTTTATCTAAAAACTATTATAAACATAGCAAGTAAATGAATATTGGAATCATAACCAATGATAATCTTGATCCAATAAATTTAATTACACTACTAAAAATATTTTTTTAACAATATAGAGTTTTTTTTGAATTACTTAAAGTTTCAAACTTAATTTATAAACAAAATCTTATATTTATCAAAATATTATTTTTAAACATAACAAATAAAATAAATTTTTGGAATAATGATCGATGATAATATAAGTCAAATATATTTTAATATATTATCTCTAGTTATTTTTGTTGAATTTCATTAAATTTTAAATCTAATCTGAAAATATAAGCTTATTTTTTTCTAAATGTTATTTTTAAAGATTACAAATTAATGAAAATTGGAACAATAATTGATGACAATATTTGCCAAATGATAAATTTATTTATTAAAATAACTTTAATTTCATTAATATTTTTGAAGAGATTTCTTTCTTTCACTCTTATCTAATAAATTAATTGATTGCTAATATAAAATACAAAATAAATTTGCTTATCATACTGCATTAAAAAGCAAGTAATAGAAGTAATAACCAATTAAAAAATCTACTTAATTAATTTTACTTAAAATCAAATAAAATATTTACATTTAATGATATTTTTTATCATATAAAATTTATTTTCTATTATATCCAATAATTCCTTTTTAAATCCTTTTTAGTATTTTTTTAGCAATTTTAAATTTCCTTAAATTTGAAAATCAAATAAAAAAGTGTAAACAAATATTTTTTTTATTTAAAGCCCAAATTTAAAAATAATTCTTAAATTCTTTTTAAGTGGTGAAAATTAATATTTAAATATTCTTTAAATACAGTGAAGAATTAACAATATTTTAATAATTTGCTGAAAAAATGTTGAAGAAAAAATTTATTTTCATGTTTTAAAATAATTTTTACAACTTTTTTAAATAAAACTTATTCTGAAAAAATATTTTTCATTATTATAAATAGAAGATATAAAATAAATTGTGGTAAGATTATTAAAATAAATGAAAATCAATTAATAGAACAACCAATTAATGAAGGAACAAGCTATTTTTGGGAGACCTTATTTAATTTAAAAAGTAAGTAATCTATCCACTTGAGGTCAAAAGTGATTTATTATCTCTCACCCGATTGATCGATGAATTAATTCCTATCGAATGTAATTAGAAGAGTGAATTTTAATTAAAATCTAATTTTAAATTCATAGAAGATATAAAAGCTCTGACAATTTGATTTTCTTTAAAAAAATTTGTATATAGTTGTCAATTAATACGAGATTTTAACAAAAAGTGAGGAAATATTTTTTATTTTCTAGACTTGCTTAATGTTTTTAAAATGAAAAAAGTTAAACTAAGAAAGAATAAATAAAAAATTAATTTGTGAATAAATAAAGGTGAGGGATGGGCTGCGAGTGATTGGGTTGCTCGCAAATTGTTTCAACAACCAATTGATTGGATAGATATGAAAATTTTTTCATTAAAAGTAAATGAATGATCAAATAAATTCACAATTTTTTTTGCAATTTACAAAAAAATTCTTTTATGATTGATTTGTATTTTTTTTGATTGTTTAATGTACAAAAAATATGATTTGATTTATTTATTTATTAATAATTTCATTCTTAGTTTATACTAATAATTTGAGGCTTTAGTTTTTTAGAATAATATTTCTGCGTTTTAGTAGGTTGCTTAGATTGACATTTAGGTTTAAATAGAGTAAAAATATAAATGGCACTTTGTTTATTTAAGTGCTTCTCTGCTTGCGGATGCAGGGAATCTATTATTAGCAAATTTGCATTTTATCCTCAGAAACCTGGCTACAGGTTCTAAGAGGTTGACATCATTTAATCATAATCATCTACTCAAACTAAACATAATATAGAGAAGAGATTTGTTAAGGACAGAATTGAGGAGTTTGCTGATCATTCGCATAATATTCCTAGATTTTATCATTTACCGTCTGACGATGGGAAGCATTATGAATTGATTTTAGTTTATGAAGAGCATGAAGTTCTTTTGAATGATTAGAGCTCTCTTAGCGTATTTTAGAATTAATATTAAAATGATAGCGATAAAAGCTAGAAAAATGAGTAAGACTAAAGTAAAACGGGGTTAACTCTTGTGAATCAGAAGAAGGAAGTTATTCATGGAAAGCAGTATCAATTAGAAATAAAGGAAGTATTTGGTGAGAATGAGTAGAAACAAAAGTCTGCATCTTCTGCTGCTGTAAAAGCTGCAATCAAAGGGAGTGATAGTGAGGAATAAAAGGAAGAGAGTAAAAGTAATATGAAAAATCCAAAAATTAAAGATAAAGAAAAAAAAATAAATAAATTCGATAAAAAGGAAGAACCTTTCCGGTAAGTCGATGATCTTTATTTAATATGCTTTAAAAAGAAAAACAGAGAGAACAATCTCGTGTGTGGATATCATATTGAGAATTTAAAGCACAGAAGTGAAATAGTCGTTATATATTCTCATGGAAATTCTACTGACATAGGCTACATGATCAACCAAGCACTTGATGTTTCTTATAATCTTAGGGTCAATGTAATTGCTTATGATTATTCTGGATATGGAAAGTCTTAAGGAAAGCCTAGTGAAAAGTCTTTCATTTACGATCTTGAGGCTATTTATAAATATGCTTTACAAATTGGATACAAATCAATTAATATTGTTTTTTATGGGCAGAGCGTTGGTAGTGGGCCAAGCACTTTCCTTGCATCTCAAAAGAAGTTTCCTATTGGTGGTCTAATTATTCACAGTGGTTTCACAAGTGGTTTGAGAATAACTCAGCAGCAGGAATAAAAAATGCAAAAAACATATTCTAAAGACTTCTTTCCAAATATTGAGTTCATTAGAAAAGTGAATGCACCTATTTTTATCATTCACGGGACTAATGATCAAGATATCAAAATTCACCATGCGAGCGAGTTGTATGAGAGAGCTAAGAAAAACTACACTCCCTTTTTCTTGGAAGTAAAAGGAGCTGGTCATAATGATATTGAACATGAGGATAAATTTAGAAAAGACTACTTTAAAGAACTGAGAAGATTTATGGGGCACTTGAGACAAAATAGAAATCAAGTTATTTAAGAATTCATACAAAAACAGAATATCTTAAAGCAGAAGAGAAACTCTTCAATTCAAGTAGAATTAAAAGATATACAAGGATTTGCTGGAGATGGCTAAAGTGAGAGTTTCAATCATATTTATTATCAATATTTTACTCCTATAAACTCTGTAATAGAGCAAACTGTTAAGAGTCTTTCTATTGATAAAAATACTGAAAAGTAGCAAAGCTCGTAATCATAAAATTAAATTTCTGGTAATTGTACTCCGTCAAGCAGAAATAAAGCAATGAGTAATAAAACAAATAAATTTAACGAAGAATAAATAGCTGAGAAAAATGGAGAAAACAATCCGCAAAGCTTAGGCAATATATTTTAAAAAGGAAGGGACTCAACAACGCTATTTGAAGTTGAAACCAAGATAGACAGGACAGAACAACATCCTCCTTCTGGAAGAGAAGATAACTTATCAGATCGCCATAGTCAATAAGATCAAGCTGCAATTAAAAATAACGATTAGGCTCATTAGAAAATCAAAGAAGAAGAGGAAGATATTTAAAAAAATATTCTTCAAGAAAACCAACTTAACAAGAACATTGCTAACGCATTTGCTTAAGAGAGCGACGACGATGATGATAATGATTCTGATGAAGCAGAGGATAATGTAGGGTAATATGTGAACAATTAAAAGAATTTCAGTTAAAAGAAAGAAGACATTACAATTTAACAATAAGAAAATTTTGAGTAAGTTTAAGAAGTATAATATGACAGTTTAAAAGATGAAAGAATTGCTATTCACATAAAAAATAAAAGTCATAGTTTAACAGATTAGAATAATAGGCAACTTTTTTGTTCTTACAGATCTTAAAAAAGCTAGCAAGTAATTTAAAACTAAAATCCATTGGATAATAAATTGAGAAACAGTTAACCGAATTTGAATGATTAACAAATCTTTGCTGAGAAAAGTTTTGGTAATATTAATAAAAAGAGATATATCGAAGATGAAAAAATTAGGTTGCATAACGTCACTTCCATCATCAGAAAGAAATAAAATTCATAATTTTCTGCTTATATTTTAGATCATAGTAGCTACTCCAACCACGATAACATTTCAGAGAGCCTTAATTCAAGTTTGCTAAAGCCAAGTAACTAATAAGATAAAAACAACAACTCCAAACATTCATTTAACAAAGATACGTCCTCTAATTCATCGAAATAAGCAGGTGTTAGGCAAGATAAAAGCAGCCCAAAAGTATCACCTAGAATAACTAATATTGATTAGATAGATCGCTCAAACTCTATCAAGTATGATCAAAATCATAAACAAAATTAATTTTAACAATAATAAAAATATAATTCTTATTAAGTTGATTCTGTCAAGGAAGAAGTCTAAGAATCATAAATTATGAGCAGTTCACTCAAAGAAAGTCTCATCCCTGCAGCAAAAAATCTTCACAATGATTAATAATTAAAATAAGAATCTCATATTACAGTGAGCAGAGAACCCACATAGTAAAATAACAAAACTAATCCAGTTTATTTATTGTAATAAATCTTCACTAACGAAAAAACTGATGATTTAGACTACCACCAAAATGTCCTTGAAAACAGTGGCAACCAATTTTAAGAAGTGCATTATGACTATGAAGAAAACTCTGGCAGTCTCTCTGGCTCAGACTCTTCCCCTCATCACTCTAAAAGTATAAAGCCAGTCAGATCCGATGAAATAAGCATCCCTGATTCTGATATCACAAAAAAAAAGAAAGAAGGATCGATCAAAAGCAAAGAAACATTAAAAAGCATCAATTCAAACTATTGAAAAATTAAACTAAGAAACATAAAAAAAAAGTAAATTAGCTATCAAGCAAGCAAGCTTGTAAATAAAAAAATATTTATATTCATAATAAATTATAATTTAACAGTATTCTATATATTTATATAAAACAAATAATCTTATCAAATTCAAGCTATTCATTTATTATTATATTTATTCTCATGTTGTTTTAAAGTTTTTTATAATTTAGAACTAAAATTAAATTTTACACTACTTTGTTTTGTATTAAAATATAAATTAGTTTATTCACTTATTATATTTAATAAAAATATTTGCAAGCGATATTTTTGTTTATGTTATTCCCAAAAATTAAAATAAAATAATTTAACAGACAATTATTTTCGTTTTTATTTATTAAATATGTGATTGTGTTTTAAATATTTTATTTGAATAACAACTTAAAAATTAATGAGTAAAATAAATTCTTCACATGTTTTCTCATTAAAAATAATAAATATTAAATGAAAAGATTTGTATTAAAATCTATTATTTTAGTAAATTCTTTTCACTTTTTCATGAACCTATTAATTTTTAATAAAAAGGATAACAATATTAGATATTATTTTAGTCAAACAAGCCAATAAATAAAGAAATAAATAAATAAATAATAATAATATAAATGATTAAATTAATGATTAAATAATTAAATAATAAAAGATTAAATAATTAAATAAATTGTATTGAAATTTTATGAAAATAAATAAATTTTAATTTATTTTCTATTAAATGAATTTTAATAAAAATTATTTTTATGTTATTAAAAAAATGGATGTGAGTTAATTCTTAGGGTTTTTTTTATTAATTTTATCTGGCTTATATTAACTAGTGAACACTTAATGTTTATTTAATTAAAAATGATTAGAATTAAATTAGATTGCTGAATTAATAAATTAGAGCCAAAATGTATATTTATTAATTAATAATATAGATAGATATCTTTATAAAGAATCTTTGAATTTTCAATTTAGTTGTTCTAGAAATTATTAAGAAATAATAATAAACAAGGCCAAAGAAAGATGGGTGAAACCGAAGTTTAATAGGAATCTTAGCATAATATTTAGCAGGAAACCATTTTAAATTAGCAAGTAGAAAATATTGCAAATCCAGAAACATAGCAAAATGAATAATAACAAACTATTCAGGTTAAAAAACCTTAGATTACATTTAATTAGATGAAAAGTTATTAATCTGTATTAAGCAGTGGACCATAAGATACTTTTGATGAAATATAAAAAGAAGATATTGAATATTTATAGAAATGCAAGTACAATATTGCTTTATATCCAGTTTTCACTTTATTGGGTTTATTTGGCTTTAAGAAAGCTATTGATTTCGTATAAATTCCTGAAATTTTTAGAAATCCTCTTCTACCTCCTTAGGCAAAGATTAAAAGAACAAAATACATGAAATATTTTATGGGTAAATACGCACTAGCAGGAGCCTGCTTTTTAGCAACATTAGCAGGATGCGGATTATATTAAGTCAATAAATTTTATATGTATTTAAAGTATAAAAATCTTGTTGAAAGCTATTTAGATGCTAAAGAAAGAGAATTTTTAAACGAACTAAAAGTGCAAGGCCAAAGAATAGATTTATAGCTCAAGCTTTCTTCAAGCGAAACACAAACAGAAAAAAGTTAGTGAATGATCTACCTAAATTATAAATTTTAAAAAATATATTTTATCTATCTATATGTTTATGTATCAATTTTCCTATTAGAAAATTGGCACTAAATCAATTAATAAATAAATTATTTCAACAATTCCATCTCATATTTTATTCATATAAAATGAAAATATGATATTTAATTCAAAGTTTTAATATTTTAAATCATAGTACTCATTTACTAAATTTAAAATGACTTTTTAAAAAATATTATTTAATTAAAATAAATGCTAAAAAAAAAATTATTTACTAATATTTATCTATCTACTTTGAATACTCTCTAACAACAAATCTTTTTATATTACTTTATTGATATTTATACAAGATTAATTTGATAAAAATATGAAAATATTTATCAAAAAGTCTACAAACAAAAATTAACGGACCACATTAATCAAGCAAAATGTTAATGAATATTTATTGATAGATATTAAAATATACTAATTTGTAGAAAAGATTTGTATTGATTTAAATATTTTTGATAAGTAAATAAATAAATCAGATTATATCTTTTAATCTTTTTGAGAGTTTGAGTGAGTCAGAAAAAGAAGAAACAGAATGAAATTATCTGCTTTGATATTAGTTTTAAGTTTTTTTGTTTGTTTAAAAGCTAGTCAAATTCTATATTGTACCAAGTATTAAGCAATTAACAATGAATTAATTTGCACTTAGTGTTTCGATGGATTTGTATTAGCATTCAACTTTAGAAGCTGTATTGGACATAATGTAGACTATTTAAATTTATGTCGGAGAGTTAATGATTTAGGTTTATGCGAAGAAGCGATAGATTGCAATATCTAGATAGATGAGAATTATAAATATATTGATTTAAATTAATACTAATATGATATCAACTGCGCTTAAGTGGATACAGTAAATAAGATTTGTTTATAGCCAAAATTTCCATACACGCTTGACATAAACTTCAATACTATTTCACTATTAAATAATTATTGTAAATTTTCCAAATATGGAAACTGTTAAGAATATTATACTGTTGATACTTGCTATTCTGGATAAGAATTATTTTAAAGGTTTAACAGCAAACCTAATTTACCTTATTGTAAGAAATCAGTTCAGTTTGGAAGTCATGAAATTTGTTTTTAATGTCAAGAAGGAGCTATTTTTATTAATAAATTATATTGTTAACCTTGCTTGCCTATAAATAGCTAATATAATTTAATTAGAAATCAAGGTTTGAATTGCTTTATTAAGACCAATCAATTAAATCTGATTCATGCAACATTCTCCACAAATATCATTAAGAATTGTGAGATTATAAATATAAACTCTAATTCAATTTAATGTGTTTAATGCATCAATAACATTTAGAACTATTTTAATGTTGAAAATCAAAGTTGCCAAGAAAGGAAATTTTCAAAGAATTGTTTATATTATAACCCAATATCAGATTAATGTCTAACAGTCGAATGCTAAAATGGCTACTACTTTCACAATTAATTATTTATATAAGCAATAAATGGATATTACAACAATTAGAAATATTAGAAAGGTACTTTATTGGAAGAAATTTTTACTTAGTATTTTTCAGATAGACAAAGTTCAGATAATTTCAATTTTAATGTTTTGCAAGCATATTAAAGTTTATATGCAGTTTATTTAAACTTAACAGACTATGGTTATAAAATTATGAATGACATTTTTTATACCCAAAACATAAATTATGAAATATGCGTAAATGATTTCCCTTAAGTAGCAAGTAATTACATGTTTAGTAAATAATTTTCATGCGATAAGTCCTAATTCTATATAATTTACTAATAATTTCCTGAAATATAGTGTGATTTTTTGTCACCTATTTAGCAAAACTGTTTGGTCTTAGATTCAAATCATTTCTGCATTAGATGCTAAAGTGGGTATTATTTAATTAATAATTAATGTTATTAAGGACAGATATTCCAAAATTGTCTTTGGTAGATGCAAAATTAATGCATTTTGTGCTAGAAAGAAACCTATAATCAAATGAACTAATTATGTATTTTTCCATAGTGTCCATTCATCTCAGTATATGTCTCAAACGTTTCATTACAGTGTCAGTAACAAGCCTTATAAAAGATTTTTCCATAAACATAATAAGCAATTTGCAGTGATTATTTTCAAAGTACTTTTAATTTTTTTTAATAAATCTTTAATAAAAATCTTTAAAAAATAGGATTTGTTTAGTAAATTTCATTACTATGCAACCCATAAGGATTTATTGATAATAATTGTGTGTATCAAGCACCTTCTTATACCTATTACATGGGCTAACAACCTATTTATTATTAATAGTGTTCTACTAATGAATTCTGCAATCAATACAGTAAAATAATAATTTGCTTATTATTAAAATATTTTATTTTTTGAAAATACATTCAAAATTAATTAACTTTACAACACTAAAAATTTACCGTAGCTACTCATTTTTTATTTCTCGCTATTCACCAAACTAGTGTTCAATAAAAAAAATTGATATTAAAATTTTTATTTTTACAATTAGAAAATGTTGAGTTTAATTTTAAACTATTTAAAGTATTTAAAAAAGGAATTTATTTTTTTTTTTAATAAAATTATTTTAACAGGATCTGGACCTACTTGGTTTGAATGCAATTTCAATTATTATTGTAAATCTTGCTTATAAAATGATTGTTTAGATTTTTATGTAGAGTTTTATTCTCAAACATGTCCTACAGCAAATTGCCCAGCAGTATAAGGGACATGCCCAATAACAAAATGTCCAAGAGGTTTTGTTTATAGCAAATTATATAAAGGATGCTACTTGTTATGCTTAGATGACAAAATAAATATCACAAACGATCCTAAATATTGTTTTTACATTAAAAGATGTGATATAAAACTGCTATATAATGGTTAATTTTAATGTCCTTATTGTGATTTATCAAATTCATTAAATTAATGTCTTACATATAAAAAACTATGTGACAAGAACCATATTTACTCTTATCAGTATAATTAATGTTTATATTATTGTGAAAACCTGAATGGACTTCTAGCGTCTAATGAATAAGATTGCATAACTAGCAAAATATGCTAAGATGGTTTACTTTGGATAGATAATTTAAAAGCTTGTGTTTATTTTTGTGAGTAAGGACAGATAGCTTATGGAAGCACTTCCTGCTCATAATCAAAAATCTGCATAGAAAATAAAACATGGAGTAATTTATATCAAAAATGTGTAGAAAATGAAAGTACATTTTCAATTCAGTCAATCTTACTAATTGTGTTGGGATGTGCTATATTTACAGTCATTCTATTTATCTTATTATTTTATTTTCATGAAAGGCATAAGCTTAAAAAATATCGTTATAGTTAAGTATAAAGTTAAATAGAAAATAATCCTAACAAACCTGTAAATCAACAGATTTGATGAATAGCTTTTAACTCATCCCATTTATTTATAAATTAAAATAGTAATAAACTTAATATTAATCACTCATTCATTATATAAATATATATAATATGCATCTTCTAAATTATTATTTTATTTATTTATTCTTTTAAAATCTTTTTATTAAGTACTTACTTTGTAATAAAAGTATTTATTTATTAAAAGTTATTTTCATAACAAAAGCAAGCAAATAAAAATAAAAATCTTTCAGATTAAGGTTTTTGATTTTTATATTAAATTAATAAAAATTTTTAGCCAAGCTATTAAATATTAATTCAGCATTTAAATATTTTGTTTAAAACAATTTTATTTATATTTTATTTATTTATTCTTTTAAAATCTTTTAATTAAATACTTACTTTGTATTAAAAGTATTTATTTAAAGTTATTTTCATAACAAAAGCAAGAAAATAAAAATAAAAATCTTTCAGATTAAGATTTTTGGCTTTTATATTAAATTAATAAAAATTTTTAGCCAAGCTATTAAATATTAATTCAACATTTAAATATTTTGTTTAATACAATTTTATTTATGTTTTTTGAATATTAAATTCTAGTTATTTCATTGAAAAATAAATGTGATGAGAAAATATGTTTTAAATAGAAATAAAATAAAATTAAATAATGAATATTACACTCATTATTCTGTGATATTTCTTCTGAAAATCAAATTTATAAATTCATATTTGATTATAATTTATTATTCTTTTTATCCAAATTAAATTGAAATAAAAGTAAACTAATTTTTAATGAATGTACTTCTTATTAAAAAATTAAATTTTCATAAATCAATTACTTACTTTTCAATATTTCTGAAGAAAAAATAATAATAATAAATGATATAATAGAAATAAAATTTTTACAATTTAAAGAAAGTAATTGTATATTTTTTTATCAATGTACTTTAAATTTGTTTTTACTAAAATAAAAAGTTTTTAAACTCTTCACTTTAATCTCATAAGGTTCTCCATATTGATCTTAGGTAAATTTAATTTATTAATATTATTAATTATTATTATTAATTTTTAAGTAATTTACAATATTTTTTCTAATAGAAATTCTCATGTATTTTCTTTCACTCATTTTTATTTTTTCAAATATTTATTTTATTATTTTACTTTAATTTTGATTTTCAACTTTTGATTTTCTTATTAATTTATTTCTGATGATTTAATATTATTTTTTCTTTATTATTTCCTTATCTAATTATTATATATTTTTTTTTAATTTTTAAAGTGGCAATTAAATTGATGAAATTGGCGCATCAAACTTAGGTTCTGCTTTAGCATTTTGTACTAATCTCTCAAATTTGATACTTTATCTTCGGTAAAAACAGTTTATTTGTTTTGGATAATGATATTTTTTAATATTTAAATGGATTTAAAACAATAAAACTCTTTTAATTTATTTATTTATTAATATCTTATATTTAATTTATTATTGTTTTTTCTTTATTATTATGTTTATGTTTTTTTTCTTTGCTAATTTAACTAATTTTTTTATTTTTACCCTTTGTTTTATTTTTCTAAATTTATTTCTTATTATTTCTTTATTGTTTCCTTCTAAATAGCTATATCAATTATTTTTTTTAATATTAAAAAAGCGGTAATTAAATCGGTGATAAAGGTTTATCAGGCTTATGCTCTGGTTTAGCAAAATGCACTAATCTCTCAAATTTGACACTTTGTCTTTTGTAAAAATAATTTATTTGTTTTGGATTGTTATATAATCATGAATTTAAAACAATATAATCAACTTTTTTAATTTATTAATTTACTAGCTTTTTATTTGATTTAATTTTCTTTTTTATTCTTATTGTGTATTTTTGTCTTTGTTTGCTAGTTTATTTAGCTCGTTTGTTTTTTAACTTTTTCTTTTATTATTAATTAATTAATTGATTTGCCATCTTTTTCTTCAACATTTAAAAAGTATCAATGAAATCGGCGATAAAGGTGCATCAGGCTTATGTTCAGACTTAGCTAAGTGTACTAGTCTCTCAAATTTGACACTTATTCTAGGGTAAACACTACTTATTAGTTTATAACTATACTTTTTAATATAAAAATTAATTTATATCAAAATGACTTTTTTAATTTATTTATTGACTTTTTATTTGATTTATTTTTGTTTTCTTTTTTATTCCAATTGTGTTCGTTTTTCTTGTTTTTTCTCCTAATTTAACTCATTTTATTTTGCTTTTATTATTACTTATTTTCTTATTATTTTTTCGCTCATTTTTTCCTTCTAGCTAGCTAACTAATGAATTAAATATTTTTATTCAATATATAAAAAGTAAAAATTAAATCAGTAATTTTATAGAATACTAGCACATATAAATTCACTCAGGATACTACTTAAAATTATTTTTTTTATGTTTATGTTTATATTTTTTTAATTTTATTATGCATTTATAAGGTTAAATAGGGAAAAAAGGTATATCAGACTTAGGTTATGCCTTATAAAATTTCACTAATCTGTCAAATTTGGCACTTAATCTTCAGTAAGAACAGTTTATTTGTTTTGAATTGTGATATTTTTTATTATAATAATGAATCTAAAACAATATTACTTTATTAATTTATGTTTTTTTATTATATTTTATTCTTGTAAATTTAAAAAGGGGTAATTAAATTAATGATAAAAGTGCATCAGACTTAGGCTCTGGTTTAGCAAATTGCACTAATATCTCAAATTTGACACTTGATTTTCGGTAAAAACAGCTTATTTGTTTTAGATTCTGCTATTTTTTAATATTTAAGTGAATTTAAAACAATATTACTTTTTTTAGTTTAATTATTATTTTTTTATTTGATTTAATTTTTGTTTCTTTTTTTATTCTGCTTTTTTTTTTCTTTATTTGCTAATTTAACATTTTTTTTCTTCAAATTTTGCTTTTATTATTTATTATTAATTAATTTCTTATTTTTTCATGCCTTTTTCCTTATTTTTTCTTTATTTAAAAAGATGCAATTAAATTGGCGATAAAGGTGGATCAGACTTATGCTCTTCTTTAGCAAAGTGCACTAATCTCTCAAATTTAACACTTTATTTGAGGTAAAAACCTTCTAGTTTTCCAGTAAATTATATTTTTTTCTTTAACATTTAAAAAGTGAGAATAAAATTGGTGCAGCAGGTGCATCAAAATTTTAGCTCTTTATGAAGCTTAATTTTATTTATCAGCTTGCTGTAATATCATCATTCAATTCAACCTATTTAATATTATTTAAATAAATGATTATTTTTATATTTTAAATATTGTTTTTATTACTAGTTTGTTTATATGATTTTGTTTATTAAATATTTAAAACTGATTATTTATTTTATTTATAAAGAGCCAAATTCCATTCAAAAATTTAGTGAATTATTTTTTTTTTGAATAGCTAATACGTTTGAATATTATTTATAAAAAAATAAAAAATTTTAAGCGATCCTATATATGAAAAATTTTTTAAAAAATGAACAGGCAGGTACCTTTAAACACATTCTATTATTTATTTTTTGTATAAATTTAAATTTATATTATTTTTAATGGGTATACTCACTTTATTGACAAAAATTTTGGTCTCTTGAGTGTCCATCATTGAGAGTATATTGCATGTAAATAAAATTAAAATAAAAAACAAAAAATATTTTGATCAGATATTAACAAAAAATAGTAAACTCATAAACCATAAGCCATGTAATTAAAACAGATAAAATGAATTAATTATTGAAAAATAATTTGATAAATCAATAAATAAAAAGAATGAATAAAAGTAATAGTTATTTGTTTGAATACTAATTAATATACAAGCATAAATTAACATTAATAATCTTTAATATACTAATCAATCTTGCTAATAGACAAAATAGCATTAACTTGTATAATTTCAATTGTCTTTTTCGCTTAATTTATTTAATTAAAATATAAAAATAAATTAAAATGATTATTGAATTAATGAATGATTGATTGATTGAATGAATGAATGACAATTAATTGAAGAATAAATTACTCAAGCCATTTTTTCAACAAATCCTTAAAGAAGATCATTTTTAAAATTCTATGGAAGATATCGTATTTAATAATGTGCTAAGAAGAGAAATCGTATGTTATAATTATCTAAATAATTAAGTAGACTATTTAGAATAGTCCTAGATCTGCTAAGAAAGTGTAGATGTAGAGATTGCTCCAAGAAATATCCTGAGGGAAAGATATCCTAGCTATTTCAGGGAACATAAACATTTTAATATGGAGAAAAACTAAAACTATAAAAACAGCAAAACACAACATAATCATAGTCTGGAATTTAACCCCTAAATACATGATACCTGAATGAAGTAATTTGACTGTAAGCAGAAGTCCAAACATGCAAAATCCAATGAGATAATAATCGATCTATTCGATAAATTTATTTAGATAAAATATTTAAATGCTTTATTATTTATTTTTTACGTTAGAAAAGAAGGATGTAATGAAGAAAATAAATAGAAGCTTAGAGTAATAGATTAAAACTCTGACAGGTCTCATGAAATTAACGTTTTTGTACAAAAATAATTAGGTCACTTCAAAGAAAATCTTGATTATATTTTACATTTATTTTGATTAATAAAAAAAAAAAAAATATTTACGAAGAATGCTAGAATGGGGGACTTTTATTTATTTATCAGGGTGTTTTGATTTTCATTTTAAATTTAGTCGTTGTTCACTATTTAAGCTTATGTGCCTGGGTTTATTATTTCATCTTTATTTTCTAAGGCGTTAATGCTTAACTTATTATTAGATTGCTTCAAGTTGTTATTTTGTGTGCTAAGTGTGTTTGGATGGAACAAGAAATCAATATCAAGACCTTTTGTTTAGTCACTTTCGAAATTTAATTCTGTGTTTTTATTGAGTTAATTATATTTAAGAGAGTTATTCTGAAGATAGTTTAAGTCGAGTCTTTGTCTCTTCTTTGTGTTTGTGTTGTTCATTAAATCCTTTTCATCAACTTGAGGACTTCCTTTTTCTTCATGCTTTTAATAGCTTTTCACTGTTTCTATTTCGTTTATATTACTATGCTTATCTTATATTTAAGGTAAAACAGGTAAAAGACCGCTGACTTACTGTGATTAAGGACCATTTATTGGAAATATTTTGGCGTTATTTTGTTAAATCATTTTTTGTTTTTCTTCTTCTTGATTTTATTTCATAGGGTTGTTTAGTTTTTCCTCTTAGCTAACTTCGTCTTTGTAATCTAAGTAGAAGCCAGCAAGTATACCTACAATGCAAAATACAGTTTTTCCAAAAAATATCCAGAAAATGCGATACTCTGCATAATTTACTTCTCTCTCATCAAACCACTATGTGCAATCTTATTTGAAGCTACCTATTTGGAAAGAAAAAAAAATTTAAATATTTTAAAAACCATTTTCTCAAGAATGATTAAAAATTTACCTGTGCATTTTCTGCAGTCATCTGCACAATTAAGGCAAATTTATTAAGATTTAAGTGAATCATTATCAATAATTAGAGTATCAGATAATAATCTGTTAGGATTTGTGACGGCTCCTACTCCTACATAAGTTCCATCAGGACACTAACTAGTGCATTTATTTTGATGAAGGTAAGTACCTTATTAGCAGGAGAGACATATGGCTGGATCTTATACAGAACAAGAGTTGCAGCCTTCTTCACATTTAATGCATTCTTTTTAAATTTGAGAAGGTTAGTATCCTTTAGGACACTCAGTTTAACATATATTTTAAAATTTATAAGTTTTATCTTGACAAGTAGTGCATTAGTTATAGTTCGGTCCAGAGCACTCTGCGCATGATGAGTGGCAGGGTAGACACTAATTTGGCTTTGTACTGCCAAAGCTACCTTTAGGGCATGCCTAGACACACTTTGCCCCATCCAAGTAATAATTACCAGCACATTACGTACAATCACTGTCTTGAGCGCCAAATTAGCACTAAGCACAAGATTAATGGCATTTATTGCATAAAAATGGTTGTTCAGTTGAAAAATACCCATCAGGACATGCAAGAACGCATTAATTATTATATAAATAGCTACCTTAGTTGCATTTAATACAATCATTCGCTGTATTTCCAATACAACCACCACACGTTGCATGACATGGCTGACAAATATTGTTCGCTCCCTTAAACGTCTTTTCAGGACAAGAAGAATCACAAAAATGAAGTTATTGATCTAAGTACCTAAGATATTTTAATTTCATATTTAATTCATAAAAATACTATTTGAAGATATTTATTTAGCTTTTAAAAAATGTTCTTTCTGTTTTATTAAAAATCTAATTTCATCATTCAGTATGTATTTAATTATCTATCTATCTAAAAATTAATGGCATTTTAATACTAAACAGTCTTTATTTAAATAAAAATTTTTCTTATTATGTTTTATGAAATGATTCAAATTTGCTTTATTAAGTTTGTTTTATTTTATTAGCAATAAATTCTAAATTATTTTATTAAAAGATTCTATTTTATTTTTAGAAAAATTTCTTTTATTTTTTAATAAATAAATAGAAATTTATTTTATCAATAGGTTTTTATTGTTTTACCTGTTTTATTAAAAGTTTCTATTTTATTTTACTAAAAGATTCTTTATTGTTTTATCAATAGATATTTATAATTTTATTAATAAATTCTAAATTATTTTATTAAAAGATTCTATTTTATTTTTAGAAAAATTTCTTTTATTTTTTAATCAATAAATAGAAATTTATTTTATTTATAGGTTTTTATTGTTTTACCTGTTTTATTAAAAGTTTCTATTTTATTTTACTAAAAGATTCTTTTATTGTTTTATCAATAGATATTTATTGTTTTATTAATAAATTCTAAATTATTTTATTAAAAGATTCTATTTGGTTTTATAACAAAATTCTAATTTTTTATGATTATTTTATTTTTTAACAACACAATATTTTAGAATAAAAAAATCTGATAAAAAAATGTAAAAGAAAAAATGAATAATTTTAATAAATAAGGCAAGCTTTACCTTTCTCCTTTGCAGCCTGTGCAGTCATTTTTATCTGGACCTCCGCAAGTGTAGCATTCAAAATGGCAGTTAGAACATTAGTTAAGATTTGTGTCTTAATACTATCCAGCTGGACAATTAGAACCACATGTGGAACCACTTAGAGAGTATCCTTTATTACAAGTCATGCACTCATAAACTTCTTTTCCATAGCATGAAGCACAATAAGGATGACATTAGCTACAAGTACCAGTTTCATTATTTCCATAATAACCAGTTGTACATGTTTACACGCATGTACCATTTTATAAATAATTTCCTATTTTATTTATTTAATTATAAATTTAATTCAATAAAAACACAATTTAATTTATTTAGAGTTATAACTTACCTAATTTGCAAGATTAACAATTTTGTGGAAAATAGCCGTTGCATGTAGCACAAGAAGGGTGACAAGGTTGACAACCTTTTAAGTCTAAAGGAAAGGTGTTACTTGGACATATCGTAACACAAAGACCATTTAAATAATATCTTCCAGGACGACAAGTTAAACAACTAATACTATATTAATCTGAGCATGTTTCACATGTCTCATGGCATTACTTGCATAAGTAGATACTTGGATCCTGATAATATCCTATAGGACAAGTGTCCATACATTAACCTTAAGGAGTAAGATATTAATTATTACAGGAAGTACAACTTGTATTAAGACCAGGACTTTTGCAAGTTTTACAGCTTTTATGGCATTTTGAACAGACATAAGCAGGATCAGAAACTGGGAAATACCCATCTCCACAATCTTAAACACATGTTGTATCTAATAAGAAGCCATCTTCAAGATCACATGAAGTACATTAATTTGAGAATGGTCCAGTGCAGTTACCACACTAAATATTGCATTTTTCACATCTCATAGTTGCATCATCTTTGTATTTCTTATTTTAGCAATTTAACACACACTAAAAATCATCTAAATAAAGATTAGGTTTATCACATTTCGTACACTTCGTAGCTGAATCTACGCATTCAGCACAAGGCGAAGTACAGGGATCACAAGTACAAGTTTTTTTGTTTCCAAAATAGCCAGACTAATTTAAAAAAACAAATTTAATAAAATTATTTAATTTTAAGTCTTTAAAGTTAATTAATTAATTAATTACTGGACAATTGAGCTTACATTCAGTTCCTAGTAAGAATCTAGGTAATTCACACTGTGTACATTGATTATTATTTGGGCCTTTACAATTGAAACATTCAATATCACATGGATCACAAGTATTTGTGGAAGAATTAGGATAAAATCTATCTTAACAAACAGAAACGCATTCACTTTTATCACTGTCAAGATAATATCCATTTATGCAAGCTTAACACTAGTTGTACTTACCACCCGTGCATCTTAAGCAGGGCTTATAGCATGGATTACAAATGAGAACTTGGCAACTGGTGCAGGTTTATGTAGCAGGATAAAATTGGTCTCCACAATTTGCAACACAACTATTAGTTTTGAGATAGATTCCATCAAAGCAAGTCAGGCAATTGTTGGGACCTGCTCCTTAACAAGTTTTACAAGATTCATGACAAGAAGAGCAATATCTTGGAGTTGGATTAGATTTATCTTCAAAAGATCCATCTGGGCAACGGTCTTTAAAGCACTAAGATTTATAAAGGTAATAACCACTATCACATTAAACACATCCTGCTTAGTCTTGACACTTTGTACAATTATCAATGCACTATTTAATTTTTTTTTTTAATAATTTTAATAAATTTATCTTTCTTTGTCAAAAACTGAAAGTAAGTTTTTACATAATCAACAATGACAATAAACTCTCTCATTCCAAAACTTTCGTTTTCTATTTGACCTAATGAGTTGGTTATAGTTAAACTATAAGTATCTGGAGTTGTGACAGTCACATTAATATATTAATATTAAAATAGCTCCTATTAATCTTTTCTACCGCAAATTAAATCTTTTCCATTGCCTGTAATTGACTATCTTTTAAGTTCTTATCCACCACTGTTTGTGATAACAAAATTTACATATTCACCTTTTTCGTAGTTATCTATTTAGCCAAACAAGAAAGAAATTAAAAAAGAGCTATATTTAGCACCTGCAGGCAAAGTAAATGAGTAGTTTATTTATGATCCAGGTCCATAAATATTGTACCCAGCAAAAAATCTATAATCTCCACAATCAGTAAATTTAGACCAATTATTTGCTCCATAAAATCTTCCTGGTGCATTTATTTAAAATTTAGCACCTACTATTTCAGATTCACTAAATGTTTTGGAAAACAATTCATACACTAAATATTTTGCATCTTTTTATTAAATAATTTAAATATAAAATTACTTTATTGTTAATATATTTTTTTTGAAAAATATTAAAATATATTTTTAATTTTAATAATATCTTTTTAAAAAAATAAATAAATATTTATCTAAGAATCAGAAATTTAAAAGAGTCAATGAATATATTAATAAGGTATAGTAAATTACTTATTTATAATTATTTATTTGTATGGATAAAAAAGTATTACTTATCTTTATTGATTTTTTATTGGTAGTATTAATTAAATTATATTTTTACTCACTTATGGTGAGCAAATGTTATTTTATTTATGCATCTTAATTAATTAATAAATAAAAAATTACTCCATTTTCCAACTGTTGGATCTTTGCATACACCAGTACTGTCTTTCGGTGCGTCAGGAGGACATGTGGCTACACATTAACCCATATAATAAAAATATCCTAACTTGCATTATGTACAAAATGTAGAGCTCTTGCAAGTTCCGCAATATACATTTTCTGGAGCAGAAGAGCAATAATCAATAATGCATGTCTGCTATGTAGTGTCTGGGTTTTTTATGTATCCAGATGGGCATGGATTATAGCATTTACCATCTAGCATATATTTTCCAGTAGGACACTAACACTTACCACCAGAAACAGGAGAACTAGTAGGATCACATTATGTGCATTGGTTGGCTGTGGGTCCACTGCATTTAAGACAGGAACTATGACATCTATCAAGATATATTTCAACTAAACTTAAGATTAAATCGCCAGATGCATAGAGATCGAGTTTCATTGTAGGTGAATTATGTGTATAATTTGAATATACTATTTAGTATAAAGCAAAAAAAATTATTTTTAAGTGAAACAAACAAACAAATACAATTAACAAATAAAAAATGACTAATTGATTAAAATACCTCTTTAAAAATTTTCAGCAGTACTAGTGCAAACAGCATAAGAATTAGAGTAAGAATAATAATAATAGCAAGGTTAAGGCTGAGTATCTATATATAAACAGCCAGAACCACCAACACCAACAACTAGATCAAATCTGACTCCAACTGACCAGTGAGGAGGAAGACCAGTATATGTTTTAGAGATTGAATATCCACTTCTTAAAACAAACAAATCCCTGTTGAGTAACTCTGTAACAGTTCCAGAACAAGTTTTGTAATATGCATTCGAAGATGAAAGAGACCATCCATCAGTATCTCCAGCAGATATAGAACCAGCTCCTTTTTGAAACCATTTTTTTGTGCTAAATTAGAATCCATCTGATTGAAATAATAATTAAAATAATTAACTTATAAAAACTATAAAACATGTAATTTAAATATGAATTACAAGTAAGGACTTCTTCTATGAATAAAAGAACTAAAGCAAATTGGAGGATAATTTGCTTCATTTGCATTTTTGCTTTTGATTTTTTAAAAAAATAGCTAAATGTCTACTTTTGTTATTTTGCTAATATTAATAGAAATCAGATTTGTTTGATAAAAATCGCTTCCTTTCTTTCTACTCTTTTAATTGATATTTTTAAGATTAATTAAATGATTTATGTAAACTAAATTTTTGTGAGTATCAATTATTGTCTTAACAAATAATATTTATTTATTTATAAATCATTTAAGTTCCTTTGTTAGAGTTCAAGCAAAATTAATTAAATAATAACAATAAACAATGAGGAATAAACAATATTCTTCAAATAGATTTGCAAAAGACAATTAATATATTAATGTAAGTTCTTCAAGTATTCAAACTAAAAACTAAACTAAGTTTTCAGCAAATAAATTAAGATTACAGTTCTTCTAAACTTTATTTCTGGTAGTAAAATCCATCCATTGCTCTTTTTTATATTATAAATATTTGCTTATATTTTTCAATACATTAGTTTTTTTTCAAATCTCATTTTAATCTTCAGCAACCAAGCAAACATATTTTTTTTTGAATTTTATCAAAAAAAAAACTATTTGGATTTTGAATTCAAGCATCTTCTAAATCTTATTTTTTTCAATGTAAACTCTCATTATGGGAATTTATAAAAAAAACTAAAAACTATTCCCAATAAAATTTTATATAGTAAATAAATCTATGAAGTAAATAATTAAATTCTTTGTATTAATTTAAATCAATCAAAAAGCTTTGATTATGAATACAATTAATTTACCAAATATTCAATTCATCAATTCCAAGAGCTCTTTTTTGGTATTAATATTTTTTTATAAATATCTATCTAAAATTAATAAAATTTAAATCTTGCTTCATCATCTCTTATCAGAATAAGGCATTTTTCTAATCAATAGAATCCTTAATCATCAAAAATAATTATTAATAAATCAAAATCACAAAGATAAAAAAAGCTTCAAATTCTTTTTAAATATGAATATATTACATTTAATTTCAATAGAATTTTTATCAAATTTTAAATGAATTCATATTGAAATCTAACATTAAATAAAGCTATATAAAATCAATGATAAAATAAGTAAGCTGCTTTGAAGATATTGAGCTCAGAAACTATATTAAATATTATTAAGTTATCAAAGATAGATAGATAAATAAATACATGGTGATTTTGAAATAGTTCAAAAAATTAGGAGTTTATCTTGTTTCAATTATATTAAAATATTATTTTAAACTATTTAATTTATTTTTTTCAAAAAAAATATTTTTTAAGAAGTTAACAAATTAGTATCAAATTGTTAATTAAATTTAATTTAATTCATTCTTCAAATAAACTAAACCAGAAAAAAGAGAGTATGGAAGAAATGTAAAAATTATTAAATCTTTATTAAATTATTTAATATGTATTTAAATATATTATTTTATATACTTGTTGGCTATTAAAGAATGAAAATATAAATTATTAAATTATAAATAAATAAATTTCAATTAAATAAAGTTTTTTTAATATTTTTGTTGAAATGATGTTAATGAAAACAAGTCAAACACTCATATATTAATTTCAAATTGGATTAAATATAAAATTTTTTATAAATTGAATAAAACTAGCCTTAATTAATTGAATAAAGAATATGGCAAAATAAAATGACTGAGTATCTATAAAATATTTATTTAATCAAATTTAACTTTTAACTTAAGAATTTATTCAAAAAAAATTATTTTAGCTTAAATTATCTATTAAAAACAGATTAACAAACATAAATTTATATGATATAATAATTATTAAATTATTACATAAGATGTACTTGAGATCTTTCACGAGTGGTTTTCACTAAATTTATAGAAATAAATGTAAAACTAAATTAAGATAATCAAAAGCAGATGAAAAATAAATTACTCTAGCCATTTTTTCAACAAATCATTAAAGAAGAGAATTTTTAATATTTTATGGAAGCAATCATATTTAATGATGAGTCTAGAAGAGAAATCATAAGTAATGATAATCTAAATAATTAAATAAACTATTTAGAATAACCCTAGATCTGCCAAGAAAGTGTAGAAGTAGAGATTGCTCCAAGATTTATCTTGAGGGAAAGATATTCTAGCTATTTCAGGGAACATGAATGCTTTTAAATGGAAAAATACTATCACTATAAAAGCTGTAAAAGATAGCATTGTCAGTTACTAAAATCTAACTCCTAAATAAATAATACCATAATTAATTAATTTGACAGTAAGCAGAAGTCCAAGCATCGAAAATGCTATCAGATAATATTGATTCTATTTTACAATTTATTTATTTATTAATTTAAATTTTTAATTTTTTATTTTACATTTGAAATGTTAGATGTAATAAAGAAGATAAATAGAAGTTTGCAGTAATAAACTAAAACTCTGACAGGTCTCATATAAGCGATGTTTTTGTAAACAAACATTTAGGTTATTTCAAAGAAAGTCTTTATTAAGTTTTAAAATTTTCTTTATTAAAAAATTAAATTTTAAAATAAATTTACTATAAATGCCATTAAAGGGGATTTTTATTCTATTTTCATATTATCATTTTTATTTTAAATCTAATTATCACTTTATGACATTTATGTTTTAAATTTTTATTGGTTTTAGGTTTTGCTTTATTGGAAAGAAATGTCTTCTTCAATTCCTTTAGATTTATCATTTTTTGAGTTCATTCCTGTGTTTTTATTTACATAATTAAATTGAAGAGAGTTATCACAGAACAAATTTAATTATAGTCTTTGTCTCTTCCTTGAATTCTATGTTTTAATCAAATCCTTTTCATCAACTAGAGGACTTTCTTTTTCTTCGTAGCTTTTTACTGTTTCTATCTCATTTAAATTATTATCTTTATCTTATGGATGTGCTAATACTTTTAGAAGGCCACTCGCAGGTTAGGGTTAATGTCTATTTTAGGGATAAATTTTGGCATTATTTTACTAAATCATCCTTTATTTTTCTTCCTCTGGACTATTACTTGTTAGGCTATTTAGTTTTTCCTGTTCACTCACTTCTTCTCTGTAATCTAAGTAAAAACCAGCAATCAAACTCAAGAAACAAAATACTGTCTTTCCAAAGAATATCCAGAAAATAATATATTCTGCGTAGTTGACTTCTCTTTCGTCAAACCACTGTGTACAATCTTACTTAAAGCTACCTATTTATTTATTTATATTTAAAATATTTTATAATTTATTTTATCAAGTTTAGTTTAAAATTTACCTGAACATTATCTGCAATCGGATGCACAATTTAGGCAAATTTCTTCAGATTCAATTTCACTTTACTCGGTATCTATTTTAGTTAAGACTCTATCAGGATTGGTAATAGCTGGAATTCCTTGATAAGTTCCATCAGGACACAATTTGATACATTTATTCTGATGAAGGTAAGTTCCTTTTTCGCAAGAGAGACAAATAGCTGGATCCTATACAGAGCATGCTTTGCAGCTTCCTTCACATCTAATGCATTCCTTCTTAATTGGTGAAGGTTGATATCCATTAGGACATTCAGTTTAGCATATATTTTCAAACATGTAAGTATTATCTTAACAAGCAGTGCACTGATTGAAATTTGGGCCAGAGCATTCTGCGCATGATGGATTACAAGGCAGACACTAATTTGGATTTTAACTGCCAAAAGTACTTTTAGGGCATATTTCCACACATTTTGTCCCATCCAAATAATAGTTTCCATTACATGAAACACAGTCACTGTCTTGAGATCCAAATTAGCATTAAGCACAAGACTCATGACATTTATTGCATAAAAATGGCTATTCAGTTGGAAAGTATCCATCAGGACAAGCAAGAACGCATTAATTTTAATACAAATAGCTGCCTTAGCTACATTTAATGCAATCGTTCTGGCTTGGTCCTTAGCACCCAAAGCAACTGGGATGGCATGGCTAGCAGGTGTTGTTCTCTCCTTTATATGTCTTCTCTGGGCAAGAAGAATTACAAACAAAGAGTTATTTGTCTAAGTACCTAGTATATTTTAAATAAAAATATCATATTGTTAAGACCCAAAAAAATTATCTCTCATATTTACTAAAAAAATACAAATTTATTTATATATACTTGCAATTGTAAATAAATATACTGCCTTTTCAGTAAGATTTTTGAAAAAAATTTTTAATTTAACAACTTAACATCTAGTTTAACCTTAAATTAATAAAGGCCTTAGCATACAGAACAGGCGGTATTTGATTTACAAAATAATTTTTTTGACTTAATTAAAAGAAGAAAAATTTTATCAAAATAAATGAATTAGCCAGCCAATTAATGAATTTTAATCGAATTCTTTCCTTTTTTAAAATTTATTTTTTAACTGCTCTTTTTTGTTAAATTGAATAATTTATTTGTAAAATCAAATATGTTTATTTTTTCACCTATAAATTTATTTTTTTTAAATTAAACGATAATTTTTTTTTGTACTTTGAATAATAATAATTCATATTTCTTCTACTTGAATAATAATTATGTCTTTTTTAACAAAATGCTATTTTTAAATCTTAATTAGGGTATTCTGTAAGTATCAAATTAATTTATTTAATTTTTATCAAATTTATTAAATTTATAAATCAATCTATATTGCTGTAAATGTTTATTCATAAAAGAGCTTTCTCTTGATCAATTTGATTTAGAAAACACATTTTTTATTAGGTTTTCTGCTTTGAAAATTTAATATTTAAATGAATTAGTTGCCTTTGTTTAAACCAAAAATATTTAGATTTTTCTAAAACATTTGTTTTTTGTTAAATAAAATGCTATTTTTTTATTTTCTTTTCATAATAAATTTGGGATAAATTTATTTTTTCTTTTGTATTTATTTATTTATTTATTTATTTATTTATTTATTTATTTATTTATTACCTTTCTCCTTTGCAGCCTGTGCAATCATTTTTTTCTGGACCTCCACAAGTGAAGCATTCGAAATGACAGTTTAGGCAAGAATTAAGATTGTTGTCTTAATATTATCCATCTGGACATTTAGTACCACAAGTAGTACCACTAATAGAGAAGCCTTTATTACATTTCGAGCATTCATTAACTTCTTTTCCGAAACAGGAAGCACAGTTAGGATGACATTAGCTGCATAAACCAGTTTCAATATTTCCATAATAGCCAGCTGAACAAGTTTCTACACAAGTTCCATTTTACAGATAGTTTCCTGTTTAAAATATAAATATATTTTTATATTAATTAAACACTTTTTCATATAGAAAAAATTTTTTACCTAATTTACAGGATAAGCAGTTTTGTGGTAAATAACCGTTGCATGTTGCGCATGATGGATGACAAGGTTAACAACCTTTTAATTCTAATGGAAAAGTATTACTTGGACATGTTGTTACACAAAGTCCATTTAAATAATATCTTCCTGGAATACAAGTTAAACAGCTGATACTATATTAATCTGAGCAAGTTTCACATGTTTCATGACATTTTTTACATTGATAAATGGCTGGGTCTTAGTAATAACCTATAGGACAAGTGTCTAAACATTAGCCTTATGGATTAAGATATTAATTGTTACAAGAAGTACAACTTAAATTATCGCCTGGATTTTTACATGTTTTACAACTTTTATGGCACTTTGTACAGACATAAGAAGGATCAGAAACTGGGAAGTAACCATCTCCACAATCTTAAACACATGTTGTATCTAATAAAAATCCATCCTCAAGATCACATGAAGTACATTAATTTGAGAAAGGTCCACTGCAGTTACCACATTAAATATTGCATTTTTCACACCTCATCGTGGCATCGTCTTTATATTTCTTATTTTAGCAATTTACAACACACTAAAAATCATCTAAATAAAGAGTAGGATTATTGCATTTTGTGCATTTAGTTGCTTAATCTATGCATTCTGCACATGGAGAGATACAAGGTTCACATTACCAATTTTTTTTGTTTCCATAATAGCCAGACTAAATTTAAATTTAAATAAACTATGTTATAAAAATAGAAAAAAACAAAAGGATATACTGGACAGTTGAGTTTGCATTCATTTCCTAGTAAGAACCTAGGATTTTCACATTAAATGCATTAGTTGTTATTAGGACCTTGGCAATTAAAGCACTCAACATCACATGGATCACATGTGTTAGTGGAAGAATTAGGATAAAATTTATCTTAACAAACAGAAACACATTCACTTTTATCAATATCTAGGAAATATCCACTTATGCAAGCTTAACATTGGTTATAACTTCCACCTGTGCATCTCAAACAAGGCTAATAGCAAGGATTACATATAAGATTCTGGCAATCAGTGCAAGTTAATGAAGTAGGATAGAATTGATTTCCACAATTAGCAACACAGCTATTTTTTCTGAGATAAATTCCATCAAAGCAAGTTAAACAATTATTCGAAGAACTTCCTGTGCAAGTTTTACAAGATATATGACAAGAGGAGCAATATCTAGGAGTAGGGTTAGATTTATCTTCAAAAGAACCATCTGGACAGCGATCTTTATAGCACTGAGAATTGAAAAGGTAATAACCAGCATCGCATTAAACACATCCAGCTGAGTCTTGACATTTTATACAATTTTCAATGCACTATTTAAATTATTTAAAGAATAAAAATAATTTTTGATTTTTTTGTTAAATATTCTTCTTACATAATCAACAATGACAATAAACTCTCTCATTCCAAAACTTTCATTTTCTATTTAACCTAATGAGTTGGTTATTGTTAAACTATAAGTATCAGGAGTTGTGGTAGTCACATTAATATATTGATATTAAAACAATTCTTGTTGATCAGTTCTTCCGCAAATTAAATTTTTTCCATTACCAGTAATAGATTATTTTTTGATTTCTTATCCAGCACTATTTTTGATAATAAAATTAACATATTCACCACTCTCGTAATTATCAATTTGACCAAACAAGAAAGAAATTAAAAAAGAGCTATATTTAGCACCTGCAGGCAAAGTAAATTAATAGTAAATTTATGATCCAGGTCCATAAACATTGTACCCAGCAAAAAATCTGTAATCTCCACAATCACTAAATTTAGTCCAAGTAGGTCCGCCATAAAATTTTCCTGGTGCACTAATTTAAAAATTAGCACCTGTTATTTCTGAATCACTAAACTATTTAGAAAACAACTCATAGACTAAATATTTAGCATCTTTGTATTAAAATCAAAATAAATTTATTTTCAATTAAAAAAATTTTTTAAAAATATATTAGAAATCTTAAAAAATTAAATAAATATTTTGGAATCTTGTTTACGAAAAAAAACTTTCTATTTTTCAAAAAATGATTTTTTATTTGATACTGTAAAAATAATAAATAACCACATCTAAAAATATGAAAGTTCCAAAAAAAATTACTCCATTTTCCTACAGTAGGGTCTTTACATTATCCAGTGCTGTCTTTTGGTGCTTCAGGAGGACATTCGCTGACACATGAACCTCGGTAAAAAAAATATCCTATTTTGCATTTTTAACAATATATTGAGGTCTTGCAAGTTAAGCAATAGACATTTTATGGTTCTGAAGAGCAATAATCAATAACACATGTTTGCTAAGTAGTATCTGGGTTTTATACATAACCAGGAGGACATGGATTATAGCATTTCCCATCTAGCATATACTTTCCAGTAGGGCACTTACATTTACCACTTGTCACAGTAGAGCAACTAGGATCACATTATGTACATTAACTATCAGTGGGTCCATTACATTTAAGACAAGAGCTATGACACACATCAAGGTAGATTTCAACCATGCCTAAAATTAAATCACCTGATAAGGCTTGCAGTTCAAGATTTAAAGTCGGCGAAGAATGTGAAGTAGAATTTGTATACACTATTTAATTAATTAAAAGTATCTCTCTTAATATGTGTAATTAAGTCATTAATTAAAATAATAAATAAATAAATACCTCTCTAAAAATTTTCTACTCTGTTTGTGCAAACATTGTAAGAATTAGTGTAGGAATAATATTTATAGCAAGGCTACACAGATCCCTCTATACTTAAGCAGCCTTATGCTGAAGAAGCAATTACTAAATCAAATCTAATTCCAACTGACCAGTGTGGAGGAAGATTAGTATAAGTTTTAGAGATTTTATATCCAGATCTTAAAACAAATAAATCTCTATTTAGTAACTCAGTAACAGTTCCAACGCATGTTCTATAATATGCATTTGTTGATGAAAGAGACCATCCATCAGTGTCTCCGCTTGCGATAGAAGGCTTTCCTTTTTGAATCCATTTTGCTGAGCTTAATTGATATCCATCTGAATTAAATATTAAATAAATATAAAAAAAATAATCAAAATAAATAAAATGGTAATATTTATTGATATACATGCTAAGACATCTTCAAAAAATAAATGTATCAAAGCCAAAATATAAAAAATTTTTTGTTTCATTTGTCCTTTTCCCTTTTAGCTTTTGCTGATATGCTTAATTATGCTAGTTTGTTTGTTTATTTGTTTAAAAATTAATTAAAATAATTAAATTATTCTGTTCTACTTTGTGATATTTTCTAATAAATTAAATGAATGAATGATTGATTGATGTAATCTAAAATCATACAAGTATCATAGCCTCATAAAATATTCTATCATTTAAATGAATTAATAATTAATTAATTTATTAAAAAGATTTATTGAATTAAATTAAAACTAAAATAAGAAGTAGTATCCCAAAAATAGATTTGAAATATATTTACTATCAATGTAACAAAAATATAAAGCTATTATAATTTTAATAAAATCAAATTTCAACTAAAGTTTAATTAACGTAATAAATCAATTAATCCATTAAATTTGACTACATGCTTTCATTATCAATTTTTTAGAATATCTTTTTCAATACAGTAAACAAATGAATGAATTTTTTAAAAGAAAATCGAATATAAAGAAAAATGTATTTTTAATGACGCAGAAGTAACTATTTAAATTCTTAATTCTAAAATTTATAAACAATATTTTTTATTAGTTTATTTATTAATTTTTTAGAAAAAAAAATAGGAAAGCACTGACATAATATAAAATAAAAATATTCATATTTACGCCTCATATAGAAATTTTTTTAATAAATAGTAATTCTAAATATTTTTACAAAAATGATTAGGTTAAGAATGAATCGATACAATTCAAACATTTTATATGATAGAAAATTAGTATTTTTATAATCCTCATCTAAAAGATAAAAAATTGAAATGAATGCATTTAATATTATTTGACATCTTTTTTTTTACACGCAGTCAGTCAGTAAGTAATATTCTTTCTAATCTTTAATTTCAGGTATGGTTAATGTTAATTTTTTTCTTAACTTATTTATATTTAGAAAAGGCAAAGAAGATATTAAGTTTTTATATGATTGAAAAACATATAAGCAATTTTATGATTCAGCTTTATTGCTTGTAAAATTAAAAATTAATTTATAACAAATCCTCATTTATTTAAGCAAAATTAATTTTAATAAAAGCTTTCATTTTTTTGTTAAAATGAGGGATGTTTTTAAAGAAATTCATTTATTTAATATGTTAATTTAATTTGTAATTTACATTTATTTAATAAGCTATTTATTAACTTACAAAAATAAATATAATATAGATAAATATAAAAATAATTAATAAATCTATTTATTTATTTATCTATCTATCTATCTATCTATCTATCTATCTATCTATCTATCTATCTATCTATTTAGCTTTATATATTTTAGGTTATACTTTCTTTTTACAAACTATTGTATAATAAAACAACATATTATTTTCTATTATTCAAATATTTAATATTTATTCATCCTTTTTTCAATAACAGTAGTAATATATTTCAAAGACAACTAATCTTTTTGATTTATTACATTTGCTTATTATTTTAAAGTATTATTATTTATTGATTTAGTTATTCCTTTTATAATTTATTAAATTAAAATAAAATAAATAAAAAAATTATTAGGATAATAAAAAAGAAAAAGAAAATAAATTTTATAAAAAGCTAATAAACAAATTAAAAGAGTTTATTGTTTTAAATTCATTTTTATAACTAAAAATATCACAATCCAAAACAAATAAAGGAACTATGCTTGATGCACGTTTATCACCAATTTAATTCCAAATTAAAAATTTTTGAAGAAAAATATATAATTAGTTAGTTATTTAGATAGAAAAAATGAAGAAAAAAATATGAAATAATAAGAATAGATTAATAAATAAATAATAAAAGTAACTGTTGTAAATAAAAAAATTAATTAAATTAAGAAAGATAGATAGATAGATGATAGAAGAAGAAAAAAGACAAGTACAATAAAAAAAAAAGAAAAAGAAAAATAAATCAAATAAAAATCTAATAAACAAATGAATGAGTTAATTTGTTTTAAATTCATTTTATAACTAATAATATCACAATCCTAACAAAACAATTAAACTATTTTTACCCAAGATTAAGTTTTAAATTTGACAAATTAATTTAATTTGTTAAAGCAAAATCTAAGTTTGATGATTCGGCTTTTTAAATATTGAAGAAAATAAAAATAAAAAAATTATTTAAATTTAAAAAATTATAAATTAAAAATAAAAAAATTTAATTGTATTTAAAATTAAAGCATAAAATAAAAATTTTATTTTAAATTAAAAAAATTAATTAAAACTAAAATTAAAAAAATTTGATCAAAAATTTAAAGTCTGTCTTAAATTGATTTAATATGAATGAATGATATTATTATTTTTTATTTTTAACAATATTATTAAAAAATAAATAAAGACATTTAGTTCTTATAAAAAAAGCAAATTTAAAAATAAATAAATAAATAAATCAATCAATCAAAAATAGTAATAATTTATTAATGACCTCAATGTTTTATAATTTAATTTAATTTTTATCTATTATTAATTTCGCATAACCCTTTTAAGAAAATAATTAATGTAAAATTACTTATTCAATTAATTTAATTTATTTATAGTAAATACATTAAAATCTGTCTGAAATTGAACTATTGTATTTTAGAATCCAAATTAATATCATAATTACAAATCTAAAAGTTATAAATTATATTTTTATTTTTGCATTGAATTTGATCAGTTTGTTTTATAAATTATTTTTTTTAAATAAAATATTTAGGCATTTCATCTACTTTCTGATTTTAGTTTATAAATCTAAAATTTACTTTTCATTTTTACTATTAAAAAATAAAATTATTTGAATTGAATAAAATTTCACTTTAATCATAGAATAAATTCAAATGATAAAAATAAATGGTAGATATTGAAATAAGAATAAATCAATGAAATTTTGATTAAATTCTTACTTCTATTTGGCAAACAAAGACAGAGAGAGGAAATAAGAAATTTAATAAATAGAATGATAAATAAATAAATGAAAGAATATTGCTTAATTTAAATTTATGGATTCTATCTCTTGGAATGTATTAATTAATTAATAAAAATCTCTATCACAAGAATACTTTAATTATGAAAATCGTACGAGTTTATGGATATCAATTTAGATGGTCAGTTTTTGTACTTAATGATACTTAGATATCATTTGATATTTACACTGTTCGAGTAAAAGAATAAAGTAAAACAAAATTAATTAGTAAAAGTGAAGTAATAAATCTATAAACAACAAGGGAACATATTCCTTCTCACTATCGATAATTTAGATATTAATTTACAATAGCATTGATTTTCTTTAAATTCATAAATTAGTTGTAATAAACTTGATTAAAAAACAAAAAAAAGATTTTTTTTTATTCAACTAATTTATTAAAAGAAACAAAGATAATAACAAAGAAAAATATACTTTTATTTATTAACAAACGCAATGAGAGTTATTTTATTAGCAATGTTCTTCATCCAAACTTATTTTGAGCTTGTTAGAGCGAGTAAGAAATAATTAATACTTGAAACAATTTGTGTTTTTTTATTGAAATCTTAAATAAATGAACTTGAATTACATCATTCACCAATCTTTATTGTCATTATTATAACAATTAGAGAATCTTCTGATAGCTAGAGAATGGCTGAATCCACCTTTTACTGGATGGGGAAGCGGAAAGTCTATCATATGTGCAGGCTAATTAATTGAAGCAAACAAAGAAGTACTTTATATTGGAGATGGTTAGAAATCAGTTCAGAAATAATTCTAAAATTTACCCGAACATTTTCGCGTGTTAGTAAGAATAGACTTTGTAGCAATTGATGAATGGGATGGAAGTTAAAAAATTATATTCAGTGCTGATTCTTAAACTTTAGGTTCTTATTCATCGTATAGCTAGGGTCCTGGTGATAGACTACATTTGAAGATATGTGGAAAATAAGGAATTTAGGATAGATTTGAAAGAGGTAATTCATTTATTTATTTATTATACTTTATTTCTACTTAGATTAATTTCTTTAATTTAATTAAAAAGTTCAATATGTCATAAGTCATACTAGCAATACAGTTACAATCAAGGCAGAGACAAACAGTAAAGGCTATGCTGGATTGCTTGATCTTCAAATTTATGTTGATACATGTCATGCTGATTGTAAAGGGTGTAGCGGAGCTAGTGAAAATTAATGCTCTTCTTGCAAAACAGGAGCTACACTTTCCTCTGGTAAATGTGTTTGTCCTACTAATTAATACATGTATTAAGGCAGCTGCCTGCCAGATTGTACTGGAAACTTGAGGAAAAGTTCAAATGGATTATTTTGCGAAGAAATACCTTGCAAATTGTCTACATGCAGATAATGTGATTCAGATAACTTTACATGTGCAGCTTGTGTAGGAAGTTATAGAAGATTTAACAAATCATGTGTTAAATCTTGTCCTTCCTACACTGAAAATGTTAATGGTGAATGCATTGAATTAACCAAAAAATATTGGAGTAAAGGATTTAAAAATTTGTTTAAAAATTATTTGATAATAAAGTCTTAAACAATTTTCGTTCTATTTTGAATGAAAGTTGATAGGATTTGAATGTAAAGTTAAAAAGAGAGATAAATTTATATTATAAAAATAGATGGAATGTTCTTGTTTAAAGGTTTTTTTGAGGACGATTTTTCTAATTTGAGTTTTGAAGAATATGGTTTTAATTTCAATCCTATTTTGCCTGAGGAAAGTAATGTTAATTTAAAGGATTGGGCTTAGTTTTCTGACTGCAATGATAACTCTGTTTTAAAGCGCTTTTATGGAGGATTTGGAATTATTGGAAAAGATGTTTCTATCAAGAAAACATGGGACATTGTTGATTAAAATAAGAAGCCAATCAAACACAGTTCAGTCTTAGTTAAATTTTACTACGCTTAAGTTGAAAATTACGAAGAACTCAAAGATGGAGTTACTCCTGAAGAAGAGTTTGTCAAAATTAATGATCAAAAGATCTTTTCTTTGTATGGTGGTGGTACCTAAATGGGTTGCGGAAGATTGGATTAAGGAGAAAATTTCGGATGGATAGAAGCTAACTCAACATAAACTAATAAAACCAACTAGATTAAGCTTGAAATAGGCAATAATTTCATTGATCCAGCTTGGTATGAAGGTTTCGGAATTAGAGAAATGATGATCATTGTCTCAAGGGTAAAAATCATATTATTTACTTCTTTACTTATACTTTATTTACAGATTACTAGAAGAAAATACATGACAAAATGCATTATATATATAGATGAATTAATCGATGATATCCATTCCCTTTTTTATAATTTTTATCTGATTAATTCTTAATTTCTTTTTTCCTATTTTTTGATCCATGAAACAAAGATCTTTAATCATCATATCAAAAATTCTTTAGCTTACAGTAGTAATTCACATTAATTTAATTGATTTCACAAAATAAATTAATAAACCATATCAAAATAATTGGGTGATCTCTTACTTGCTTTTGATTATTTGCTTAACACTATTTTAATGATACTTATTTTTGATAGAGATATTTAATAATTCCTTTTTTCGATTATTTTCTGAGCAATTTAATCAATGTAAATGCGAAACAATTAATTCCAATATCTAAAAATAAATTGAAATCAAATAATAATTGAATTTACCATTTAAATTGAAGTTTATATTGAAATTAATTAATATTAACCTCTAAAAATTTTCAACTATTTACAATAAACATAATTTAGGCAGATTGAATATAAAGCAGTATTTTGAGACAGTCTCAAAAATATTTACAAATAGTTAATTTTTTTTGTGCGAGTTAAAACAAATATAAAAAATTATTTTTTAGATTTTAAAAGGGAATCAAATATTTTTAAGATTTTTTTAGGATTAAAATTTATTTTTTTAAGATAAAAATCTATAGATATATTGCTGAGTTGTTTCTTTTAATTATATAAATTCAGAGGGAAATTATATTTTGGATATATTTTTCTTATTAGAAGAAAGTAGAAATTTTATTCCAATAATTAAATTTGATTATTTGGATAAAAATGCTTTATTAAAAAATATTAATTAAAGAATGAATGAATATTTGTTTTCATAATTTTAGGTGCTAAAAAATAAAATAATTTAAAGCAACTTATTTCTTTATTTTTTGGAATTTTTTTAGCAATTTCGTAATCATTCTAATTTCCAATAAAATGATATTTTCATTGCTAAAATTAGAAATTACCAACTCCTTTTCAACTTTTTAGGATATTCAATCAAATATTTTGTTAAATTCTCTACAAAGTGATTGCCTGACCTTTTTTAATAAAAAAATTATCAATCTATGAATGAATATTTGTTTTCATAATTTTAGGTGCTAAAATTAAAATAATTTAAAGCAACTTATTTCTTTATTTTTTGGAATTTTTTTAGCAATTTCGTAATGATTCTAATTTCCAATAAAATGATATTTTCATTACTGTAATTAGAAATTACCAACTCTTTTTCAACTTTTTAGGATACTCAATAAAATATTTTGCTAGATCTTCTACAAAGTGATAGCTTAATGTTTTTTAATAAAGAATTTAGAATAAAATTGTTGGGAATTATTTTTAATTTTTTAAAAATGACAAAAAAGTGAATGAAAATATTTCAATGTTAATATGTTAATCATATGGAATTCTTGAGATGATTTTAATTATTTTTTAATATTTTAATAGTGTATCGATAATTGTGAAGAATGTGGGGATTACGATGGCTGTGTAAGATGTAGTACTGGCTATTACTTGTGGAGGGCATAGTGCTATAAAGATAAATGCCCAGATGGTTCATTTTTAAATTAGGATATAAAAACTTCTAATGTTTGCAAAGATTGTCATCCAACATGTCTAACTTGCAATGGACCTAAATCTGATTAGTGTCTAACTTGTTTAGATCCACTCCTCTTTAAAAAAGGTTCATGCAATTTAGATTGTGGATTAGGATTTTACCCAAATAAACCAATCTGTTCTCCCTGTCACACAGAATGCTATTCTTGCTTTGGACCAAACAATAACTAGTGTCTAAAATGCACAGGTAATAGATACTATTTTAAGTAAACAAATAGCTGTCTACTAGAGTGTCCTGAGACTTATTTTCCAAATACCCATTCTAATTATTGCGATCCATGCAACTCTAAATGCCTAACTTGTGATGGGCCCAGTGAAAACCAATGCTTAACTTGCACATCTGTAGCGCCATCTAGATTTCTTATGGATCACAAATGTGAAGCTTAATGCCCAGTAACACAGATTTATTTTTTCTATTATTTATCTTCTCTTATTAATTTATAATCTTCATTTTAAATAATTTTAATTAAATTAATTCTTTAAAGACATCAACAAAAATTTGATTTTAACATTAACAATTTAAAAAAAAGCAATTTAATCAATTCAAAATAATGATTTAAATTTCTTTTATTTTTAAATTTATTAAACAAAATATTTCCAAAATACAAAACTCAAACATATTTTTCAAGTACAATTTTAATTTCTTTTTGTTTTATTAAAAATTAAATACAAAACAAAATTATAAAATTTTTTAAAAATTCAATTGAATAATTTTATGAAAATTATTATTATTAATTTCTTATTCGATTTAAATACAGCTTTGATGTTTAAATATCTTAAATTTTGGTTGTTTATTTGTTTTTGAATATCTCAATTTTCTATAATTTTTATTATTTTATCTTAATAAATTATTAATTCAAATAAATGTTTTCTAAATATGGTTTTTTGATTTTAAATATTACTTTTTACTTATAAAAGCCGGGCTATTATGGAGAGACGGCTGATTAAACTTGTTAACCTTGCAAGAGCCCTTGTGTTACCTGCAAGAATACAGCTAATAAGTGCACTTCTTGTATTGATAAACGATTCTTATATGGAGAAGAATGCTTGGAGAACTGTCCAGACAGAACTTATAGTAATACTTTTACTTAAATGTGTGAAGCTTGCCATGGGTTATGTGGCAATTGTAATGGTGCTAACTTTAATAATTGTTTAACATGCGATGATGAAGATGGTTATTATGATAGCACTACGAATTAATGTGTTAGTTAATGTCCTTCTAAATATTTTGCTACTAAAGAGAATAAGCTATAAATTTGCAAGCTTTGTGATATAACTTGTGGTGAATGCAAATCACCCGGAGATAAATTTAGTTGCACTATTTGTACAGGAGGAAGATACTTAAATTATAATAATTCTTGTGATAAAGATTGTCCAGATTATTATTACAAAGATAGAAGCAATTATGTGTGTAAAAATTGTCATCCAAGTTGTTTAACCTGCCACGATAGTTCTTCTACTAGCTGTATTACCTGTCCTAAAGGAAGGTATTTTAGTTAAAACACTTGTCTTTCAAGATGTCCTGAAGGCACCTATCCAGATGACGTCAATTCATAATGTATTCTTTGTCATCCTTCATGTGCAAGCTGTGATGGAGATCTGTATAATCAGTGCACCAGATGCAAATTAGGTAATTTTTATAAAGCAAACTCTATCTATCATAACTGTAACTCCTCAAATATTAAGGCCATTCCCATAAACGAAACTTATACTTTTTTTGCATTAAAAAAAATTAAATTTAAAAAGCCCTAATTTTTGAAGAACTCCAATATAAATGAGCAAATACATATTTTATTCTGAAATTTTGTAGAAGATGCGTTTTTTAAAAATTACTTTCAATTAATTATTTTTAGAATAGGATTCATACATATTTCTCTTTAAATTTTTTTCTAAAAAATTGAGACTAACAATTTAATTTGCTTTTGTTATTTTAGAATTATTATTAATAATTTTTTTGTTTGTAAAAGGAAAATATTTATAAGATAAAAAATGCTCTGAGAAATGCAAAGATGGGTATTTCCCTAATAAACTTACAGGGATGTGTTAAATATGTCACTAAACATGCGCTACTTGTGCTGATGAGAAGGATTCTTCTTGTTTATCTTGCAAATCCCCTTTGTATTTAAGTAATAATAAATGCTTTTCTCTGTGTCCTGATGGATAATACCACAATAATAACACAAATCAATGTGAGTCGTGTCCTTTCACTTGTAAAACTTGCTTAGGAGTTAACAAGGACGAATGCCTCTCGTGCTCTGGAAACAGGTAAACATAAATTTATTAAATACAAAATTGCATAAAAATATTTTTTTATTTTATTTTAAGATACTTAGTTAGACCTGGTTTGAAATGTGAAACAGTTTGTCCTACTGGATTTTTACCTAATTAATTAACAAATGAATGCGATTAATGCCACTCTTCTTGTAAAAACTGTTTTGGATTAAGTGAAAATGAATGTAAAGAATGTCCATCAGGTACTTATCTTTACTAAAATAAATGCTTACTTGTTTGTCCTATGGGATTCTTCCCAACAGAGTTTCCAAATATTTGCACACCATGCCATTCTACATGTCAAACATGCACTGGAAGTTTAGAATCTTAATGCACTTCTTGCAAAGGTAAAAGATACTATCTTCCGTATAAATGTTTGGAGGAGTGTCCTGATAGTTATTTCGGAGATAATGCAAATAATTCTTGCTAAAAATGTGATAAATCTTGCAAAACTTGTATTGGTGTTAACAATAATTAATGCACTAAATGCAAAGAGGGAACTTATTTATTAAATAATTCTTGTGTTTTTTAATGTCCAGATGGATATGTCGTTTCACTAGATAAAGCTTAGTGTCTTATTTGCCATTCAACTTGTTCTACTTGTCATCCTGGAAACTTAGATTATTGCTTAACTTGTCTCGAAGGTTGGTACAAACATGCAAACAGATGTCTAAAGGAATGCCCAGATGGAACCTATCCAAGCTCTAAAAGTGAAGAAAAAATTAATGGTCTCATACATGAAATCTTAATCTGCAAAAATTGTATAAAAAACTGCAAGACATGCACAGGTAATTTATTTTGATTAACTTATTCATTTATTTATTTATTTATTCTTATTCTTAAAATTTTAATTTATCTGCTTATTTACTTAATTAATGTTATATTAAAATATTTATTTAAAAGGACCATCTGATGTGCAGTGCTTAGAGTATTACCCTGTTTCTGAATAAGATCTGTTAGGTATGCTGATATTCTACATATTTATAGGAAAGTCTGTTTATTGTTTCTTAACTTTTGCTGTAGGCATTTACTTAGATTATAACGAATACAAAAGAAAAAGAGAGATTGAACTTTTTGAAGCTCAAAAAACTGAAATTGAAGATTAAAGAAATAAAGACATTCCTAAGATAACTGTAAACGATGTTGAATTAAATAAAACAGCCAAAACTGACTAAAAATTGTTATTTAACTTTGATAACACAAACAAAGATTATAGTCCAACTGGATCTCATAACATAACAAGACAAAACTTAAATACTGACAATTAAAGTCCAACTTCTAAAATATTTAAAAACTCTCCAGTGAGAAAACAAAGAAAATTTCAAACAGCTATCAATCCAAGCGAATAGCATGTATTCATTCATCTTATATTTATTTATTTATTAATTAATTAATTCTCCTTTAATTTTTTTCATTTATTATTTATTTATCTAACTGTCAATTGATCTTTATGTTTTTTTAATTGACGCATTTTTATTTATTTATTTTTCTAGATTTTATTTTAAAATTTTTGATCATTAAATATTTAGGAAAGCATGGAGAATGAAAAATTGAGATATACAAAATTCCGTAAAGGAACTTATGGACAGAATTAAAGCATTGTAAATGTATCAACTTAAAAGTTAGTAGATGAAGAACTAAAAAGTCAAATAGCCAAAAAGCATGGAAAGATTGTGGGTTGTTATGACCCAGTTAGCAAATCTTTTGTTCAAATTCCAGACTATCTCGTTAAAAAAAATCCTGAGTTACCTTAGAAGAGTTTCATTTCTTTCTTTTTCGTAAAAAATTTATTTGTCTTTTTTTTTGTTAAATAAATATTTAATGAATAGACTTTCTTCGAAATAACCTCGTTGTTCCTATATAGAGATTCTAATTTGTTACACATTCTAAGGGTTTTAACATATTATTGCAAACTACTATTCATGTTTTATCTGTCTTCAAGATTATTATACGTAAAATTAGATTAATATTTATAAGAAGGGCATATATTTTTTTATAAAAATTAAAAGATTTCTCCTCTGTCTATTATTGGATTTGTGGTTGCTATTCAAATAATCATGGTTTCTATAGAAAAAATTATATATAATTTATCTTTAAATATTGAAAAATTACTCTCTGTGATTTTCACATCATTTATTTTGTTGATTGTCTATCACATTAATTGGTTTTTCTCTCCTTAACTTGCTAAAATTTCCTACTAATAAGACTTTGATTGGAGCATTTACTACTTGACAATATTCGGAACTGATATGGTTGGTATATAAATAGTTTTTATGTCAATTCAGTACTGGTTTACCAAAAAGCATGTATTTACAGATCAGTTAAAGCTCAGAAAAAGTTAAAGAATTTTATGCTTTTTCTTATTTAAAGACAAATTTGCAAGATGGCTTAAAGAGTAAATAAATTTTCTTTTAAAAATTCGCACTTTTTAGTTATAAGAATTAATCTAATTTATTTTACAATATTTTTTTAATATATTTAGATCTAAAGCAGATGTAATTAGCTCATAAAAAGAAAATTAAAATGAGAGCTTTTAAAAAGTAAAATGATATACCAAATAAGAGTTAAGGAATACATTTAAATTTTTAGTTAATGAACCAAAAATATAAAGTTTTAAAAAATAATTAAAATATAAAAATATTAAAAAAAATTAAATAATCAAAATTATTAATAAGTAAATAAATAAATGTTTAATTCTTCATGTAAAATTAAACTAAAAATTAGAAAATTCTGTTTTATTCATAATTTCGGTTTATTTTTTCATTTAATTACTAATGAATGTAGGTAAATAAATACTAGTGATCGACCGAATAAGACTTTTTTTGATTCAGCAGAATAAAGAATCATTTAATAATTATCTTAATTAAATCAAAATATTAAAATTTGCTTATTGTAAATCAATATGGCATTTTACTATATATAAAAATAATTATGAATCAATGTAAATTTTTGTTTAAATGATTTTATTTGAAAATTTTATAAAATAAAACATATTTATTCATCCTATTTTCATCATTTATTTATTTATTTATCATAAATATATTCTTTTAACAACTAATTTTTTTAATTTAATGCACTTGCTTTTGACCTCAAATTTTTCTGATTTATTGATTCTGTTTTTCCTTTTAAAATAAGTTAATGAAAATTATTAATCAAAATAAACTAGAATAATATGTTTAAATTAAAAATGATATTTTAAATCTTTAAATAAAGAAAATAAAATCATAATAAAAAAGAAAAATTTTTCAAAAACTGATAAAAGTACAATCTAAAACAAAAAAACTTTTTTACATCAGATCAAGTGTCAAACTTGAGAGATTAGTGACTTTTGTTAAGGCATAGACCAAACCTGATGCGCCCTTATCATTGATTTCATTCAACCTTTTTAAATATTGAAGAAAAAATATAATTAATTAATTAGAAGGAAAAAATGAAATAATAGTATGAAATATATTGATTAATAATCAAAATAAAAGTTGAAAATGAATAAATGAATGAGTGAAATTAAGAAAAAAATTAAACATAATTAGAGTTAATAATAAAAATAAATAAAATAAAAAGCTTATAGAAAATTAATTTATAAATAAATTTAAAGAATCTTTCTGTTTTAAAATCCAAAACAAATAAACTGTTTTTACCCAAGGTAAAGTCTCAAACTTGAGAGATTAACGCAGTTTGCTAAAGATGAACCTAAACCTGATGCACCAATTTCACCAATTTTATTAGAACTTTTTAAATATTCAAGAAAAAAATATAGTCATTTAGTTAGTTAGAAGGTAAAAATGAAAAAAAACTATCAAATAATCATAAATGAATTAATTAATTAGTGATTAAAATAAAGTTAAAAATGACTTAGATTAAAAAAGAAAGAAAAACACTAGCAAAAAAACAGTTTTTACATAAGACTTAGTGTCAAATTCGAAAGATTAGGGCATTTAGCTAAACCAGAACCTAAACCTAGAGCATCAGTATCACCAATTTAATTATTACTTTATAATTATCGAAAAAATATTTACTTAATGAATTAGTTAGAAAAAAAAATATTATATAAAAAGTAATGAATAAATAATCAAACTAAAAGTTGAATTTAAAAAAATTTATTAACAAAATTTACAAAGAAAGAAAAAACACAAGCAAAATTAAAACAAATAAATAAAAAAAAACAAATTTATAAATTTATTTTTATATAAAAAATATCATAATCCAAAACAAATAAAGTGATTTTACTAGAAATAAAGTGTCAACTTTAAGAGATTAGTGCAACTAGCTAAAGCAGAGTCCAAACTCAAAGCACCAGTTGAACCAATTTTATTTTACCTTTTAAAATATTGAAGAAAATGAAGTTAATTTAGAAGGAAAAAAATGAAAAAATAAAATAAAATAATAAGAAATGAATGAATTAATAATCAAAGGAAGTAAAAGTATAAAATGAAAAAATGAATGAGTTAAATTAAAAAGAAAAATAATACAAATAGAAAATAAATCAAATAAATATCAAATTTCAAAAAAAAAAAACTGTTTTTACCCAAAATCAAGCGTCAAACTTGAGAGATTAGCACACTTTGCTAAAGCAGAACATAAACCTTAAACACCAGTTTCACTAATTTAATTGCCACTTTTTAAATATTGAAGAAAAATTTTTAATAAAATAGTTAGTTAGAAGGGAAAAATGAAGAAAAAATATAAATACCGTAAATCCTCATAAATTCTCACCAGCAAACATAAATTTTCACCATATTTTCTGAATATTTATCATATAGTACTCTTGGAGTTTGGGGGGGAGGGGGGTTGGTGAGAATTAATGAGGATTTACGGTAATCACAAATTAATTAATGTCAAATCAATAATCGATAATAAAGAAATGAATGAGCTTAATTAAGAAAGAAAAAAAATACAAATAAATGAAATAAAAATCTAATAAAAAATAAATATCTTTTAAAATTTTTATTGATTTAAATGAATTTTTATCTTAAAAAATAACAAAATCCAAAAAAAAGAAATTGTTTTTACCTAAGATAAAATTCTAAATTTGAGAGACTTTTGCTGTTAGTTAAAGCAGAACCTAAAGCTTATGCACCAAGTTCTCCAATTTAATTGTCACTTTTTAAATATTCAAGGAAAAATATTAATAAATATATTTAATTAGAAGGAAAAAAGAAGAAAAAATAAGAAATTAATTAATTAATTTTAAAAGCAAAACTTAAAAATGAATAAATAAGCGAGATAAATTAAGAGAGAGAAAAATACAAGCAGAATAAATTAATAAATATATTTTAATTTTTTTTAATTCATTTTTATATTAAAAAATAATAAAATCCTAAAAAAATAAATAAATTGTTTTTACACAAAATAAAGTGCTAAACTTGAGAGCTTAATGCAGTTAGCTAAAGCAAAACAGAAGCTTGATGCACCCTAATCACCAATTTTATTTCCCCTTTAAGAATATTGAAAAAAATATAAATAATTTATTAGTTAATTTGATGGAATAAATGAAGATATAATAAGAAATGTGAATGAATGATTTAAATTAAGAAAAGAAAATAATGAAGAAGAAACAATTCAAATTATATAAAAAGTGTTTTATTGCTATAAATTCATTTTAATATTAAAAGATATCATAATCCAAAACAAATTAATTGCTTTTACCTAATATCAAGTATTAAATTTGAAAGATTGGTACATTTGGCTAAAGCAGAACCTAAGACTGACGCACTTTCACCATCTATTTCGTTCTCTCTTTTTAAATATTGAAGAAAAATTATATTGTTAATTAGTTAAATAGAAGGAAAATATGAAGTCAAAATAAGAAATTAGTTAATTTAACCAATTAATAACTAAAGCAAATTGAAAATGAAAAAATGAATGAGTTAGTTAATTTAAGAAAGAAAAAAATTATAAGCAGAATAAATAAGAAAAATAAAGTAATAAAAAATTAATTAATAAGTAAAATATAAAGTGTTTAATGTTTTAAATTCATTTTTATATTAAAAAACATCACAATCCAAAACGAATATCTACCCGATATAAAGAGCCAAATTTTATATTTTAGTGCAGTTTGCTAAAGCAGAACTTAAACCAGATGCACCAATTTAATTTTTACTTTTTAATTATTGGAGAAAAAATAAATATATAATTAATCAATTTGTTTGTTTGCTAGAAGTAAAAAAGAAAAAAATATGAAGTAATAATAAAAAGTTAATTAATCAATCAATTAATAACCAAAAAAATATTGAAAATGAATAAATTAATGAGTTAAATTCAGAAAGAAAAAAAATATAAGCAGAATAAATAAGAAAGTTAAATCAAATAAAAAACTAATAAATAAACTTAAAAAGTTTAACAGCTTTAAATTTATTTTAAAATTTCAATATATCAAAATCAAAAATAAATAAATATATAAATAAATAAAATGATTTTACCCAATATAAAGTGTCAAATTTGACAGATTAGTGCAGTTTGAAAAAGCAGAACCTAATTCTGATGCACGTTCATTACTAAATTTATCATCATTACTTTTTAAGTATTTAAAAATAGATAAATTATTAATTCATTTATTAAAAGAAAAAAATAAATGAAATAAATATACATGAGTTCAATTTAGATATCTGAGTGAGATTAAAGTGAAGAGTTTAAAAACTTTTTTTATAAAAAAAATAAATTTAGAGAAAATTTATTAAAAATAAATAAATTACATCTTCTATATTATTGAAATATTTTTTCTATTATATCATTTATTTATTTTTAAATATTAAATAACAATAATTGGAAATTTAATTAATTATAAATATATCAAAAAATTTAATTTATTTTTATATCAAGTTTATTTGAATAGGATAAACTATAATTAGAAAGAAGACATATCAAATATGAACTTATAAAGTTTGTTTTTTGGGAGAAATATGATAAAAAATATAGTGAAACAATTATCAAATTAATCAAATTTCATTATAATTAATTTCTAAGTTAAACAATGAATAACTATAGAAACAATTCAATTTTACAATACAGGAAAATAGGTATATAATTAATTATTAGCTAAATTAATAAATTAATTAATATCAATTTAACTTAAATATTTTTTATATTTGTAAAAAGAAATTATTTGAAATTAATTAAAACTGAAAATTATTTTTAAAAAAATGATAAAAATGATTAATTATAATCAGTGTTGGAATTTGGCGTCGTTTTATCTCTGAAATAGTTATTTTATTCTTAAAAAATATGTTAAAATATATATAAATAACTTTCTATATATATTATAGCCCATGAAATCCCCCCTCACTATTGAAATACTTATTAATTTCAAAAAGTACATGTTTTTTTTTAGATTATAATTAAATAAAAAAATTTTTGTAGATTTAAATTTTTTAACAAAACAAATATTATAAAAAACAAATTTATACTTTCAATTTTCAAAATTGATATAATTAGAAAGCATTTTTACTTTTAATTATATTAGTTAATATATTTTTATTTTATTTTTTGCTCAGTTAATAGATAATTTACTTAATCTCATTATCAGCCATTTCATTTTAGCTCAACAATTCAAATCCTTTTTCTGCATTCCAGATTTTAAAAGTCTCCTCATCGTGTTAGCATGTTATGAGATATTTACCATCAGCAGAAAATAAAACTTAGGAAATATAAGTTGTAAGTCCTTCAATATTTTTTATCAGTTAAAATCCATTTTGTAGATTCCAGATTTTGCAAGTTTTGTCTAGTGAAGCAGTTGCAAGATACTTGCTATCTGCAGAAAAAGCAACTGATAGAATACTACTGTTATGTCCTTCAATCTTATTAACGAGTTCAAAACCATTTTTGACATTCCAGATTTTACAAGTGGTATCATCTGAACCTGTTGCTAGATACTTGTCATCAGCTGAAAATGCTACTGATTAAATAGTCTTATCATGCCCTACAATTTTATTTGTAAGTTCAAATCCTTTTTCTAAGTTCCAAATTTTGCAGGTGATACCCTCTGAAATTGTGACAAGATACTTTCCATCTGATGAAAAAGAAGTTGATGACTGATTGCTATTATATTTATCAATGCTATTTATTAGTTCAAACCCAGTTTCTACATTCCAGATCGTACAAATATTTAAAAATGAGCCAGTTGCAAGATATTAGTCATCAGTAGAGAAAGCATTTGAGTAAATATAACCTGCATGATCTTAGATTGTATATACAAGTTCAAATTCTTTCTCTACACTCCATATTTTACAAGTTTTATCTCTTGAACCTGTAGTGAGATACTTGCTATCTGAAGTAAAAGCAGCTGAGTAAACATTATCGGTATGACCAGTTTCAATTTTATTTATCAGCTCAAATCCGTTTTGCATGTCCCAGATACAACCATTTTTTTAAGAAAATGTTGCTAGATACTTGTTATCTGTTGAAAAAACAACTTTTTAAATAAATCTAGTCTCCCCTTCAACCCCGTGTATGACTTCAAATCCTTATTCTACACTCCAAATAAAGCAAGTGCTATTATCGTCATCTATTCCTGTTGCTAGATACTTGCAATCAGCAGAAAAAGTAACTGATATAACTTATTTATCAAATCCTTGCATAACTTTGATGAGCTCGAATTCATTTTCCACTTCCCAAATTGAGCAAGTTTTATCTTGGGAACCTATTGCAAGATATTAACCATCTGGAGAAAAAGCAACTGAATTAACTGATTCACTATGTTATTCAATAGTAATAATAAGTTCAAAACCTTTATGTACGTTCCAGATTTTGCAGGTATTATCATCTGAACCAGTTGCTAAATACTTGCCATTTGTAGAAAAAGCAACTTATCGTATATTTGAAGTATGCCCTTCGATTGTATTTATGAGTTCGTAACCTTTTTCTATATTCCAGATTTTGCAAGTGCTATCCCAAGAACCTGTTGCCACATACTTGCCATCTGCAGAAAAATCAATTGAGTAAATACACTCAGTATGCCCTTCATTACTATATATAACTTCAAATCCTTTTTCTATATTCCAGATTTTACAGGTTTTATCATCTGAACCTGAAACGAGATACTTACTGTCTGCAGAAAAAGCAACAGAGTTTATTAAAGAAGTATGTCCTAGAATTGTATTGAATAGTTCAAATCCTTTTTCCACATTCCAAATTTTGCAAATTTTATCATTAGAACTAGTTGCCAAATATTTGCCATCTGTAGAAAAAGTAACTGATGTAATTTAATCTCTATGTCCTTCAATTTTATTTGTAAATTCAAATCCTTTTTCTATATTCCATATTTTGCAGGTATTATCATCTGAACCTGTTGCTATGTACTTTCCATCTGAAGAGAAAGCAACAGAGTAAACAGTTTTCCTTTCTTCAATAGTAATAACAATTTAAAATTCTTTTTCTACATCCCAGATTTTGCAAGTACTATCGAAAGAACCTGTTGCAAGATACTTGCCATTTGGTGAAAAAGCAACTGACTAGATTGCTCTATCATGTCCTTCAATGCTATTTATCAGTAAAAATCCTTTTTGGATATCCCAAATTTTGCAAGTAAAATCACTTGAAGCCGTTGCTAGATACTTGCTATCCGAAGAAAAAGCAACTTAATTTATTGCTTTTTGATGTTCTTTGATTGTACTTATGAGTTCAAAATCTTTTTGAGCATTCCAGATCTTACAAGTATTATCCCTTGAACTGGTTGCTAAATACTTTCTATCAGAGGAAAAAGCTACTGAGGTAATCTTTTCTGTATGTCCTTCAATTTTAGTAAAGAGTTCAAATCCTTTATCTACCTTCCATACTTTGCAGGTCTTATCCTAAGAGCCTGTAGCAACATATTTACCATCTGCAGAAAAAGCAACAGATGTAATCCAACTAGTTTCTCCTTCTATTTTATTTAGCAAGTCAAATCCTTTTTCTACATTCCAGATTGAACAGGTTTTATCTTCAGAGCCTGTTGCTAGATATTTGTTATCTACTGAGAAAGCAACTGATGAAATACTACCTTTATGCTCTTTGATTGTATTTTAGAGTTAAAATCCATTTTCAACAACCCAGATTTTGCAAGTTGTATCTAAAGAACCTGTGGCAAGAAACTTCCCGTCTGAAGAAAAAGAAACAGAAGATAATGCTTTAGTATGTCCAGTTTCAATTGTATTAATGAGTTCAAATCCGTTTTCTAAATTCCAGATTTAGCATTTCTTATCATCGGAACAAGTAGCAAGATATTTACCATCATGAGTAAGAGATGAAAGAGTTAAACTAGAGGGAAAATTTTGAATATTTTTTATGATTTAGAGGCTTGATAAACTATAAATGTCAATTTCTTGGTTTTGAAAAGTGATAATGTTATTATTTGTTAATAAGGACTGCTCAGCTTAGATTCTATTTACATCAAGGAGCTTGAAACCACTTTAAATGTCACCGTAAAATACTTAGTTGGAAACTAATGTAGCAAGGTATTTTGAATTATTGATTGTTAAATTGGAAATAGGGAAGGAAAATGTAAAAGTATTAAGTATTTCAAAAGTTTCAGTATTTATCTCAAATAAAGACTTTTTTGCACTAACAACGAATATATTTTTGGGGTTGATTAAATGAATAGTTTTCAAAGGGGAATTAGTAATATGCTTTGAAATGAGCTGTTTATAAGATTTATTGTTATTGTGTTTAATATCAAATTAATTTATATAACCAGTTTTTGTGATAGTTACAAGAGTATTTTTATAAAAAATAACTTGATTAAATGAGAAAACATCTTCAGTATCACAATATTTCTAGAAACCACTAAAAACTGCATTTCTGGTGTTTGAAGTTTCATAATTTTCTAAATTTTATCTTTCTATCAATGAATCATTCAAATTGCAATCTATAAATTCAACTGATCTAGCAGGTTTAGAAGATATGTATGTTTAGGAGAATGAACATTTTTTGAAAATCAAATGAGGATAAGAAAATTTAGAAACAAAAAGAGCAGACAATAAGTTAGAGGCTCCAATATCTATATCGCTTATTTAAGTTTACTTAGAAATCGTAGATTTTTTAATGAATTATATGTATTTGTTTGTTTTAGAAATGTCATCCTGAGTATAAGTTTACTTAAAAAATGGTGAGCAAAGATAAGATTTCATTAATTTGTAAAGCTTTAAAAGAATTTATTACTCTGAAGCATTTTTTTAGTTGCTCATTATGATTCTTTTGTTAATATTAAATTATTTCAGTTATTAAATATCTAGCTTGAAGACATTATCTTAATGCAAATCGAAATCATATTTCATGGCTCTAGCAGCAAAATATTCAAAAAGAGACTTGTGTCTGAACTCAAATTCTTATTTTAAGTCTTCTCTTTCGACTTTCTATTTCTCAGTTTGAGACTATGTTTATTTAGATTTTGTTTATTCATTAAATTTCAATTAAATCCTTGTTACAACTCTAGAATCAACATAATTGTTTAATTTTTCAATAAGATCATCAACATTTATTTTACTTTTTTTGAAGAAAGCAGAAACTTCTTCTCTGATTTTAAATTAAATAGAATCTCTTGTTGTTGAAAGATAATTTGATTTTTAACCTTTTTAAATAAACATGTGCATCGCAATAAACTAGAAATATTCAAAGTAGCAAGATTCTACTTTTTCCATTAATTCTTATTTTTACATATCAGTGATACTTAGTTTTTTCTATTATTCAATGAAAATTTTAGATTGTTTTTTGAACTGTTATGAAAAAAAGAGTTCTTAAATCTCAATCTAATCAGAGACTTCTTAAAAAGCATTGGATATATTTTCATTATTAAGGTCTAAATCATTAATCATTCTGGTTGCGAGATACAAATTTATTGGCAGCTTAAGCAATTAAGTCAATTATTTATTTTTAAAAATAATATCTTTAAGCTTATCATGCTATTCAGGATTAAAATCTTTGGTATTTTTTGACTATTGTTTATACTTTGATAAATAATCTTCGATGTCTTGATGAGTAATTTTTTCAAGTTTGAAGATTGCAAAAGAATTATTTTGACCTTTCATCCCTTGCGAATCATAGTAGTTAAAGTAGATTTTAGCATCAGAAACTGTGATTTTTTCTAATCTAGAAGTTACGATAATTAAAGTATTCACCCACTCATTAAGTTTCAATTTATGATAAACTTTAAAATAGTCTCCGTTGTATTCATCATAACCATCAAGCATGATTAGCTTATTTCTCTCAGATTTCTTTAATAAGTCAATATCTTTTCTCTATATATTTACGGATTCTAGATAGTCTTCAATAGAAGGATTCTTACTGTCTAAAGAGTTGCATTTTATTATTAAAGGTATAAAATCTGATCTGTTGTCTTTGGTGTAATCTGAATCCCGATTCAGAAGTTCAACTTCTAACTTCTTTAAAAGCATTGACTTTCCAGATCCTCCTTCAGCTAAAATTGATATGATTTTACATGATTATTCATTATTTTTTTGATTATTTTCTTCATCTCCCTCCTCTTCTTCTTAAATATCATCTTAAGAAACTACGAAGTTAGGAATGAGGAATTGATCAATAATTTATTTGACTGCGTCTTTTTCTTCTGTGTTAATTTCTTATCCCTCTATATAAGTTATCTGTTAATTGACATATAAATGAATAGCTTCAAGTAGAACATCATCCTTGTGTGCCATTTAGAGCATTTTTTATCTTTATTCAACACTTTGCTTCCAAATTTCGACATAATACTTAGCTAGCTGCTTATCTAAATCATTTTCATTTTAAATGTCATATGCAAATTCATTATATTCTTATTTGTCGTCTAAATGCTTAGTAATTTGGTTTTTGAATTAATTTATTTGTATTAAAATTTGGCTCTTATCAAGGTGATTATGAATGAAATCAGCCAAAATTTAATTGTTTTAATAGGTAATCTTAACAGACTTTTGTTTTTCCTACAAATAGTTTGAGACTATACCAATCATTAAAGCATCAAATTCATTTTTTTTTTATAGTTGAGAGAGGATTTAGGCAAAATGTAAAAGCAACTAAGCTTTTAAATATCTAAATTGGTGATTTTTGACCATAAAATTAGCTAAATTTTTAAGCTTATTAATGATACCGTCAGAGTATTCTTCAACTTACAAGAACTTTGATTAATTAATAATTAGTTCTAGCTTATTTTCTTTTTGCAATCTATTAGATAGCTCTTTAAAATTATCCTTTTTTTGCTACTTAGATAACAAATAATTTAATTGCATATAAACAAATAATCTTGTGTCATTATTTGTAATTTTTTCAGATTCTTCCAAATAAAAAATAATTTCTAAAATGTTATCAGAAAGATTATCTCCCATGAATTCAACTTTTTGTAGCCATAAAGACATCATATTATTGGTTAAATTATTGCTATTATAATTATAAGCAATCTCCTTTCCATCTTTAATAGCTTAAGCTGCAATTTACTTGACTTAATTAAAGAATTTTTTTAATTTATCTAAATCAATTTCTGTTAAATTTTTGATGGCTCCAGAAATACTTACAAATCCTGCTCCAAATTTAACAACTTCGACTACTCTTTCAAATATTTTGATTGCAATATGTTTATTAGCTTCATCTAGCCCTATTCTTTGAGAATTTAAAGCTTTTAAAATCTCAAAATATTGATAAAGATCCAAACATGCATGTCTCTCTTTATTTTCTTTGCAATATATAATGAGTCTTTATATTTTCTCGCCAATTTAATTGATGTCGGATTGTATTGATGATTTCGAATCGCTTTATTTAATAATGAGCAAATAATTTATGAGTAAATTAATCAGATCAATCACTTTAAGTCTAATGTCTGTCTAAACTATTTATTCTCTAAAGTCATATAATGCATTCTCGATGATTCTTCTGACATGTGTTTCTATTTCTTTTGCACTCACTTCTTCAGTATCAAAATATTCATCATATTTTTTGTTAAATTCTTTAAAAATTTTTAATTCTTCATAATTTGTATCTTCAGATTTCTAAATTTCAAAATCTTTCTTAAGCTATTCCTTTTCATCAATTATTTTTTCTATTTATTTTTATTATTATTACTCTTTTTTTTTTGAATCCGCATTTTTAGAGGTAAGTTTTGGTTTGCTACCACATCCTCCTCCTCCTAAAAGTTTATTTTCCTTGAATTAGCATTAATCTTAAATCTATTTTAAGGATTTCTATTTAAGAGAACAAGATTATTTGGTTGAATAGTAAATTAGTTTCTATTTAAATTGTGTTATTTGCCTACTCTAAATAAGATTGGATAGGTTTGCTCTTTAAGTCTAAGATAAGTCAAAGGTTAATTTTTAACTTGCTAAATTAGATGAAATATTTGAGTATTTTCTTTCACATTCTTTCGATATGTTTCTCTATTATTCTTATTACTTCTACTTTTCTTCTTAATTTTTGGATTGTTTATTTTATTCATTCCTGCAATATTTTCGGAGAGCTTTAAATTATTATTAACATTTTTCTTAATTATGAAATAATCCAATGTATTTCATAGCATTCTAATTATCATAGACTCTCATTACATTTTCCTAGTTTTCATGACCTAAAAATTTCAGAAAATAGCTTTGATGTTATATTTACATCACCTTTTATTAATATTTTTGTAAGATTTAATAGTAAGATCTATTTAGATACTCTTTCTACCAAGATTCAAGCTATCTGATAGTATTTATTTCTTTATAGACTCTCATAGCATTTTCCTTCTTTTTATGAGCTAAAAATGCTATTATAATACTTGCAGTCTATCTTGAATTTGCTTCTCTAAGATAAATCTGTTAGATCTATGAGTCAAATCTATTTAATAGCACTTCTCTTTAAAGCTGTCTTTGATTATAAAGACATTAATGAACAAAAGGAAGATCATATAACTCTTGAATCTCTGTCAAATGATGAGATAACTACTTTAGAATGACCTTCCTCATTTAATTTCTAGTATTTCGCACTTGAGGATAAAATTGCTCTTCATCTAAGTGAGAATCCAAATGCTTAAATACCTCTTAAACCTGGTTTTGATCAAATGCAATCAAGTTAATTTCCTACCTTGTGTTTTCATACTTTTAGAGCAAATTAACTACTCTTGATAGTGTATCAAGATGGCTTAAAATTACCTCAGTTAATACCACTTCTTTAACATAAATCTATGGGATTAATTTGAGTTCCTCTAAACTTTACAGTCTAATTATTTTTTCCTACTTTTTTGATACCTTTTAGCTGTTTTTGTTTGAATATTTAACACTTTATCCTACTGATTTTACTCTCATTTTTTTTACTAACACTTTTTCTACAATTATTTATTAGCTATTGCTTTATTCAATATTACAAAATTTAATCTATCTATATTATCTAAACAACAAAAGTAAAGATATGTTATTAAAAATCAAAGATATAAAGTTAATATTTTAAGATTAGGTTTTTCAAAGTTTACAAAAGTAATAGCCATACTAAAATAATCTCATTTAATTAAAACTAAAAAAATACAATTTATTAATTGTTAAGATAAGAAAGATATGCATATTTTTTGATTTCTTTCTTCAAGTATAATAAAGAGTAAATTTGAATAGATTAAATTTATGCTTAACGCTTTTCATTAAACAGCCCAATTCAAACATTTAAATACCATTAAAATATTGAAGAAATGCTTAACAATGCAGATCAATATATTCCTCTTTTAAAAATTATTAGCTGGTACTACAATAATAAATTTTAGTATGGTAGCACCAGTCAATTTAAATAAAAAATAAGGAATTTAATTAATATTTAAATATGTGAATTATTTTTAAAGCTATTAATAGCATAAAAAATGAAAAAAATAAATTAGCTTAAATTAAAAAATAATTTTAATTTTACAAAAAAATAATAAATTTTAGTATGGTAGCATCAGTCAATTTAAATAAAAATGAAAAAAATCAATTAACTTAAATTAATAACTAATTTTAGTTTTACTAAAAAATAAATGAGAGTTTTCAATAAATGTATTTTTATTCATTTTTAAAAACCAATAATTTTAATTGCTTTATTATATATACATTAAACAAAATCTACATCAAAAATATGTTATAAAAATTATAGAATTAGAAAAATTAAGTAAAAAATAATTTTTTTAAAAAAATACACATTAATTTAGAATAGTGCATTAACTTAGAGATACCTTAGCTTAAAACGAATAAGATATTATTATTGATAGTTATAATTCTTTTAAATTTTTTCAAATAATATCTAAAATTTTTATTTTGACTTTTATTTGGTTTTTTTAATTTTTATTTGAATAATTGCAAGAATTTTGATAAATTTTACAGAATTTCAACATAAAAATACTTGTTAATATGATTATTAATTTGACAATTAACATCAAATAAATGATTAAAATATCATGAATTATTAAATTGAGAAATTTATTATTAACTGCAGAAACAATATTTGAATTAGAAATATTAAGTTGACAAAATAAATATAATAAATAAATAATATTGAGATATTAGTATTAGTATTAGTATTAGTAATTATTTATTTTATTAAAATTGTTAAATTAATTGATCAGAGTTCTTAGTTCATTTCAACCCAAGGGAAGCTATTAATTAAAAAAAAAAAATATGTTTAGATATGATTTCTTTGCATTCAAAAAATTTTGAATAAAATGTTATTTACGTAGTCTTTTCCTTGAGGAACTTGAGGATATCTTCTTCAGTTCTGTCATCTTCGAAATCAAGTGGAGTAGATTTATTACCGTTTTGATAGAACTTAATTGTGGGGAAACGTCTAATATTGACTCCAGGAACATCGTTAGCCGTGTAATCAATCTTGGCGATGATGATGTTGTGATTATGGTTGAGGGAGAGCTTCTTGGCAACGGCTTCTAAGATGGGAGCAAATTTCTTGCCATGACCCACCCAGGGAGCGTAGAATTGAACTAAGACATCCTTGTTGCTGTTAATAACGAGATCATCGAAACTGTTGCCGACGAGAACCTTGACGGGTTCGTCATTGGTAGCAGGGATATCTTCAGACTTCAAGTAAGTTTGGAGCTTACCAGAAAGGTAGTCACTAACGAATTAGTTAATGGTCGCAACGGTGATTTCAGAAGCAGTGAACTTGTATTTAAGGACTTAGTCGCTGGAGTGAACGAGCAGCAAAGCGGGGACTTAAGCAGTGTTTACACCTATGTATTAGGCGAGTTTTTCTTAGTTTTCGAAGTTTTCATCAGGCTTGGAGATAGAGAAGACTATCTTACCTCTGTTTTCTTCAGCAGAAGCAGCGAAAGCCTTTTCAGCTGCAAGGGAAGCTTCGTTGCTGTTGGAGAAAAGGAATAAAGTGGGGTTATCTTGTTAGAAGACCCTTTCTATGGCTCTGCCGTTGTATGGCATAACGATGGGGAAAGCGTAAGTGTCAACAAAAGTCTTCAAGTTATCTAGATTGAATGTACCAGTGAAATCATTTCTCTTTTCATCGAAGTGTTTATAGAGGACGAGGTTGTGAGCAGCAGCATTTTAAGCAATTCTCAAGTCAGCGTTGAAAACGTGAGCGAAAGCGAGGTCATAATAAAACATAAGCAAATACTTGAAGGTTTCGTATTTGGTATCCTTTTCACTTTCCCCTTATAATTAAAAACAAATAAATTAATAATTGAATATTAATGGCTTATCTTTCTTAATCGATTAGACATTAATTAATTTTTTGATGGCTTGTTGGTAATTTATGTGCAAGTATGTTTTTTTAATGATGAATGAATGAATAACTATCAATTTAGAGAATGTTAAGTATTTTAATTTGATAAATATATTTTATGTTTTAAAAATTTTATTTTTTTATGATGTCAACAAGAAGAAATTTAAAATTTTTGATGAAACATCTTAAAAAAGATTTTTTTATATGAGTTGCTATAGATAGTTTTTAATCTTTACATAATTTCATTTGTTTATTTGTTAATGTTTTGGATCTAATTTTTTACTTAAATAAACAGAATAGGAATTTTATGGAGCTAATTTTTATATTATCTGTAAGGCTTCCATTCGTAATATTCTTTATAAAACTTCTCTGCAATCATAAATGACTTTCATAATCCTCTAAAGTTAGTTACTACATTAAAATTATTCGAAATCTATTAAATATATTAATTAATTTTCTTGGGAGTAAACTTATCTTAATGGAATGCTGGTTTCCATTAGCAGAAATTTATTTGATTTGATAGGCATTCGTTTGTTTTTAAATAAATAAATAAATACTCTTTATTGGTTTTTTCTAAATAATAAAAATAAAATATACTTACCAAAATAAACAATGGCGACTTGGTTCTTTTGAGTGAAGGCATTTAATTCTTCAGCAGTGTTAAGAGCTTCAGTAATAAAAAAAGCATCGGAAGTGCAAGTCAAAGCACCCACAAATAAAATTGTTAATAAAAGGAAAGTCTTATTCATTTTTTTGGGTTTTTCTTGAATGATATTTTTTCAATATTTATTATTTTAAAGATAATGATATTTTTTTTATTTTTATTTATTATTTTACAAGATATTTTCTGACTTTTATATGTGCTTTAATATCAAAAGAATCCCTATCTCCTTTCTTAACTCCTTAGTTTATTTGTCCTCAATAATTAGTTCGTTTTCTCTTTTCCCTACCCAGATTTGATTTTGCTAGAAATTTTAATAATTTTTCTTAATAATTCATAAGATTTCCATCAAACATCTAAAATTTGAAAACATTTATTTCCATTATTTTTTTATTGTTTTCAAAAGGTTTTTTTCATGCTTCATTGATATTAAAAAATTTATTATCACGATTCATAAGGTCTTTCAATTTTAGAAATCATATATTAATATTTGCTATCTCTTTTCAAGTTCACCTAAGTTGTATATATTTTCATTTCAGAAAATTCCCCAAATTATATAATTTGTAAAAAAATATCTCTATTTTAATAATAAATAATCAGTTAATATATAGCAAGGAGTTAAAGCAGAAGATAATAAAACAAAAAAGTGAATTATATGTATGTAATAATATGTTAAACAGATTTGAAATAAGAATGCTGATTTATTCTTTATTGTTAAAAATATAGCATATAATAAGTTAATTTAAAGCCTCTATTCATTAATTAATTAATTTCCTAACACGTTGTTAAAATTGGTAACAGCACTTGTCAATATCCTAAAAAAGATACTTTAATTAAAATCAAATATCTGATTATTTTTAAATAAACATAATACAATAAATAATAAACAACAAATTTTAGAAATATAATAATTTAATTTATAGCCTCTATTCATTAGTTAATTAATTTCCTAACATGTTGTTAAATTGGTAACAGCACTTGTCAATATCCTAAAAAAGATACTTTAATTAAAATCAAATATCTGATTATTTTTAAATAAACACAATACAATAAATAATAAACAACAAATTTTAGAAATTTAAATCATATTAATTAATTTTGAGATTAAAAATTTTTTAATAAAGAAAGATATCTTTTCTCATTTGTTTATATATTTTTAATAAATAGAAAATCTCAACAAAATTAAGATAAATAATTTTTTAATATAAAAACTTTAGTAGAAACACATTTATTTATACTTTAGAAGACAAATAAATATCTTTAGATTAAAGAAATAATAAATATCTGTAGGTTAATTTTTTTTTAGGCAAGAGATAAGAAACATATTGAAAAAGTCTTTTAAAGATAGATGCAAAAACTTTGAATTAAAAAGCACAAAGAATAGCAAAATAATTTAGAAGTAATACCTTAGTAACAAATAAAATTAATTGGTTTCGTGCATGAATTTCAAAAATTTATTCAAGTTTTTTGTAAGACTTAATTTAAATCCTCTGTTGGAGCTCGTTCGCACAGTGAGCATTCATGCCAACACTTTAAAATTATAAATTTTTTTGTTGCGAGTAAATTAAAAATTATGCTAAAATTTTTCACCACACTTTTCCCTTTATGTTAGGTTTCTTTTGAAATCTACTGTATTAAGAATAGCTCCAATTCTTAATTCTCTTAGAAATTCCTAGTGATGTTCAATCTCCGTAAAATCCGAAGCAAGAAGATATCAAAAAATAATTTTATCAAAACTTACCTAAATTTAAAAATCTTAGTAATTTTTAACTCATTGCTAGAGTGAAACATAGAGGTAAAAATAAAAATAACTATTTTATTTCTTCCTAAGGTTTTCAATCATGATATCTAATTTCTCATTGTAAATAAATAAATAATAAATAGAAATTTATGGGTTGCAATTTGTAACCCCTCAAATTGTTTAATATGATAGAGGATAATATTTAACATTTTAAACTTTGATTGTTTTTGGTGAAAATTGAGGACTGGTTTTTGAGAAATTCATTCATTTATTTAAGTAAATTTAATTTGTAAATTTTCATATTTAGTAGGTATTTATTAACTTACCAAAATATAGTATTTATTCATAAATATTAAAAAAAATAAACATATTTATATATATACTCTAAATCCTCATTAATTAATTAAGGGTTACATAAATTTAGGGCCAAAAAAAATTTTGTAGGCTCCAAAGAAGGTGGGGGGGGGGGGGGATGCCCTTAATTGCCCTTAATTAATGAGGATTTAGAGTATATATTTTTTAGGTTAAATTATCTTATTACATAATAATTAGGAGCTATTTAAAATTGGACAAAGATTTTGATCCCAAATTAAACTTTTTCATTAGAAAATCTGTATAATCTTTGAAATATTTACATTTTTGGAAAAATATTAGGATCTTTTGGTACTTACGTTTATTATGTAAAATATTTATTATAACTCATTAAAACATAAAAAAAACTTATAAATATTAAAATTTAAAGATTTTATTTATTGTAAATGAATATATTTAAAGTTAACTTGCTTTAAAAGCCTCTAAGTAATATATGTATCTATCTATACACGTATTAATTATTAATATTATCTTAATTATTCAGTGATATATTTAATATTATACAAATCTATGTTAATATATTAGCATAAAAAAATTGTTATTTATATATATTAATTGATTGCTTACTATCTTATCCTTTAATAATAATAATCTAAAAATAGAAAGTTGTTAGTATATTTGAAAATTAATTAAGATTCTTGTTGATTTTTAACCAATTTCACCTGATAGATAGATCTTTTGATCTATTTACTTTTATTATTTAGTTGATTCTCTTCTTTAATTAGAAGAAACAAAGTGATTTTGATATTTATAAATTTTACATCTCTTATATATAAAAACATCTACTTTTAGTAAAAAAGCAAACCCCTCAGCCTACTTTAAGTAAGTCAGTCAGTACCCCAGTTAACAACATCAGTTAATTAGATAGCGAAATTGAATAGCCAAATGTCTAAGAAAGTTCAAAACGATTTAATCGAAACTATCTCAAGCAAAGTATCCTAAGATTGTTAAATTCAAAGACCATCAATAAAGGAATTAGTCAAGTTGATGTTCAGTTAGAAAAAATACTTCAAAAATTTTGAGTACTTAAGCAGTGGTGCTTATGCTCTTGTCTTAAAAGCTTAAAATATTTAACAGAATCGCTAAGTAGCTCTCAAATTTTTAGGGAGTTCAAACCAAAATGACAAGAATGGAATCGAATCTTTGAAAAAGGAGTATGAAATGCTTCAAAAGTTTAGCTAATCAGAATTTTTGGTAAATGTCTATGATTGCTTCTATTTAATGGAAGAAAAAGAAGATGAAGACGCTGATGGAAACGATATTATCGTTTAAACTGAAGTCAAATCCTTCTTTGTAATGGAAATGGAGCTTTGCGAGAGTAAAAAAAATCACATATTTTTCATCCATTTTTTTATTTGATTTTATTTTTTTTAAAAACGTGTAAAAATACATAAAATAAGATAAAAAAAGCAAATTCCTATATTAAAAATACTTGATCACCAATGATTAATTTATGAGTTATCAAGCAAATAATTTTAATTTAAAATAGAATTATAAATAAAAACAACATTTAATTATTATTGATTTATTTAGATTTTAAATAGTGTGTGGATTAAAAAAATTAATAAAAATTACAAAAGCTCTGCCTGCTCATTTAAGAATTTAAATTTTATTTTCTTCTTTAAATACTGATTTTAATATATTAATTTTTATATTAAATTAAAATTATTTAATTTGACCAAAACATACATACATACATCTATCTATCTTAATTAATTTAATAAAATTAATAATATTTTTAATTCATGGATAAGCTATAAATAAAGTAGATTAATGTTATAAATAAAAAATCATTAAATTTAGTAATTTTAGCTTTTTTTTATTTTTTTAAAATAAAATTAATAATTTTAAATTACCTGATTTATTTATTTTTTATAATAGTTTTTTGATTTATAATATTACATTTTTAATTTTTTTAAAAAAAATAATTTAAAGACTTAAAAAAAAAATTTTTTAATTTTTATTTGAGAGAACATAGTAATTAATAATAATTAATTTGTTTTTATAATTAACTAGACAATCTCAAATAACTCTTTGATATTCTCAGAAAAGAATAAGTTCCGCCTCCGAAACAGATGAAGGAAATAATAGCTATTCAAATGTTAGAAGGGCTGAATAATCTTCATGTCAAAAATATTATGCACAGGGATATCAAGCCTTAAAATTTCCTTGTTTGTCCATCTAAGGAGTATGGTTTCTCAATCAAACTATGTACATAATTATTTTTATATTATTTAATTTTTAAAAAATATCGTTTAAATTAAGGTGATCTAGGTTTTGCATCAGCTGTGTCTAAATCAAAAAGTTTCAAATCTAAGGTTAAAAAATTAAATATTATTTTAATAGGTTTCAATATTTTTTATAATTTTCAGAAAGGAACTGATCCATATTTTGCTCCAGAAGTGGATGAAGGATAATCTAGAATTTAGGTTTTAATAATAATGTTGTATTATTTATTTTTTCAATTTCATTTTAATTAAATAGTCAGACCTATTTTCACTAGGATTAGTTTTATTAGAACTTGATAATCTCAATACTTTAAATGAGAATTGGATAGATTTCAAAACAAAAAATTATCTATTCAAAGGAGAAGAAATACCGAAAGAAATATATTAGATAGACAAGAATTCTAATATATACAAAATAGCTTAAATATGTTTAAAACCTAGGTATTTAGAAAGGACTACAGCAGGAGAATTACTATCCTAGCTCATCTAAATGCATGGTTAACCATTGAAATTTGTATTGACTTCTATGATACTAAAAGTAAAATATTATTTCATAATTTATTTCAAAATAGTCTCAAAATAAACTTAAACTTATTAAAAAATTCCCAAAAGCAAACAAGCAACCAAGCAAACAATTAAATTTTATTGAAACTCTTAAAAAAAGCATTAAAAATAATTAATTTAAAGCAAAATTATTAATATTTTCCTAACAAATTCTATAAAATAAAAATATTGTTAAGAGCTTCATAAAATAAAAATAGCTTATCTTTCTTAAAATTTTTTATTTTTAAATGAAAAACAAAACACACCAATCATTTTAAATGATCAATTTATATAAATTATATAATAAATTTATTATTTATTTATTTTTATTTTTGATGCAAATTATTTATTTATTGTTTTTCATTAGAGAGTCAATATAAAAAGAAATTTTATTTCAGTTATTTTTACATTAATCTCTTAAAATAAAAAAAATTGATTTTATTTTATTTGGAATATTTGAATTCAACAAATAATTTTATATAAAAAGGAATAAATACCAAAATAGGCACAGTAAATATTTTATAAAATTAATCAACTGCAACAACAAATGGTAAAAAAATTATAATTTTTGGCTTAAATTTTTATATAAAATGGAAATTATATGATAATTTAATTAAAAGAATAATTAATTTGATGAGTATGCTTAGTTTATTCTAGGGAAAACCAATCAGAAAATTATACAAAAAGATTTTAAATAACAATTTACAAAAGTGGAAGTATTATCTAATCTGCTGAAAACTCTCTATGAAAATAAAAAATATTCAAATAATTTTCAAATTTTAAGCTTTGGAAGCTTTGGAATGGTATTAGCTACAAAAAAAGTTAAACTTGATAACAAAGAAATAGTGTTAAAAATACAAAAAATAGAAGATGAATCACAAATCTAAAATGAAATTAGTATTATGCAGAAATTAAAAGAGCCACTAGTCGTATAGCTTTATGATAGCTATATAATAGAGAATAAAATAGGACCTGATAGATACTCAGTCTTTGAATTAGAAAAATGTTCATGTAATTTATTAAATTCTTAACGTTAATTTTAATTTAGGTTTCAATTCAATAATTATAAAGATATTTTTATCAAATAAAAGCCAAATTATTTCAAATAAACAAATGAATAAATAAAGAAATAAATATTTTTTTAATAAAAAGAATTTAATTCGTTTTTTAAATTTTTAAAAAATAAAAAATTAAATTTCTTTTAAAACATTTTAAAAAAAATTACTTTTAAAAAGATATTTGATTATATTTTACTGTTTATTTTGTTAAAGGTTCATTAGATGAATATCTTGACAGATAAAACAAAGATGGATAATTAAGCGAGGATGATAAATTTTAAATAGCTATTTAAATTATAGATTCTGTTAATTATATTCATTCATTTAATATCATTCATAGAGATATTAAACCAGATAATTTTTTGGTTTATCTAGATGGAAAATAACCAGAAATAAAATTATGTAAATAAATTATTTTTATTCAGAAAGTATTTTTCATTATCTTTTCATTTTAAGGTGATTTTGGCTTATCTGCTTAGATTTCAGATAACAAAGAATCAATTCAAACTATAGAAGTAGATTGTTAATTCTATTTATATTAAATATTAAAAATAACTTTATAGCACATAGGAAATTTTGGATATTCAGCACCTGAAATTTTAAATAAAAAAGATAATGAATTTAAGTTTTATACAAAGAAAGTATTTACTTTTTTTATAAAAAATGTTAACTTTAAATTAATTTTTTATTTTAGTCTGATTCATATTCAGTAGGGTTATTGTTAGCTTTGTTAGATAATTATTAAGTTCTGAAGAAAAATGCAGCTTTAACTTTCGCATAAATGACACAAAAGCAGTTAGATAAGCCTTTCGAAAAATCTAATATTAATATTAACAAAAATTCATAAATTTATAAATTTATAAACCATCTTGTTGTTTCTGATAGCGGTAAAAGGGCATCTCTGTATGATATTGTTGAATAAAATGATATAAAATTCGTTTCTAAATCAAAATAAATGAAGTAAATCCTACAAAAAACACTTTTGATGCAAAATGATACAAATATAGAGCAATTTACGACTATTGAAATTCATTCTATAAACGATTTGTATAAAATTTAGTATTACAATATTGTTAAGATATATTTTAGGTAATTTTTTCTTTTAAATTAATTTATACTAATATTATCAGAAGAAAAAAAATTTATTTAGGTTTTTACCGAAGGTTTTTTCAGAAATTTAACCAAAAAAAATACCTAAATTAAAAATCCCTATTCAAAAAAATCAAAAAGAAGCAATTTTTTTTACAATAATTTCTCCTCCTAATTTATTTTTTTAATTCATAATTTTTCTTATACTCAAAGGTCTATTGATATTGGTGATGAGGGTGCATAAGATTTAAGTACAGTAATAGCTTAGTGCAAGAATATCACAAGTTTGACACTTGATTTAAGGTAAAAACTTAATTTATTGATTGATAAAGCAATAAATATAGAAAAAATTGATTATTATGTTGATTTATTCTTTTCACTTATTGATTAGCGAATTAAATCACTTCGTTAGTAAGTTAGTTAGTTAGTTATTTTTTTATTAGATTGCTTATTTACTTACTTTTTTACATACATATAATCATACTTATTTACATACTTACTACTCAACTAAAAAATAATCAATTTTTTTACTTACTCCTTCAAAAATAAACTAAAATGCTAACAAAAGCAGCAATTTTTTTTAAAATCATTTCTCCTCCAAGTTTATTTTCTTAATTCATTATTTTTTCTTATATTTAAAGCTATAATAGTATTGGTGATGAGGGTGCATATGATTTAGGTATAGGAATAGCGTAGTGCAAGAATATCACAAGTTTGACACTTGATTTAAGGTAAAAACTTAATTTTTGATTAATAAAGCAATAAATTTTGAAAAATAAATTAATTATTTTGTTGATTTACTTTTTTCACTTAGTGACTAGCTAATTAAATAACTTCTTTAGTTAGTTATTTTTTTATTAGATTGCTTATTTACTTACATACATACAATCAACCTTATTTACTAACTTACTTTCTTACTATTTAATTAAAAAATAATCATTTTGTTTCTGACTTACCTTTAATAAAAACTAAAATTTTAACAAAGGCAGAAATATTTTTTTACAATCCTTTAACCTCCAAATTTATTTTCTTAATTAATTATTTATTCTTATATTTATAGCTATATTAATATTGGCTGTATGGGTGTAAAGTTTTTAATCACAGGAATAGCTTAGTGCAAGAATATCACAAGTTTGACACTTGATTTAATGTAAAAACTTAATTTACTGATTGATAAAGCAAGAAATTTTGAAAAAGTTGATTATTTTGTTGATTTACGCTTTTCATTTACTGAGTGATTAGCTAATTAAGTCACTTTTTTTTAAGTTAGTTAGTTATTTTTTAAACAAATGAAGCAATCTCTTTTTATAATCCTTTCTCCTCCAAATTTATTTTCTTAATTAATTATTTATTCTTATATTTAAAGCAATAATAGTATTGGTGATGAGGGTGCAAGATATTTAGGCACAGGAATAGCTTAATTGAAGAATATAACAAATTTGACACTTAATTTTGAGTAAAAACTTAATTTATTTATTGATAAAGCAAGAAATTTTGAAAAAATTGGTGTAGCTGTTTCTGGTTTTAAAATACCTTGGAATTTGTAAAAATATTAAAATTTTAATGAATAAATGGCAGTAAACAAAAATAGGTTTAAGTTCATATTTCATTCAAATATTCATGAACCTCAAAACCTTCTATTTTAGCTAAAAATGTTTTAGAAAATATTTTGAAAAATTTTTTTACTATTAAAAGAATTTTTTTACTCTTAAGTTTGAAAAAAGTTTTCTGTATTTTGATTAGTTTTGCAAGCGCTTAAAGATCAAATATAAAAAAATAATTAAGATATAGAACAAAAAAATGTTCTTAATTAATGTTATAACCATTTGAAATATTAACAATCAAAATATCATTAATGGTTGAAGATATTTCAAATGCATGAACAGACTTCGTTAGTTAGTTAGTTAGTTATTTTTTTATTAGATTACATATTAACTTACTTACTTACCTATTTATTAATCAACTAAAAAATAATCAATTTGCTTACTTACTTACTCCTTCAAAAAAAAAACAAAAATATTAACAAAAGTAGCAATATTTTTTTATATACCTTACTCCTCCAAATTTATTTTCTTAATTCATTATTTATTCTTATATTTAAAGGTCAAATGGTATTGGCGATGAGGGTGCAAAAGATTTAGGTAGAATAATAACATAGTGCAAGAATATCACAAGTTTGCTACTTGATTTATAGTAAAAACTTAATTTATTGATTGATGAAGCAAAAAAAATAGAAAAAATTGATTTTTTTGTCAATTTAAGCTTTTCACTTAGTGATTAGCTAATTAAGTCACTTCATTAGTTATTTTTTTATTAGATTTCTTATTTACTTACTTTCATGTGATTATACTTATAACTTACTTACTACTCAACTAAAAAATAACCAATTTGTTTACTTACTTACTTACTCCTTCAAATACAAACAAAAGCAGCAATGTTTTTTTAAAATCCTTCATCCTCCAAAATTATTTTGTTAATTGATTGTTTATTCTTATATTTAAAGGTCTAATAGTATTGGTGCATAAGGTGCATACGATTTAGGTAAAGCAATAGCGTAGGGCAAGAATATTACTAGTCTGACACTTCTTTTAAAGTAAAAACTTAATTTATTAATTGATCAAGCAAAAAATATAGAAAAAATTGACTATTTTGTTGATTTATGATTTTTGCTTAGTAATAAGCTAATCAAATCACTTTTTTAGTTAGTAAGTTAGCTATTTTTATAATAGATTGCTTATTTACTTACTTACTTACTTACTTACTTACTACTCAATTAAAAAATAATAAATTTATTTACTTACTCATTCAAAAATAAACAAAAAACTAACAAAAGCAGCAATATTTTTTACAATCCTTTCTCCTCCAAATTTATTTTCTTAATTAACTATTTATTCATATATTTAAAGATGTAATAGTATTGGTAATGAGGGTGTATATGATATAGTCATAACAGGAATAGCGTAGTGCAAGAATATCACAAGTTTAATACTTAATTTAGAGTAAAAACTTAATTTATTGATTGATAAAGGAAAAAATATAGATAAAATAGATTATTTTATTGATTTAAGCTTTTCACTTAGTGATTAGCTAACTAAATAAAAATAAATATAAAATAATAATTTTAATACCCTAAAAAAAAATGAGTTTAAAAAATAAATTTCAAAGATATTATTTGAAAATTATACCTTTAATATATTATAATTAATAGAGAAAATGAGATTTTTGAAATAAGCGCATCAGAATTAGAAGAATAATTAAAAATTTAATTAAAAAAATTCGAAATCTATGTAAAATTAATTAATAAGACTTTAAAATAATTTAAATATTTATATTTATAAATAAGATTAACATATTTTTGTGAAGGACTTAAATAACTAACTAAATTGCAATTAAAATAGAGATAATATATTTATAAAGTATACAACATAAATCCCCAAGTGTTGAAGAATTTAAATTTATTATCAATTTAAAATTATGATGGAGAGACATCTAATAATCTTATAGAAAGAAAATGAATAAATTGTTTTAAAAACATGTATGTTTTTATATTTGTAAAAGAAAAATAAATACAAAAGAAATAATATATTTATTAATATTAAAATTATAATATATATTTTTATGACAAATAAATTAAATATATATTTTCTAAAATTAATTGAATGTGAAAAAATATCATAATTAAAATTAGTCAAAATCAATATTAATAATGATAACAATTAATATATATAGATTATTCTTGATAAAATGACATAGAAACTGTTATGCAAAAATATATTCATATTTATGTTTACAAAATTTTTAATTTATGTATAAATTACGAAATTTACTCTTAATTTTTATTAATAACGGGGTAGAGTATTCATTTTATTTATTTAAAAGTGAATTCATTTAAACAAAAATGAAAGGTTGAAACATAATTTTATTTCTTAGAATATTTAAGAAAATAAAAAATTATTAAATTTATTTTTTAACTTTAAATAACTTTAAAAAAGAACCTATTTAGTAATTTGTGCTATTAAAATCTATAGAAAATAAATTTTTGATTAAATCATTTTTAAAAATTAAATTATTATTTTACTTATTTATGGATTGAATAGTCCAAATGATTAAATATTTTAAAAAGATTTAAGAATTTTATGAAAAATAAAAAGTTTTTAGAGCACATCTTAACATAATTAATAATTTTAGAAAATAAGCGTGAATTCAATTTGAGAATTCGATAAAATTTTTAAGAATATATATTTTTAGTTTTAAAGTATCCAAAAAAATGTAAAAATATGAATGAGTACAGAACATTTATCAATTAATCTAAATAACTTAAATTTATATTCGATTTAACTAAGTTTAAAATCAAGTAAATTATAAAAAACTCTTAATTTTCATATTTAATAAACCTATTTAAATATATTTAGATTTTTTAATATCGGAATTAACATATTTTTATCTTAGTTTATATTGGATTTTAACTTAATATTATACTTTTCTATGTCATCTTTACTCAATAAATCAAATCCTGTTTCTATATTCCAGACTTTTTATTTATTTTCACTTAAAGAAACTCCAAAATAATTACCGTCTGCAGAAAAAGCAAATGAAGAAATGTCTTGTACACATTCTTCAATCATATTAATGAACTTAAATCCTTTTTCTAAATCCCAGATGCTAGTACAACTATTTTAACTTATTGTAAGGTATTTTCCATCAGGTGAAAATTAAATTGAGTGTATAAAAGTATAATATGTATGAATTATGTTAATGAGCACAAATCCTTTTTGTATATCCCAAATCTTGCAATTGCTATCAAATGAACCTGTTACTAAATATTTACTATCTTTAGAAAAAGCAAGTGCACTAAATCCTTCTGCATATCCTTCAAGAGTGTACATGAGCTGAAATCCATTTTTAACATCCCAGATTTTACAAGTATAATCCCAAGAACCTGTAGCAAAAAATCTTCCATCTCGAGAAAAATTAATACAAGCAATAGATTCTGTATGTGCTTCAATTGTGATATAGAGTTAAAATTCATTTTCAACATTCCAAATTCTGCATGTATTATCTTAAGAACATGTTGCAAGATACTTTTCATCTATGGAAAAGCAAACTTTTAAAATCTCACCAGTATGACCTTGAAGTGATTTTATAAGCTCAAATTCATTATCTACATCCCAGATCTTGCAAGTATTATCTTATGAACCTGTAGCGAGATATCTGCTATTTGAAGAAAAAGCAACTGTTAGTATAGATCCAGTATGCCCTTGTTCAATCGTTTTTATGAGCTCAAACCCTTTTTCTACATTGAAAATTTTACAGGTTTGATCTTGAGAACATGTTGCTAGATATCTACCATCTTGTGAAAAACTAACTTATTTAATTGTTTTTGTATGTGCTATTTTTGTATTTATAAGCTCAAATTCTTTTTGTGCATCCCAAATTTTGAATGTTTTATCATATGAACAAGTTACTAGATACTAGCCATCTATACTAAAAGCAGCTGCAGAAACTATACTTTTATGTTTTTCCTCGATATTAATTAGCTCAAATCCTTTTTCTATATTCCAGACTTTGCAGGTATAATCGTCAGAACCTGTTACAACGTATTTGCTATCTGTAGAAAAAGCAACTTAGTTAATATATCCCATATGGTCTTTAATACAATTTATGAGTTCAAATCCCTTTTCTACATTCCATATTCTAGAAGTATGATCGTTAGAACCTGTTGCGAGATACTTATTATCTGGTGAAAAAGCTACTGATTTGACTTCTCCTGTATGTCCTTCAATCTTATTTATAAATTCATATCCATTCACTGCATTCCAAATTTTACAAGTATGATCCTAAGAACTTGATGCAAGATACTTACCGTCTGGAGAAAAAGCTATTGATAGAATTTATTGCTATTACGTTTCAATATTATATGCCAGTTTAAACCCTTATTCTACATTCCAGATTTTGAATGTTCTATCATGAGAACCTGTTGCAAGATACTTACTATCAGGAGAAAAAGCTACTGATTTTACACAACCTGTATGTCCTTCAATTGAATACTAAAGCTCAAAATGATTCTCTAGATTCCAGACTTTACAAGTTTTATCATTAGAACACCCTGCAAGATACTTACCATTGGTGGAAAAAGAAAGTTAAGGTATCCAATCAGTTCCTGTTTCAATCGAAATAATTAGCTCAAATCCTTTTTCAACTTGCCATATTTTGCAAGTTTTATCATAAGAAGCTGTTGCTAAAAGTTTACTATTAGAAGAAAATGTTATATATGTAATCTTATCTGTATGTCCTTGAATAGTATTTACGAGATCATATCCTTTTTCTATATTCCAGATTTTGTAAGTTTAATCAAATGAACTTGTAGCAAGATACTTACCATCTGGAGAAAAAGCAACTGATTGAACTATTTATGTATGCCCTTCAATCTTATTTACAAACTCAAATCCTTTTTCTATGCTCCAAATTTTACAACTAATATCTCTAGAGATGGTCACAAGATATTAACCATTTTATGAAAAACTAACATATTAAAAAAAAGAATGATCCTTTTCTTCAATAGTCTGAAGTAGTTCAAATCCCTTTTCTACATTCCAGATCATGCAAGTTTTATCTTCCGAACTTGTTGCTAGATACTTGCCATCATTAGAAAAACAAATAGAATAAATATCACCCTTATGCTCTTGGATTGTATATACGAGTTCCAATCCATTTTCTATATTCCATATTTTGCAAGTATTGCCACTTGATTATGCTGCAAGGTACTTGCCATCAGGTGTTAAGGAAGCTATGTAAAAATTACAGGGAAAATTTTTTATATTTTTAACTAACTAGAGATTTGACAAATTATAAATATTAATTTCTTTATTTTGATAAGTTAAAATTTTATTATTAATTGATAAAATTTAGTCAGCTTAAATTTTTATTTAATCAAGAAGTGTGAAGCCATTTTAAATATCACCATAAAATATACTATAGTTTTAAAAAGTAACAATATATTTTGAGTTATTTATTGCAAAACTGTTAATAATATAATTAAAAGAGAAAGTGTTTATTATATCAAAAGTTTCTGCATTAATCTCAAATAGAGACTTTCTTGCTAAAACAACAAATATATTTTTTGTGTTAATAAAATAAATTCTTTTTAAAGTATCATTGATAATATGTTTTGATTTTAGTTTTTTACAGCATTAATCTATATTTTGATTAATCTCAAATTAATTTATATAACCAGTTTTTGAGATAGTGACAAGAGTATTCTTATAAAATATGGCTTACATAAATGAGTAAATATCATCAGTACCAAAGTGTTTTTATAAATTATCAAAAATTGCATTTTTAGTGTTTGAAGTTTCAAAGTTTTCTAAGTTTTATCTATAAATTAGTGAATCATTTAAATTACAGTCATTAAATATGGCAAGCTTAGGCGATCCATTAATGATATATGCCTAAGAAAATGAACATTTTTTGAAAGTCAAACTAGGATATGATAATTTTGAAAGATAGAGAGCTGATAATAAATTAGAAGCTCCAACATCTATTTCGCTCTTTTCAGTTTACTTTGAAATTGTGGATTTTTTAAGATATTAAATATACCTATTTGCTTTAGATATATCTTCTTAATAATAAGTTTTCTTAAAAAAAGATGATTGAATATCTGATAACATAAGTTTGTAAAGTTTTAGTAGAATTTATTGTTCGGATGAATTTTTTTGGTTACTCATGATGATTTTTTTATTAATATTAAATTTTTTAAGTTATGAAATGTCTAATTTAAAGATGTTTTCTTTATGCAGATCAAAATCATATTTTATTGCCCTAGCAGCAAAATATTCAAAGAGTGATTTATGTCTGAACTCAAATTCTTATTATGTTTCGTCATCTTTTACTTTCTGTTTCTCATTTTAAGAACTCTCAGCATTATCCTCATCAAGTTTCAATTTAATCTTTGTAATAGCTCTAGAATCAACATAATTATGCAGTTTTTTAATGATATCATCTATCTTTAATTTATTTTATTTGAAGAAAGCAGAAACATCTTCTCTAGGCTTAAATTGAATAGAGTCTCTTGTTATTGAAAGGTAATTTGATTTTTAGCCTTTTTAAATGAACATATGCATAGCTATAGACTAGAAGTATTCAAAGTAGCAGGATTCTATTTTTTCCAATAATTCTTATCTTTGTTTCTCATTTAGTTTTAATTATTACTGTTGTTCAATAAAAATCTGAGATTATTTTTTGAATTGTTATGAGAAAAATAATTCTTGTATCTCAATCTAGTCAGAAAACTCCTAAAATGCTTTTGAAGTATTCTCATCATTAAGATTTATATCTATAATCATTCTAGTTGTAAGATACAAATTGATAGGAAGCTTAAGTAAATTAGTTAATTATTTGTTTTTAAATATAATTTCTTGCAGTTTATCATGACTTTATGGATTAAAATCTTTTTGGTTTTATGATTGTTTTTTATATTTTTACAAATAGTCATTGATATCTTCAACTGTTATTTTTTCAAGTTTTAAAATTGAAAATGAATTATTATCACCTTAGTTACCTTACTAATCATAGTAATTAAAGTAGAGTTTAGCATCAGAAACTGTTATTTTTTCTAATCTAGAAGTAACAATAACTAGAGTATTTACCCATTCATTAAGTTATAATTTTTAGTAAACCTTAAAATAGTTTCCTGTATATTCATCATAACCATCAAGCATGATTAATTTATTTCTCTCAGATTTCTTTAAATTATCAATATCTTTTCTCTTAATATTAAGGGACTCTAGATAGTCTTCAATAGATGGTTTTTCTCTATCTAAAGAGTTGAACTTGATAATAAATGGTATGAACTCAGATCTGAAATCTTTTGTATATTCAGAATCACGATTTAATAGTTCAAATTCTAACTTTTTTAAAAGCATCGACTTTCCAGAACCTCCTTCTGCTAAAATTGATATGATTTTACATGAAGATTAATTAGATCGTTGTAAATTTTGTTGGTTCTCATTTTATTGTTAAATGTCATCTTAAGATAATACAAAGTTAGGGATGAGGAATTATTATATAATTTATTTGACAGCATCTTTTTCTTTTGTATCAATTTTATAACCTTCAGAGTAAGTAATCTATTAATTAACATATAAATGAATTGCTTCCAATAATACATCGTCTTTATGAGTTATTTCGAGCTTTTTCTATCTTTATTTAACACTTTGTTCCCACATTTCTACAAAATACTTTGCAAGCTACCTATCTAATTCTTTTTCATTTGAAATATCATATGCAAAGTCATTGTACTATTACTTATTATCTAAATGCTTGGCCATTTATTACTTGAACTAGTCTATTTAAGTTAAAATTTAAGTTTTATTAAGATGATTATGAATGAAATCTGCCATAATCTAATTGTTTCTATAAACAATCTTCACAGACTTTTATTTCTCTTGTAAGTAATTAGATATTATGTCAGTCATAATATCAGTAAATTCATTCTTGTTGGTCAGTTAAATAATTTGAGCAAAGTATAAAAGCAACTAAGCTTTTATATATCTAAATTGATTGTTTTGTGCAATCAGATTTGCTATATTTTTAAGCTTATCTATGACACTATCAGAAAATTCTTTTACTTGTAAACTATTTGATAACTTAGTTATTAATTCATTTTTATTCGAATCTTTGAACACCTCAGATAGTTTTTTAAAATTATCTTCCAATTTTTATTTTGATAACAGATAATTTAATTGCATATAAATAAATAGTTGAGTATCTTTATTTATTATTTTTGGAGACTCTTCCAGATAAAAGATTATTTCTTAAATAGGATCGCTTTGAGAAAGACTGTCTCCCATGTATTGAACTTTTCTTAGCCACAAGGCTTACATATTATTAGCAATATTGTTGGAGTTATAGTCAGAATAGCTATCAAGTCCTATTTTTATAGCACCAGTTGAAGAATCAGAAGTAAGTTTTTGAACTATTTATTTAATTTGATTAATAAATTCATTTATTTCTTTTAAGTTAATTTCTGTTAAATTTTTGATAGCTCCTGCAATACTAACAAATCCTGCTCCAAATTTAGTAACTTAAATAACTTTTTAAATGATCTATATTGCAACACTTTTGTTTGCTTCATCTAAGCCTTATCTTTAAGAATTCAAAGTCTTTAAAATCTCAAAGTATTAATAAAGATCTAAGCAAGGGTGTCTCTCTTTATTTTCTTTGCAATATATAATTAGTGTTTCCAGCTTATCAGTTACTTAATTAATATCAGATTGTATTGATTAAGTTGAGTTATTTTATCTAATAATGAGTAAATAATTGATTAATAAGTTAATCATATCAATAACTTTATGTCTAATGTCTTACTAAACTATTTATTCTCTAAATTTATGTAGAGAATCTTCAATTATTAATCTAACATGAGTTTCTATTACTTTTTCACTGACTTTTGAAGTATTAATATACTTATTATATTATTCATTAAAATCTTTGAATATATCATCTACTTCTTGATCATCATTGTTATCACTCTAAATTTAGAAATCTATTTCAAGTTACCCTTTCCCATTTATGATTTACTTCATTTTTTTCTATTTTTACTCTATTCTTGATTCTAAAGGTCCGACTTTTGATTTACTTCCACAAACTCCTCCTCCTCCTAACAACTTATCTTCTAAAACTTTAAATTAACATTTAAATTAGTTATTTTTTGTAATTTTACATAATTTTTAACTCAATGTTGAATTAATTATTGATTATTAATGTTGTTAATTTGTAACACAGGAGAATTAAATCTAGTTATTGCTAAAGCATTCTTTTTGGAATGCCTCTTTTTTCATGTCAAAAATATTTTTTTTAATGCTTAACTATTACTACATGTGAATTTTTAAGCTTTATGAATATTAGAGGAAGCTTATTTCTGATAAATTTAATTAGTGCTTTTTACTAATGTGTTGACTATTTTTATTATTTTATATTGATTTTTGCTATTAATGAATATTAATTAACTTTTTATTAAATTGGGATATTTTATTGTTTAAAATTAAATTTAGGAGGTATCTTCTTTGAGTCTAAGATAAGCTCATGCTAATCTCCTAATTTTATCCTTTTAAATCATTTGCTAAATTATGGAATACATTTCTGAAAATTATTTCAATTGTATTTGAGCTATTTATTTAATTTAAAGAAATTACTATTTTTGGTATCTATTTTTTTTCATTTACCACAAAACAATCTTTGATTAATAATATTTACGAATTCAAATATTTCTTGCATTTGAATTAACATTTTTGATCTAGATACTTCTAATTCATTTCACCATTAGTTTGATTAGATAAGAATTTAATATCATTTGAATATTCTTTAATCTTTTCATAGTGATAGAACCTAACTTATGATTCAAAATTTCTACTTTTTTCTATATTAAAGCCTGTTATTTCATTTGAAAGTTCTACTTATTCATAAATTTGGTTTGTATTAACATTTTTTTCATTCAAACACTCTTATTTACAATTTTTAAATTAATCTTTTTTAAATTAAGCATTGCCATCTTTTGAGTCTATTTCTTCTTTAACATTAAATTCAACTATTTAAGTACTAGGTACACTAATACCTTTATTAATCTCATTTATATTAATTACCTTATTTTTTTATGCTAATTTTTGCATAAATACCTTTCTTAATGATTATTCTAAATCTTCCTGATATGGTTGTCTTACTTATTCTTTTAAGCTCATCATCTATTCTTTTATTGAAATCTTTTCTCCTTCAATAAAATGTTGAGCAGCGAAAAGATTGGTAATCAAATCTATTAAATGGGGATAAAGTTACTTTTGAATAATCATCCTTATTTATTGTTTAGTCTTGCGCTTTTTGAGATATCTATACTCTTAATTAGAGTTAGAATTTAACTTCTTTGATACATTTTTAGCATAATATTCATTGACTTAGATAGTTATTTACCTTTTGGCCTCATTTTGTTTGTGTAGATCAATTATTTCTGATAGTTTTTATATATCCTTAGCTAAATCGTTTCTTAACATAGCTTTTTCCTTCAAAAATGGAGAGATTTCTTAAAGCCCCACTCTTTTTTTATAAATATTCGCATATTTATTTGGCTTTAAAACCTTTTTCCCAAGTTTAGATTAATCTTTAACCCTAATACCTACTGATTTTACTCTCATTTTAATTCTTTTTCTTTTCTTGCTATTATTTTTTAGCTGTTTCTTTATCTTAATTTAATTAAATCTAAAAAATAATTCAAAATGATGTATTTATTTAAAGTAGTAAAAAAGTTATACTTAACATAATCAAATTTTTTATTTAAATAAATGAAAATGAATTCATCTTTTAATGTTTGTGTTTAAAAAATTAGTAAAAGTTAAAAATTTTTTTTAATAAACAACCTATTCTGCAGATTAAAAACGGAAATATAAATTAACAAATATTTTGTGACTAAAAACTCTTAAAAAATAAATAAGAATATAAAACGATAAAATGAATAAAATATATTTATTTTAAATAATATTATAAAAAATTACTTGTGAAACTAATTTCTCAAATTTCTCTTAATAAATAGGAATAATTATTTATTTAAAATTTAATTTATTTATTTTAACATAAAAAATTATTTTTTTAAATAAATTTTTATTATGAATGCTTTAAAATATTGAATTAATTATATAATTTGTAAATCAAAATTTTTTTCATGAAAAATTAAAATATATATTCTGTCAATATTTATTTTCTAATAAAAGAGATAGAAATATTAAATATAAAAGTTTAACACATAAATTTCAAATTTGATAAACTTATTTTGGTTTTATTTACCTAATTAAAATCTCTTCGTTTTAATTTTTTTTTTCCTATGAAGCAATAGCATTTATTTCATTCGTTTTTTCATTTTTAATCAATAATTGAAATCCATTTTCTACATCCCATATTTTGCAGGTGTTATCATGAGAACCAGTTGCAAGATACTTGCCATCAGCAGAAAAAGCAATTGAGGTAATTAATTTAGTATGTCCTTCAATAGTATTTATGAGCTGAAATCCATTTTCTACACTCCAGATTTTGCAAGTTTTATCATGAGAACCTGTTGCGAGGTACTTGCTATCTGCAGAAAAAGCAATTGACACAATAATATGCCTTGGTGGTACTTCAATCTTATTTATGAGTTGAAATCCATTTTCTACATTCCAGATTTAAAAAGGATTATCATAAGCAGCTGTTGCGAGATACTTGCCATTTGGTGAAAAAGCAATTGAATTAATCGCTCTTACATATCCTGTTTCTAAAGTATTTATTGGTTTAAATCCATTTTCTACATTCCAAATCTAGCAAGTATAATCATAAGTACCAACAGCGAGATACTTACCGTCTGCAGAAAAAGCAACTGAGTTAATTTACCCAGGATGTCCTTCAATATTTTTTATCAATTAGAATCCATTTTCAACATTCCATACATCACACATATTATTTATGAAATATTTTCCATCTACAGAAAAAGCAGCTACTTCAGCTTCTTTTTCAATCTTATTTATGAGTTAAAACCCATTTTCTGCATTCCATATTTTGCAAGTGAAATTTTCAGAACCTGTTGCAAGATACTTTCCATTTGCAGAAAAAGCAACTGATGATTGAAGATTAATTACTCCAACTTCAAGTGTATTTGTAAGTTGAAATCCATTTTCAACATTCCATATTTTACAAGTTTTATCTATAGAACCTGTAGCCAAATACTTACTATCTGTAGAAAAAGCAACTGAGTAAATCCAGTGAGTATGTCCTTAGATCGTGTTTATGAATTGAAACCCATTTTGAACATTCCAGATTTTAAAAGTTTTATCCCAAGAACCTGTTGCAAGATACTTGCTATCTGCAGAGAAAGTAACTGAATTAATTGATTAAACATGTCCTGTCTCAATTGCATTTATCATTTGAAATCCATTTTCTACATCCCAGATTTTACATGATATTTCACTTAACTAGAAACAACCAATTGCAAGATACTTGCTATCTGGTGAAAAAGCAAGTGAATAGATTGCATCAGTATCTCCATTAATTGTATTCATAAGTTAGAATCCGTTTTCTGCATTCCAGATTTTTATAGTGCCTCCTGAACCTGTTGCCAGATAATTGCAATCTGAAGAAAAAGCAACTAAGCAATTTGAACCATGGCTTGATTCAATCGTATTTGTGAGTTAAAATTCATTTTTTAAATTCCAGATTTTACAGGTGCCATCTTATGAGCCCGTCGCGAGATAGTTTCCATCTGTTGAAAAATCAATTGAATAAACACTATGCCCTTCAATAGTATTTTAGAGTTAAAATCTATTTTCAGCATTCCATATTTTGCAAGTTCCATCATCTGAACCAGTTGCTAAATATTTGCTATCTGCAGAAAAATTAACAGAGAAAATTCCACCATTATGTCCTTCAATCGAATTTGTGAGTTAGAATCCATTTTGTACATTCCAGATTTTGCAAGTTTTATCCTAAGAACCTGTTGCTAGATACTTGCCATCTGCAGAGAAATCAACCGATTAAATTTTATCTGTATGTCCATTAATTGTATTTATGAGTTAGTATCCGTTTTCTAGATTCCATATATTGCAAGTGAAATCTTTTGAACCTGTTGCGAGATACTTGCCATCTGCAGAAAAAGCAGATGATAAAATAAATTATGTATGCCCTTAAATAGAATTTTTGAGTTTAAATCCATTTTCTATGTCCCAGATTTTGCAAGAATCATCTTCTGAACTTGTTGCAAGATACTTCCCATCGGCAGAAAAAGCAACTGAGTAAATATATTATTTATGTCCTTCAATAGTATTTTAGAGTTGGAAGTCATTTTCTGCATTCCAGATTTGACAAGTGCTATCTTTTGATCCAGTTGCTAAATACTTGCCATCTGCAGAAAAGGTAATTGAGGAAATTGATCTTTAGTGCCCTTCAATTGTTTTTATCAGTTGAAATCCATTTTCTAAATTCCAGATTTTGCAATTTTTATAATCTGAAACTGTTGCAAGATACTTGCAATTTGGAGATAAAGAAGATATACTTAAATCAATGTTACGGCAATCTTTAATACTTTCTATGATTGAGTGAGTTTAAAAATCATAGATATTAACTTCTTTATTTGTAGAAGTAATAATTTTATTATTTATTAGTAAAGAGTATGTGGCTTAAAATTTATTTTCATCAAGAATTTTGAAACCATTTTAAATATCACCATAAAATGTTTAATTAGTATTTAAGGTAATAATATATTTTGAATCATTTATTCCAAAGCTAGAAATAGGAAAGGCAAAAGTGAAAGTATTAATTATTTCAAAATTTTGAGGATTTATTTCAAATAACGATCTATTTGTTCTAATAACAAAAATGTTTTTTGCATTGATAAAACGAATACTTTTCAAATGGGTATCAGTTATTTTTTTTGATAACACCAATTTAAAAGTTTGATTATTATTTTGTGATATGTCAAATTAATTTACATAGCCAGTATTAGTTATTGATACAAGATAACCTTTATGAAATATTACTCCGTTGAAAGAGAAAAAATTCTAAGTATCAAATTGTTTTTAGAAAGTACCAAATGATGCATTTGTAAGATTTGAAGTCTCATAATTTTCTAAATTTTATTTTAGAATAAATGAGTTACTTAAATTACAATCCTTAAATTCAACAAGTTTAGGATATTCTGAAGAGATGTATGCTTATGAAAATGAACACTTTTCAAAAATCAAATTTGGAAAATAAAATTTGGAAAGAAAGAGAGCTGATAATAAATTGGATGCTCCAATATCAATTTGGCTTTTTTCAGAATTTTTTGAAATCGTAGATTTTTTAATGTATTGTATGTATTTGCTTGTTTAAGAAATATCTTCTTTGGCATATATTTTCTTGAAATTCTATGAATCTATTTCAGATTACATTAGTTTATAGAATTTTTAAAGAATTTATGACTCTGATGCATTCGTTTGGTTGCTCATGATAATTCTTTTATTTATATTAAATTCTTTTAGATGCTTTATATCTAATTTATAGATATTCTCTCTATGAATATCAAAATCATATTTCATAGCCCTAGCAGCAAAATATTCAAAAAGAGATTTATGTCTGAACTCAAATTCTTAAAATTTATTCTCATCTTAATCTTTCTATTTATTATTTTGGGATTGATTGTTATTATTTTGTTAATCAAATTTCAATTGAACTCTTGTAATAATTCTAGAATCAACATAGTTATTTAGTTCTTTAATGAGATCATCGATCTTTAACTTATTTTTTTTGAAGATAGTAGAAATCTCCTCCCTTAGTTAAAATTACACAGAGTCTCTTGTTATTGAAAGATAATTTAATTTTTAACCTTTTTAGATAAGCATTTTCATAGCAATTGATTAAAAATATTCGAAGTAGCAAGATTCTACTTTTTCGATTAGTTCTTATTTTTCTTATTGGTTTAAATTTAGTTAATTTTATTTCTCAATAAAAATTTAAGATTGTTTTTTGAATTGCTATTAAAAGAAGAGCTCTTAAATCTCAACTTGATCTGAAACTTAATGAAAAGTCTTTATAATTTTTTGATCACCTAGATCGATATCTGCTATCATTCTTGTGGTGAGATATAAATTAATAGGTAACATTAATAATTCAGTTAATTATTAATTTTTATGAATAATCTCTGAAAGTTGATTTATTTTCAATTCTCTTTGATTTCCTTACTATTTTTTATATTTTTCTAAATAATCTTCAATGTCCTATTTTGTAATTTTTTCCAATTTAAAAATTGCATAGGAATTTAATTAACCTTATTTTCCTTAATTATCATAATAACTAAAGTATTTTTTGGCATCAGAAACTGTGATTTTTTCTAATCTAGAAGTAACAATCACTAGAGTGTTCACCCATTCATTTAATTTTAATTTTTAGTAAACTTTAAAATAATCTCCAGTATATTCATCATAGCCATCTAGCATGATTAGTTTATTTCTCTCAGATTTCTTTAACAAATCCACATCCTCTTTTTTTATATTTACAGATTGTAGATAGTCCTCAATCGAAGGTTTTTCTCTATCCAGAGAGTTACATTTAATAATAAATGGTATGAAATCGGATCTTTGGTCTTTTGTATATTCTGAATCAGTGCCTTTCAGTAGCTCGACTTCTAGCTTTTTTAGAAGCATAGATTTACCAGATCCTCCTTCTGCTAAAATAGATATGATCCTACACTTATTAGAATTATATTTTTCAATTTTTTGCTGATTTTAATCTTGAACATCATCAGAAGAACTCTCAAAATTAGGGATGAGAAATTAATCAATAATTTATTTCACTGCGTCCTTCTCTTCTGTATTAATTTTATAACCTTCTAAGTAAGTTATTTGTTAATTAACATATAAGTGTATTGCTTCTAGTAGAGCATCATCTTTGTGACTTATTTCAAGATTTTTCTATCTCTGCTTAACACTTTATTCCCACATTTCAACGTAATATTTAGCAAGTAATTTATCTAAATCATTTTCATTTTAAATACTATTTGCAAATTCATAATACTATTATTTATTTTCTAAATGCTTCATTAACTAATTTTTTTATTCGTTTATTTATATTAAAATTAGAGCTTTATCAAGTCGTTTATGTATGAAATCTGCCATTATCCAATTATTTTTATAAATAATTTAAACACATTTTTATTTTTCCTATAAATAATTTGAGACAATATTTATCATGATATCTGTAAATTCATTTTATGCATTTAGCATTAAAAGGATTTAGGCAAAGTATAAAAGTAACTAAGCTTTAATATATCTAAATTAATTACTTGAGGCAATTAAACTTGCAATATTCTTTATTTTATCAGCGATACTATCAGAATAATCTTTAACTTGTAGAATGTTTGATAATTGAATTATTAGTTCTTGCTTTTTTGATTCTTTAAATTTCTTAGTTAATTAATCAAAATTATCTTCAATTTTCTATTTAGAAAGTAAATAGTTTAACTGCATGTAAACAAACAATTGGATATCTTTATTTGTTATCTTTGGAGATTCTTCTAAATAGAAAAATATTTCTTAAATTGCATCATTTTATGAAATATTTTCTCCTAAATATTCAACTTTCTTCAACCATAAAGCTTACATGTTATTGGCAATGTTATTGGTATTATAATCAGAATAGCCTTTAAGTCCTATTTGTACAGCTTCTGTTGAAGATTTAGAAGTAATTTGTTGAACAATTTATTTAATCTCATTTATAAATTGATTTATTTAATTTAAATCTATTTCTGTTAAATTTTTTACGGCTCCTGCAATACTTACAAATCCAGCTCCGAATTTAGCAATCTAAACAATTTTTGAAATGATTTTGACTGCTACACTTTTATTAGCTTCATCTAAACCCTATCTTTAAGAATTCAATGTTTTTAGGAAGTCAAAATATTGAAAAAGATCCAAGCATGGAATCTTGTCTTTATTTTCTTTACAATATGTAATGAGTATGAGCAATTTATCAGTTATTGAGTTAATATCAGATTGAATTGATTATTATGAATTACTTTATCTAATGATTAACAAATAGTTTATTAACAAGTTAATCATATTTATGACTTTATGTCTAATTTCTTGCCTAACTATTTATTCTCTGTACCTGAATAGAGTCTCTTCAATAATCAATCTAACATCTGTTTCTATTTCATCTTCACTAACTGTTTTAGTTGTAAAATACTCACTATACGAATCATTAAACTTTTTGAATCGAGGTTATTCCTCAATTTTTTTATTCTCTTCACTCTAAATTTCGAATTCCTTCTTAAGTTATTCCTATCCATCAATAATTTACTTCATTTACTTATTTTTATTTAATTTTCCTATTTTCGATTTGCTACCACAAATTCCTCCTCCTAAAAGTTTATCTTCTGAAGTTTGGATTATGAATTACTATTTGAGTTTTTTATTTGCTTACAGTAATAATTATTCTTAATTTTCTTATAAATCTTTTGTTGAAAGCTTAAGTTGTCCTTTATTAAAATTATCATAACCATTTTACTCAAAGAGACTTAAGATGTTGATTTTTCTTAACTAAATAAAATTATTTTTCGAAAGCCTTAGACTAGAGGATTGATACTCTTCTTGTTAACTAGCTTGATGAGTTTAAATGCAAACTCTATTTGATGTATCATTAGATAATTTATTCATTGTAATTTAATTAATTACTTGCTAAGATATACTATTTTAATAATATTTATTTTCATACTTTTTAGTTATCTCATTCTAAAATGCTTATTTAGTAAGAATAGTGAATAACTTATTATTAAATTTAGTCATTTAATTTTTTTATATTAAATTCAACAGATATACTCTTTAAGGCTGAGAAATTCTTAAATTTTTTATTGAATTTCCTATATTAATTTTAATGTCTAAATTTAAAATGAATTTTTCCTTTGAATTGTTACTATCTTTTTCTTGTTTTTTCAATATCTTTTGTTCATCAAATGCTTTAGCGTTTTTTATCTAAATTTATTTTCTTTCTATCGATAAGGCTTTTGAGAGTGATCTTGATTATTATAGAAACAACTTATCTAATAAGAATATCTATATTTATTGTTAAGAAAGCTCTCCAAACTTTCTGCTGCCTATTTTAGGAAGAACTTTTTTAAATATTTTTGAAAGTTCTACTTTTATTTAATTCCTAAAATCACATTCAATTAGTTTTATAGAAAATCTTAATGCATCAATCTTTCGTTAAGCAAAACCATACATTGCTTCACCTGTTTCTTAGTTTTCTAAGATAAACATTTAACAGCTTTTTAATCTGAATTATTTCTCATCCATTTTTTCATAATAGACTTTTAATTGGTTTTCCTAATTTGTATCTGCTATTTTTTTTATTTAAGTAGTGAAATATACCCTTGCTACATAATACTTTTAAATTTAGTCTTTTAATCTATTCAGCATCTAAACCTATGATAGCTTTGCTCTGTTGTAGAGTTTCTTTACATAGTAAACGTTGGTATGCAACTCTCTATTGCCTATTATATAAAGATATAATTTTTAAAAAATGATTATTCTTATTTATTTTCTACTCTTGAGCATTCTATTTTGGTCTGAAAAATGATTAAAAGGAAGATCAATATTCTTTGAGCCCTTTTCAAAAAATATCTCTAAGTGCTATCTCTATTTAATTCCATTTCTAGTTATTCCATTATTTTTGAGCTTATCAGCAGCTATCCTTGATAATAAAAACAGTTATCTTACAATACCTCCATCTAAAACTATTTATTTAACTTAAGGGAAGGTTTCTTTAATCTCAGCTTAATTTTTAAACTTTTCCACATTTTTGGTAAGTTTGGTTAAATATTTAGCTTTAGTTCCTACAGATTTTACTCTCATTTTTTTCTAACACTTTACTTCTTCTAAATCTTTGATTTTTCTTTTGTTAATTTAATTAAATCTAAAAGATAAATAAATAGGAAATAAGTAATTAAATTAGGAAGCTGTATAATACGACAAATATTTATTTAATTTTAGAAGAAAATTGCCATTCAGTTTTTTAATTAATTTCATAAAAAAACGACTTTTTATTTAAGAAAAACGAAAAATTGAAATAAAATAATTATTTTTTATTAATTGTGAATAAATCACAAATTATATTAAAAAAATCTCTAAAGTACATAATTTTATTAACTTAATCAATTTTTTACTAAATTTAATAAACAACTGAAATATTATTTAAAATGGATTTAAAGGACATTCTCTAAGTAAAAGAAATAGTAATAGATAATATATACTGAGGGTAAATAATACAATATTTATTGGTAAAAGCCAACTGTTTAATTGGTCATTATCTTATAAAATTAATAAATATAGTAAATAATTAAAATTAAAAAAGTATTTTACTTAAATTTTTCTTTAAAAAGATATTTTTATTCTAAATTAATATAAAAATCAGTATTCCATAAAAAATTTTTTTATAATTAAAATAATATAAATTATATAATTTATTTTAATTGTTTAGTCAAAAAAACTAATTAAATTATAATTTTTAATATTAAGTACGAATATAAAAATTTAATACTAATGATTTTCACAGTTAATAAACTTATTAGAAAATATTTTTAATATTTTAAATCTTTGTCTAACAAGAAACTGCTTAAGTATCGTTATTTTATGCTCCATTTTTATTCAACAGTTTCAAAACTTTTTCAACATTCCAGATTTTACAAATACCTAAAGAAATGGTTGCTAAATACTTACAATCTTTAGAAATTTTAGAAAAACCTTCTTAATTACCTTAAGGATGATCTATTTTAATCTCATGAATGAGTTAAAATTCATTTTCTGTATTCCAAATTTTAAATGTAAAATCATAGGAACATGTTATTAAATATTTGGAATCTGCAGAAAAACTAACTGATATTTTACTTTTAGGATTAATTTCTATCTTTTTTTTTAGTTTGAATTTATTTTCTACGTTCCAGATTTTGCAGTAGCAATCATGTGAAACTGTTACGAGAAACTTCCCATCTGAAGAAAAATCAACTGTATAAATATCTTTTGAGTGTTCTTTAATGTCCTTTATAAGTTAAAAATTATTTTCTACATTCCAGATTTTACAAGTTTTATCAATAGAACCTGTTGCAAGATATTTGTAATTAGCAGAAAAAGCAACTGAGGAAATTTATTAAGAATGGTCTTTAACTGTATTAATTAGTTTAAATCCATTTTCTATATTCCAGATTTTGCAAGTCATATCCATACAATATGTTGCTAGGTACTTGCCATCTATAGAAAAAGCAACTGGGTTAATTTTATCATTTTGTGCGTTGATAGTTTTTATTAGCTCCAAACCATTTTTAATTTTCCAGATTTTACATGTCGAATCTTTTGAACCTATTGCAAGGTATTTACCATCTGAAGAAAAAATAACTGATAAAATCTAATTAGGATGATTCTCAATAGTGTAAATTAGTTCTAATCCATTCTCTACACTCCAAATTTTACATGTATTGTCACCTTAGACTGTTGCTAAATATTTGTTATCTGAAGAAAAAATAGCTGAACAAACATTCAAATAATTATTGTCACCAATAATCTAATTCATGAGTTCAAATCCTTATTCTAAATTCCATAATTTGCAAGTTTTATCTTTTGAACCTGTTGCTAGATATTTTCCATCTGCAGAAAAAGCTATTGAGAAAATACAGCTTTCATGTCCTTAAATTTTATTTATGAGTTTAAATTTATTTTCTACATTCCAGATTTAGCAAGTCTTATCATCAAATGAACTAGTTGCTAGGTACTTGCTATCTGCAGAAAAATGAATTGAAGAAACTTTATTAATATCTTCTTTAATAGTAATTTCTTTTTAGAATCCATCTTATACATTCCAAATATTGCATGCGCCATGTGAACCTGATGCGAGATACTTGCAATCAGCAGAGAAAGCAAGTGAGCTAATCTCATTAGTATGGCCAGTTTCAATTGTTTTAAGCTGTTCAAATCCATCATTTTTTACTTTCCAGATATTTATCATGCAAACACTATTACCTTAACGAGTTGTTGTTGCCAAATAATTACCATCAGTAGAAAAAGCTATATGACATATTATATTATCATCACCAGTTTGGATAGTTTTTAAAATGTTAAATTCATTTTCTACATTCCAGATTTTGCATGTATTTTAGTAAGAACTAGTTGCAAGAAATTTGCTATCTGGAGAAAATGCAACTTAACAAATTTCTGAAGTAGGATCTTCAATTGTCTTAATATGTTATAATTTATCTAGATCCCAGATTTTGCAAGTTTTATCCAAAGAACCTGTTGCAAGGTACTTGTTATTAGCAGAAAAAGCAACCGAAGAGATCTTTTTAGTATGTCCTTTTATAGTATGTATCATTTATAATTCATTTTTTACTTCCCATAATATGCAAGTATTATCCTAAGAACCTGTTACAAGATATTTACCATCAGCAGAAAAAGCAACAGAAGAGACCGAATCAGTATGTCCTTCAATAGTATTTATGCATTCGAAGTTATTTTCTACATTCAATATTTTGCAAGTATTATCTTCTGAAGCCATTGCAAAATACTTTCCATCTTCAGAAAAAACAATTGAGTTAACTATTTTGTTTTACCCTTCATCAATAGATTTTATTAATTAGAATCCCTTTTCTTTATTCTAAAATATGGAAGTTTTCTTATTTGAACTGATTGCCAGATACTTACCATCAGGAGAAAAAGCTATTTACGAAATTTAAACCTAACCTTCATCAATACTCTATATTAGTTTGAATTTATTTCCTGTATTCAATATTTTACAAATCTTATCATTGATCTTTATTGCAAGATACTTGCCATCTGAAGTAAAGGAAGATACAGCCAAATTACAAGATTCATTTTTTATCTCTTATATAATTTTAAAATCTGATAAATTATAAATATTAATTTTTTTATTTTAAGAGGCTATGATTGAATTGTTTAGCATTAAACACTATTTACCTTAAATTTTATTTTCATCTAGAAGTATGAAATCATTTTATAAATCTCCATAAAATATTTATTGTGTGTTTAAGGTAACTAAGTACATTGAATTATTTATTGCTAAGCTGGAAATAGGATGTGCAAAAGAGAAAGTATTAATTGTCTCAAAAGTTTGAGTATTAATCTCAAATAAAGATCGAATCGCTCTAATTATAAAAACATTTTTTGTGCTAGCATATTCAATACTTTCCAAACGGGAATTAGTAATTTTTTTTGATTATAATTTTTTACATGGTTGATTTTTATTTTGAGAAATTTCAAATTAATTGATATATCCAGTTTTTGTTATAGATACAAGAGTATTTTTATAAAATATAACTTGCTTAAAAGAATAAATGTCTTCAGTATCAAACTATTTTTAGAAACTATTAAAAGCTGCATTTTTAGTGTTAGAAGTTTCATAATTTTCTAAATCTTGTTAGTGAATAAACGAATCACTTAAGTTACATTCCTCAAATTAAGCAAGTTTAGGATATTTAGAAGAGATGTAAGCTTAAGAAAATGAGCATTTTTTAAAAATCAAATCTGGAAATAAGAATTTTGAAAGAAAGAGTGCTGATAATAAATTTGATGCTCCAACATCAATTTAGCTTTTTTCAGTGGGTTTTAAAATTGTAGATTTTTTAATAAATTGAATGTACTTATTTGTTTTAGATATGTCTTATTCACTATAATTATTCTCTGAAAACTATGAGTGAATATCAATTTACATTAATTTATAAAGTTTTAAAAGAATTTATTGCTCTGATGCATTTCTTTGGTTGCTCATGATAATTCTTTTATTTATATTGAATTCTTTTAGTTACTTTATATCTAATTCATAGATATTTTCTTTATGAATATCAAAATCATATTTCATAGCCCTGGCAGCAAAATATTCAAAAAGAGATTTATGTCTGAACTCAAATTCTTAACATTTATTGTTTTCCTATTAATCTTTCTATTTATTATTTTAAGATTGATTCTTAGTATTTTCTGCATCTAATTTTAAATTAATTCTTGTTATGACTTTACAATCAATATAGTTATTTAGATTTTATATGAGGCTATTTATATTGAGATTATATTTATTGAAGAGAACAGATACCTCTTCACTTGGTTAAAATTGAATAGACTCTCTTGTTGTTGAAAGATAATTTGATTTTTAACCTTTTTAAATAAACATTTGCATAGCAATTAACTAAAAGTATTCAAAGTAACATTATTATACTTTTTCAATTAATTCTTGTCTTTAATTATCATTTAAATTTAGCTCTTATTATTTTTCAATAAAAATTTGAGATTGGCTTTTGAATTTTTATAAGAAAAAAAACTCTTATATCTCAATCTGATCTGAAACTTGCGACAAGCCATTTGAAATTTTTTGATCAGTAATATCAATTTCTTCAATCATTCTTGATATTAGGTATAAATTAATAGGTAGCTCTAGTAATTTATTTAGCTATTTATTTTTGGATATAATTTCTTTAATTAAATCGTGAAAATCTTTCTTTTTTTTTGAATATTTTTAATACTTTTCTAAGTAATCTTCAATGTCTTTATCTGTAATTTTTTGGAGCTTGTAGATTCCAAACGAATTATTATTTTTAGCTTATTTTCCTTAGTTATCATAGTAGTTAAAGTACTTTTTAGCATCAGATATTGCTATTTTCTCTAATCTAGAAGTTACAATAACGAGAGTATTTACCCAATCGTTGAGTTTTAATTTCTCATAAACCTTAAAGTATTCTCCAGTATATTCATCATAACCATCGAGCATGATTAGTTTATTTCTTTCAGAGTTCTTTAACATATCGATGTCTTTTCTCTTTATTTTCACAGATTCTAAATAGTCTTCTAAAGATGGTTATTTTCTATCTAAAGAGTTGCACTTGATGATAAACGGAATGAAATAAGATCTAGTATCTTTTGTGTATTCTGAATCACGATTCAGTAGTTCAACTTCTAACTTTTTTAACAGCATTGACTTTCCCGAACCTCCTTCTGCTAAAATTGATATGATTTTACACTTGTTTTAATTTACTTCTTAACTTTAAAACTAGCTTTCCTCTTTGTTTTAGCTATCATCAGAAGAAAATACAAAATTTGGAATGAGGAATTATTCAATAATCTATTTTACAGCATCTCTTCCTTCTGTGTTAATTTTATAACCTTCCTAGTATGTAATCTATTAATTAACATATAAATGAATGGCTTCAAGTAATGCATCATCTTTATGCGTCATTTTTAATTTTTTCTACCTCTGCTGCACACTTTATTCCCACAATTCAACATAATTCTTAGCAAGTTACTTATCTAAGTCTATTTCATTTTAAATTTTATATGCAAAATTACTGAATTTTTCTTTATCATCTAAATAATCTGTTATTTAATTTGTGTTCTCATTTATTTGATCTAAGATTTATTTTTTAGTAAGATTAAGATGGTTATCATTAAAATCTCTAATAATTTAATTGTTTTGATAAATAATTTTAACAGATTTTTCTTTTTCTTACAAGTAATTAGCTATTATATTTATAGTAATATTTTGAAATTAATTTTAATTTGTCTTTTAAAATATTTTAGCAAAGTATAAGAGTAACTATGCTTTAATATATCTAAATTAAGTGTTTTAAGCTATTAAATTTGCTATCATTTTTATTTTATCTAAAATGGTTTCAGAATATTTTTTAACTTACAGATTATTTGATAATTTTATAATAAGTTCTTGCTTTTACTCATTTTCAAATCTTTTAGAAATCTTTTAGAAATTATCTTCTATTTATTGCTTTGACAATAAATAATTTAATTGCATGAAAACAAACAATTGTGTGTCTTTATTTACTATTTTAGGATATTCTTCTAAATAAAACATGATTTCTTAAATTGGATCTTACTGAGAAAGATTATCTCCCAGATAATAAACTTTTCTAAGCCACAATGCTTACATATTATTTGCAATATTATTAGAGTTGTAATTAGAATAGCTTTCAAGTCCTTTTTCTGCTAAATCAATTGAAGGCTGATAAATTTTTTTGATAAAATCCTTTATTTCGTTTAAATCTTTTTATATATTAATAAAATTTTAGAAAACTCCAGCTATACTGACAAATCCAGCTCCAAATTTAGCAACTTGAATAACATTTAAAATAATTTAGGCTGCAACACTTTTATTAATTTCATCTAAACCTTATCTTTAACCATTCAAAGTTTTTAAGATATCAAAATATTGATAAAGATCCAAACAAGGATGTCTCTCTTTATTCTCTTTGCAATATATAATAAGTGTTTCCAACTTATTGTTTATTAAGTTAATATCAGATTGTATTGACTAAGTTGACTTGCTTTATCTAATGATAAGAAAATAATTGATTAATAAATTAATCATATCAATAACTTTATGTCTAATTTTAACTTAAATTATGTCTTCTCTATAATCATAAAGACTATTTTCAATCATCCTTCTTACATGTCCTTCTATTTCTTTTTCACTTATTTTATGTTTATTGAAATATATTTTATATTATTCATTAAACATTTTAAAAGTGATTTCATCATCCCTTTGATTCTTTTATACATAAACTCTGTTTATAGGCGCAACTTTTGACTTACTGCCACATACTCCTCCACCAAAAAGTTTGTCTTCTTTAAATTTTAATATGCTTCTTAATTTTCTAAATTCGCTTTTCTATTTTTTGAGCTCATAAATTTCATACAAATTCAATTTTGATAGTTAAAACAGCTGGAAAATATAATCCCAATAAAGTCTAAAGCGATATTCACAATTGATTGGTTATTAATAGCTTTTGTTATTAGTAAATGCATCCTCTTAAATATTTTAAATTTTAAATTATTACTAGTGATTGTATTAGTTTTTCTAACTATCATATGCAGACTTCCCTGATGATTCAAAATGTGTGTTTATTATCTTAGCAAATGAGAAATTAAAACTTTGTTACTTCCTCAATCTTAACTGGTTTTCAGAAATAAAGCTTGAAGTTAACCTTTTTGTTTCTTCTTTGAATTAATCTAGATACTAAATTTTATTATTTTCATTATTTTCTCTTAATTTATGCTTGTAGACATGGCTAATTAATTTTTTATTGAATTAATCTATTTGATTTTTCAAAACTAAATTTTGCAGATTATTTCTTTGAACCTAGGATATGCTAAAATTAATTTCCATTTATGAAGAAAGACTTTGCTTAAATTTCCTCTGCTAATAGCTATCGCATGTAGCTACTTAAAACCTCCTCTAATATTGTTTATCATCTAGTTTTTTTTGATGCTATTCTCGATTGTCATCATTAATTTTCTAATTTTTATTTTTACTTGTTCCTGGCCTTACTTCAAAGCACTCCTTTTTTTCTTAATATTAGCTTTTTTTAAGAGTTTCTGTTTACATTTTTCTTAGCATCAACCTTTCACATGTTTTAGATTAGGCTCTCAATGCATTTGATATTTCTCTTTAATTTAATTAACAGGCAACTCGAAATATTTATTAAAGCTTTTCGCTTTTTACTTTAACAAGATTTTTAATTTTTTGATTTGAAAATTCTACTTTTTCTTTAATTGAGTTTTAACTTTCCATTATTTCTTCTTTGAAGTTTTCTTGCAAAGAAATTATAAATTCATTTTAACTTAGATATTAAATTTGATTATTTACTTCTTATTCATCTCTGTAATTAAGTTTTTCTTTACTTGATAACCTCAACTTACGATTCTCTTCATAAATTGTTTTCATTATTGCTTTCATTTTTATTTGCTATTATCTTTTTTGTGCTAAAATTTGAAAAAGTATTCTTGTTTTAGTTTATTTTTGTTTTGTTTTTTCTTCCAAGAGAAGTTCTATTGAGTCTATTAATTAATTCAGCCTTATTTTCTTTTAAATTTTTGCTAAATTAAAGAAGCATTGAAGACTAAAAAGGTTAGTAAGCAATTCTTCAATATTTTTCTGATGAGTATACAGTTATTTTGAAATAATAGTCCATCTTTATTAAGTCTTTTGTTTTTGAAATTGAACAAACTATTGATTTTAATTAAAATCTACCTTCTTTGATACCTTTAGAGCTTGTTTTTTATTGACTTAAAACTATTTTAACTACTACCTAGTGGTTTCATGTTTTTTTAATTGATCAACTATTTCTAATGATGTTTGCAAATCATACGCAAAATCCTAACTCAAATCTTCTTTTTTCGCCTAAATTAAAGGCATATCTTTAAACTTCTTGATGCTTTTCAATTTAATTTCTTATTTCTTAGGCTTTGGCATCTTCTTTATTTTTTCCGCTTAATATTTTGCTCTAAATCCCTCTTATATTACTCTCATATTTTTTGGTCTACTTCTCCTATTACTATCTTTTTTTTGCTTTTCTCTTAATTTTTGTTACTTACTTTAAAATATCTTTAATAGAATATCAATTTTATTTTAATAAGAGAGATACATCAATATAAAACTAAATAGGTATAAATAAAAGTATTTTATAACTTTACCTGCTATTAAAATATTATGAACTGGATATTTCTATACCATGATTTATTTCAATCAATTTATAATTGAAAAATAATAAATAAATAAATAAATTAAAAAGATATAGCTTACATTCATTTTTATAAATATTTATTATATAAAGTACACAAAAATAGAATTTTTGCATAAAATTAAAAATATCTTTAAACATAGTCTAGCGGCTTCGCATTCTTTAAGTCTATTATATTTTATTAACACAAATTAAGTAAAATAATTATATCAATTTAAATGCGCACCAGTTCTAAAGGCAGTAGTGATAGCAGTAGTAACAAAATATATATTAAAGACCCCTTAAAGATCAATGAATTTTCAATGTATGAATGTTAACACCAATTTTCTCTCTTATATATTCCTTTTCATACAACAAAAGCAAATCTTTATTCAGAAAAGAAATGCACGCTTAACTTTGTATTTTTTTTTAGACAAGTAGCTTAAATTTTTGAAATTTAAAATTGTTTTTAAGGATTCTATTCATTTTTTGCTTTCAATTGATTACTTATTTCACTCTTTTAAAATAATTTTATTTTGAAATAAACTTGATGGTTAACTAGAAGTTGCTTTTTCTTAATAGGAATGTCAAATTTAATCTATAAAGCTATTTATTAAAACTCTTTTTTAAATACATCATCCATTTTAGAGGAATTTGTGAGCAAAAAACTCTTTTTAATTTTCTACTATATCAATCTATATATCATAATATGAGAAGATATTTTTTGTTAAAAAATTCTGTTAACTAGTTTGAATCTTACTCATTTGGGCTATCTTGTCCCTTGGTAAGATGAAAGATCTAAATAAATATGTTTAGATCATTTTTCAACGAATAAACTCAGCTTTAATAAAAGTTTGATAGTTTCACCTTCACTAAATGTTTAATCAATCTTTGAAGATGGTAAAAAATATTCCTGCTTAAAACTTCTTCTTATTCATAAATAAAAGCGATTTTTTTGTAACTCAATAATTTTTTCAATTCATAAATACTCTTTTTTTATTTTAATATACATTTGCTATTTTTATTTATAAATTTTACCTCATAATCTTACTCATTTTACTCTCATTTTTTTCTTAATACAACTTTTTCTACTTCGTTGTTTATTTATTTAATAAAATATTATCATATAAATAGTCTTTATTTTAAATGTATAAATGCATCACTGAGGTTATGTCTCAGTTTTTTTTTAAATTCAGTAAAAATTGCAATACTTTGATATAGAAAAGAGTGAAAAATTATTTTATTTTACTTCATTCAAAATCAAAAGAAAAAAATACAAAACAGATAAAAAATAAAATAGATTCACTAATAAAAACAAATATAAATAGACTTATCTAAATTTTTCATATATATTAATAATTGAATATCTTTTTTATATAGTGAAATCAATATATGTCATTGATAGTCTTTTATCATCCATAAATTTAATTACCATAAAGCCTAAGAAATCACTATAACCAGAGATACGAGTTCTATCTAAATTTCCATATTTTTAATTTTGCAAAAAATAAATAAATTTATGAAATTTCTAAAATTCATAATTTTGCTCAGTCGAAAATTAATATAAAATTAATCTTAAAGAAAAAATTTTTTTCTAATTCCAATAAATAATAATATTAATATTTTATTATGATTATTTTGTCAATAAAAAAACTTATAAAGCTTATTAAATATGAATTTTTCAAATTATGTAATTATAGGAAAATTTTAAACTAGTTATTTTCAAACAATATAAACTAATGAGAAAACAATTTTAATATTTTAATTTTTTTAAGATGAATTTGCCTAAATTTCTTTATTTTATGTTTCATTTTTATTCAATAGTTTCAAACCTTTTTCAAAATTCCAGATATTAATTGTATTACAATTAGTGGTTGCTAGGTACTTGCAATCTTTAGAAATAGCAGCTAAATCAAAAAATTAATAATCAATTTTTTTATCCATTTAATAAATGAATTAAAATTTATTTTCTACATTCCAGATTTTAAAATTTTTAAACCTAGGGCATATTACTAAATATTTGGAATCTGCAGAAAAATCAACTGAATTTATAAGATAATCCTCTTCTATCGAATCTATAAGTTAGAATCCATTTTCTACATTCCAGATTTTGCAACTTTAATATTTTGAAATTGTTAGGAGTAACCTTCCATCTGAAGAAAAATTAACTTTATAAAAATAATCATAATCTTTTCCTTCAATTGTTTTTAAGAGTTAAAAACTATTTTCTATATTCCAAATTTTGCAATCTAAAGAAGCTGTTGCAAGATATTGGCAATTAGCAGAAAAAACAACTGAGCAAATTCCTTTTTCAAATCCTTCAACCGTTTTAATTAGCTTAAATCCATTTTATATATTCCAGATTTTGCAAGTCTTATCATTAGAACCTGTTGCTAGGTACTTGCCATCTATAGAAAAAGCGATTGACTCAAATTGATAAGTATGTCCATCTATAACTTTAATTAACTCGAATCCATTTTCAACTTTCCAGATTTTACATGTGAAATCACCTGAACCTGTTGCGAGGTACTTAGCATCTGAAGAAAAAGTAATTGAAGAAATAAATATATCATGCCCTTCAATAGTGTAAATAAGCTCAAATCCATTCTCTAAATTCCAAATTTTGCATTTATTATTAGTATGTGTAGTTGCTAAATACTTATTATCTGGAGAAAAACAAAGGGAAAAAATTTATTCATGAAAATAATTATCGTTTATCAAACTAATATTAAGCTTAAATTCATAATCTAAATTCCACAATATGCAAGTATTATCTTCTGAACCTGTTGCTAGGTACTTTCCGTCTACAGAAAAAGCTATTGACAAAACATCATCACAGACTTAAATTCCATTGAAGATTTAAAATTTTTCTTCTACATTCCAGATTTAGCAAGTGTTATCAAATGAACCAGTTGCAAGATACTTGCTATCCGGAGAAAAAAGAATCGAAGAAATTCTATCAGTATGTCCTTAAATAGTTATTACTTGTTCGAATCCATTTTCTACATTCCAAACTTTGCATGTTCTATCTTATGAACCTGACGCGAGATATTGACCATCAGCAGAAAAAGCAAGTGAGATAATCTAATCAGCATGGTCAGTTTCAATTTTTTTAAGATGTTCAAATCCATTTTTAATATTCCAGATATTTACTATGAAAATACTGTGATCATATGCACTTGTTGCCAAATAATTACCATCAGCTGAAAAAGCTACTTGACAAGTTAATCCTGTTTGAATAGAATTTACAAACTTAAATTTATTTTCTACATCCCAGATTTTGCATGTATCATCCTAATAAACAGTTGCTAGATATTTATTGTCTGGAGAAAAAGCAACTTAACAAATTCCTGAAGTGTGTTCTCCTATTGTTTATACGTGTTATAATTTATGTAGATCCCAGATTTTGCAAGTATTATCTAAAGAACCTGTTGCAAGGTACTTGCTATCAGGAGAAAAAGCAACTGAAGAAATCTTATCAGTATGTTCTAGTACCGTATCTATCATTTATAATTCATTTTATACTATCCAGATTCTGCAGGTGTTATCATAAGAACCTGTTGCAAGATACTTGCCATCAGCAGAAAAAGCAACAGAAGAGATCGAATCACTATGTGCTTCTATAGTATTTATGTATTCGAAGTTATTTTCTACATTAAATATTTTGCAAGTGTTATCTTTTGAACCAATTGCAAAATACTTTCCATCTTCAGAAAAAACAATTGAGTTAACTATTTTGTTTTACCTTTCATCAATAGTTTTTATTAATTAGAATTCCCTCTCTAAATTCTAAAATATGCAAGTTTTATCGCTTGAACTTGTTGCCAGATATTTACCTTTTGAAGAAAAAGCAAGAGTATTAATAGTCAACCTATGTTCTTTAGTTGTCTTTATGACTTCAAATCCATTTTCTGCACTCCATATTTAACAAGTTTAATCTTCAAAACCTATTGCGAGGTACTTGTATTCTGAAGTAAAAGAAAATAAATGCATATTCTGAATATCATTTTTTACATTTTTTATAATTTATAAATCTGCTAAATTATAAATGTTAATTTCTTTATTTTAAAAAGCTATGATTGAATTGTTTAGCATAAAACATTATTTAGCTTAAATTTTGCTTTCATCAAGAAGAATGAAACCATTTTATATATCTCCATAAAATATTTATTCTGTTTTTAACGTAATTAAGTATTTTGAATTATTTATTGCTAAACTGGAAATTCGAAAATCAAAAGTGAAAGTATTAATAGTCTCAAAAGTCTGAGTATTAATCTCAAATATAGATCTAAATGCTCTAATAATAAAAATATTTTTTATGCTAACATAGTGAATACTTTACAAATCAGAATGAGTAATTTTTTTTGATTATAATTTTTTACAAGGTTGATTTTTATTATGAGAAATTTCGAATTAATTGATATATCCAGTTCTTGTTATAGATACAAGAGTATTTTTATAAAATATAACTTGCTTAAAAGAATAAATGTCATCAGTACCAAATTATTTTTAGAAACCACCCAAAGCTGCATTTTTAGTGTTAGAAGTTTCATAGTTATCTAAATTTTGATTGTGAATATACGAATGACTTAAGTTACAATCCTTAAATTCAGTAAGTCTAGATTCTTAAGTAAAGATGTAAGCTTAAGAAAATGAACATTTTTTGAAAGTCAAATCAGTAAATGAGAATTTTGAAAGATAGAGTGCTGATAATAAATTAGATGCTCCAACATCGATTTAGCTTTTTTCAGTGGATTTTGAAATTGTAGATTTTTTAATGAATTGAATATACTTATTTGTTTTAGATATGTCTTCTTCGCTATAATTATTCTCAAAAAACGATGAATATATATCAGATTACATCAATTTGTAAAGCTTTATAAGAATTTATTGCTCTGATTAGTTGCTCATCACAATTCTTTTATTTATATTAAATTCTTTTAGTTATTTTATATCTAATTTATAGATATTTTCTCCATGAATATCAAAATCGTATTTCATAGCTCTGGCAGCAAAATATTCAAAAAGAGATTTATGTCTGAACTCAAATTCTTAACATTTATTGTTTTCTTAATCTTTCTTTTTATTATTTTAAGATTTATGATTAGTATTTTCTGCATCTAAATCTAAGTTAATTCTTGTAATGACTCTAGAATCAACATAGTTAGCTATCTTTTTTATGAGGCTATCTATTTTTAGATTACATTTTTTGAAAAGAACAGATGCGTCTTGGCTTGGTTAGAATTTAATAGATTCTTTTGTTGTTGAAAGATAATTTGATTTTTCACCTTTTTAAATAAACATTTGCATAGCAATTAACTAAAAGTATTCAAAGTAACATAATTATACTTTTTCAATTAATTCTTGTTTTTATTTCTCATTCAAATTTAAGTTTTATTAATCTTTAATATAAATTTGAGATTGGCTTTTGAATTGTTATTAGAAAAAAAACTCTTATATCTCTATCTGATCTGAAACTTTTTACAAGGCCTTTGAAACTTTTTGATCAATAATATCAATATCTGCAATCATTCTTGTAGTGAGGTATAAATTAATAGGGAGAGTTAATAATTTATTTAGCTATTTGTTTTTTAATATAATATCTTTAATTGAATTGTGTTGATTTATATTAAAATCTTTCTTATTTTCTGAATATTTTTTATACTTTTCTAAGTAATCTTCAATGTCTTTGTCTGTAATTTTTTCAAGTTTGAAGATTCCAAAAGAATTATTATTTTTAGCTTATTTTCCTTAGTTATCATAGTAGTTAAAGTACTTTTTAGCATCAGATATTGTTATTTTCTCTAATCTAGAAGTAACAATAACCAGAGTATTTACCCATTCGTTGAGTTTTAATTTCTCATAAACCTTAAAGTATTCTCCTGTATATTCATCATAACCATCGAGCATGATTAGTTTATTTCTTTCAGAGTTTTTTAGCATATCGATGTCTTTTCTCTTTATTTTCACAGATTCTAAATAGTCTTCTAAAGATGGCTATTTTCTATCTAAAGAGTTGCACTTAATGATAAATGGAATGAAATCAGATCTAGTATCTCTTGTGTATTCTGAATCACGATTCAGTAGTTCAACTTCTAACTTTTTTAACAGCATTGACTTTCCCGAACCTCCTTCTGCTAAAATTGATATGATTTTACAATTATTTTAATTAACTTTTTCCTAATTTTACTAGCTTTCTTCTTTATTTTAACTATCATCAGAAGAAAATACAAAGTTTGGAATGAGGAATTATTCAATAATCTATTTTACAGCATCTCTTCCTTCTGTGTTAATTTTATAACCTTCCTAGTATGTAATCTATTAATTAACATATAAATGAATTGCTTCAAGTAATACATCATCTTTATGTGTTATTTCTAGCCTTTTCTATCTCTATTACACACTTTATTCCCACAATTCAACAAAATACTTTGCAAGCTACTTATCTAAGTCTTTTTCATTTAAAATTTCATATGCAAAATTATTATATTCTTGTTTATTATCTAAATACTTTGTCATTTAACGTTTGAACTAATTTGTTTCTACTAAGATTTAAGTTTTATTAAGACGGTTATGAATAAAATCTGCAATAATTTAATTATTTTTGTAAATAATTTTAACTGATTTTTATTTTTCTGACAAGTAATTAGAGATAATGGTGGTCATAATTTCTGTAAATGAATTTTAATTAGTATTTTAAATTATTTAAGCAAAGTACAAAAGTAACTAAGCTTTAATATATCTAAATTAATTGTTTTGAGCTATTAAATTTGCTATCATTTTTATTTTATCTAAAATGCTTTCAGAATATTCTTTAACTTACAGAATATCTGATAATTGCGTAATAAGTTCTTGCTTTTACTTATCTTCAAATATTTTAGAAATCTTTTAGAAATTATCTTCTATTTATTGCTTTGACAATAAATAATTTAATTGCATGTAAACAAATAATTATGTGTCTTTATTTACTATTTTAGGAGATTCTTCTAAATAAAACATGATTTCTTAAATTGGATCTTACTGAGAAAGATTATCTCCCAGATACTAAACTTTTCTAAGCCACAATGCTTACATATTATTTGCAATATTATTAGAATTGTAGTCAGAATAGCTTTCAAGTCCTATTTTAACGAAATCAGTTTAAGATTCAATAGTCAGTTTTTGAACAATTAATTTAATTTCTTTGATAAAAGTGTCTATTTCGCTTAAATTTATATTAGTAAAATTTTAGATAGCTCCAGCTATACTGACAAATCCAGCTCCAAATTTAGCAACTTGAATAACTTTTGAAATAATTTAGGCAGCAACACTTTTATTAATTTCATCTAAACCTTATCTTTAACCATTCAAAGTTTTTAAGATATCAAAATATTGATAAAGATCCAAACAAGGATGTCTTTCTTTATTCTCTTTGCAGTAAATAATAAGTGTTTCCAACTTACTATTTATTAAGTTAATATCAGATTGTATTGACTAAGTTGACTTGCTTTATCTAATGATAAGAAAATAATTGATTAATAAATTAATCATATCAATAACTTTATGTCTAATATCTACTTAAATTATGTATTCTCTATATTCATAAAGACTTTTTTCAATAATCTTTCTTACATGTCCTTCTATTATTTTTTCACTAATTTGATCATCATTAATATATTTTTTATACTATTTATTAAACTCTTTAAAAGTGATTTCATCATCCTCAATTTGTTGTTACTCTTCAGAATTTTAAACTTAAAAGTCTTATTCAAGTTTATCCTTTTCATGAATAATTTATTATAGATTCTATTTCTATTTTTATATTTAAACTATATTTGAAGTTCCAACTCTTTACCTACTGCCACATATTCCTCCACCAAGAAGCTTATCTTCTTTAACTTTTAATATGTTTCTCAATTTTCCAAATTCGCTATTAGATTTAAGCTTAGAATTATCTTATAAACTCAATTTTTATACTTATAATAACTGAGAACCAACTTATTATTAACAATTATTAAGCTATTATTAGCTTTTATTATTGGTACAATTTTTTTTAAATGGCTCCTCTTGAATATTTTTAATTTTTAATTTTTGTGAGTGATTGTTTAAGCTTTTCTAACTATCAGACGCGAAATACTCTAATGAGTCAAAATCTGTGTTAATTATCTTCGCAAGTGAGTAATTAAGACTTAGTTACTACTTCACTCTTTACTAGTTTTCAGAGTCAAAGCTTGAAATTAAACTTTTTGTTTTTTCTTTGCTTTAAATTAGTAAAAATTTTTAATTTTTTTCATTATTTTATCTTAATTTATGCTTGTAAGCAAGGCTAGTTAATTTATTATTGAATTAATCCATTTTATTTTTCAAAACTAAATTATTCAGGTGATTTCTTTGGACCTAGGATATGTTAAAATTAATTTCCATTTATGAAAAAAGATTTTGCCTAAATTTCCTCTACTAACAGCTATCATACATAACTGATTAAAATCTCCTCAAACATTGTTTATTTTCTAATTTTTTATTATTATATTATACTTTATTAGTATCATTTATTTTCTATTCTTTATTTATACTTCTTCTTTGCTTTACTTCAAAACACTACTTTTTCTCTTAGCAGTAACCTTTTTTATGAGTTTCTGTTTTAATTTTTCTTAGCATCAAGCTTTCAAATCTTTTTGATTAGACTTTGAATGCTTTTCTTGTCTCAACTGATATTCTTATCCAATTTAGCTAATACTTAACTCTAAGTCTTTGTTAAAACTTTTCGCTTTTTTCACTAACAAAATGTGAAATTTCTTTATTTGAAAATTCTACTTTTTCTTTAATAGTGTGTTGATTTTCGATTATATATCTGAAATATTCTTGACAAAAAAATATAAATTCATTTTAATTTATATAATAAGTTCGATTATCTATTTCTTATTCACTCTTGTAACCAAGCATTTTTTTACTTGTTAATATCAACTATTTATTATGATTATTATCTTCATAAATTGCTTTCATTTTTACTTGCTAATATTTTTGTGCTAAAATTTGGCAAAATATTCTTTTTAGATTTTATTTTGGTTTTATTTTTTCATTCTATGGAAGTATCAAGTCTTGTAGTTTATTCTGCTTTTCTTCCTTTTAAATTTTTACTGCATTAAAGAGGCATTGAAGACCAAAAAGATGGGTATACAATTCTTCAATCTTTTTCTGATGGGCATACATTTATTTAGAAATGATTATTTGTTTCCTAGTCTTGTTCTTTTGACATTGAACAGGCTATTGATTATTATTAAAATCTAGCTTCTTTGATACCTTTAGAGAATGTTTTTTATTGACTTAAAACTTATTTAAATGCTACCTTGCAGTTTCATTTTTCTTGGATTGATCAACTTTTTCTAATAACATTTGTAGATCATCACTTAAATCTTCTTCTATGGTCTAAATAAAAGGGATTTCTATAAACTTCTTTATTTTTTTCAATTTAATTACTTATTTCTTAGTCTTTGACATCTTCTTTATTTTTTAGACTTAATAGTTAGCTCTAAATCCTTTTTATTTTACTCTCATTTCTACACTTTTCCTATTATTATTTTTGCTTTGCTATTAATTTTTTTTAATCAAAAAAATCCAAAATCCTATCAATTTTAGTTGATTATTGAAAAAAATAATAGTTATATTATAATATAAAGTAATATAAGTTATTATTTTTTAATATAAAAGTTAAGGACCTTATTAATATTTATAATTATCCTCAAATATTATTAAACATAAAATATTTAAAGAATAATCTTTTCATATTATTTAAATACATTAACATGCTGAAGAGAAAACGATATTTATAGGTATTAAGAATAAGAAATTAGATTTTTCTTTAAAAATAGTAAAAATTAAATAGTGTAAATTCAAAACGCCAAAACGCTGAATTAAAAATGAATATCACAACCAATAAAATCATAGATTTGTCTAAAAATAAAATAAAAATGTATCATAAAAATTATTTTTTACATTTTCTATTTTTAAAGTTAGCAATTATTAATAAGAAAATTTATAGTGCAAAAATAATAAGGCGAATCCTTTTTTACTTACATAATAAAATAGAATTTAGATTTATAAAGTAGGAAATGCTTTAATAATATTACAGTTTTTAAACATAAATTTGAAAAAATTATTAATATTTTTTATTTTTTAATTTTTCTAAAAATAATTATTTTAAAACTTAAATTAACTTAATTAGAAAAAAAAATATAAAAAACACAAAAAAATCAAAGATAAATAAATCCTCAAGTCTCAAATATTTTTAAATAGTATAATTAGTATTAATTATAGAATAGATAGATAGATATATAGATATAGATAGATTGATTTATTGATACATATGTAGATTGATACATAGATAAATTTATACATAGATTGATAGAGAGATACATAAAAATTAGATTCAAATTTATAAAAAAGTTTTACAGTATTTTTATTTATATCTAAATTTTTACTATTCTTTCTAAAATAAAAAAATCTCTAATTTATTTGTTAAACATAATAAATATATGATTGCTCTATCCTTAGTATTAAAATTGAGTTGATTGGATATGTTTAATTATCAGAGTTTATATAATATTTACATAAAAAATAATTTTATGGGAGCTTAAAATTTATTATTTTTTTTTTACTATATTTATAAATTATACTTACTTTTAAGAAGATTTCAAAAAAAAAAAAGAAAGAATGAAACTATCTGTTTGTTTATTTTTTGGTAATATTTTTTTCTTGAAAAAAAATATTTTTAGATTTTACATTTTTTATTTACTTTAAATTATTAATTTATTTTGTAGCATTTTGTGATTTTGAAAATAATTGATTTGAAATTTCATAAAAGAAGTACAAAATTTACATAAAAATATATATTTTACTTAAAAGAAATATAAAGCATATAAAAAAAGGTAAAATAATATAATTTTCTGATTTTGAATTATCTAAATCGATTTTTTATTTAAGAATTTTTAATCAAACGCTATAAATTTATTAGAAAATTTTATTATTATCTAAAACACTATTACTTAATTAACTATTAAGCTAAGAAACATCAGCTGATTTAATTTCGCTATCCTAAAATTCATTTAAATTCATTATTTCAAACTCTTTTTGTACATTCAAGATTCTACAAGTATTATCTTCACAACCTATTGCTAGATACTTGTTATCTGATGAAAATGCTATTGAATGAATACCTTAAGTATGTCTATTAAATGTTTTTATGAGTGAAAATTCATTTTCTGCATTCCAGATTTTTAAAATTTTGAAACAACAAGCAGTAGCAAGATATTTATTATCTGCAGAAAAAGTAACGCAGGTAACTGTTGAAGTATGTCCTAATATCGTCTTTACGAGGTTAAATTCTTCTTTTATACTCCAGATTTTGCAAGTTTTATCATATGAACCGGTTGCAATGTACTTGCTATCATTAGAAAAAGTGACTGATTTAACATCAGAGCTATGTGCTTAAATAGTGTGTATTAGCTCAAATTTTCCTTTTGCATCAAATATTCTATAGGTATTATCATTTGAAGCTGCTAGATATTTGCCATCTGGTGAAAAATATAATGATTAAACAAAATCAACAAATCCTTCAATTGTAGTAATAAGTTAAATATTTTTTTAGATATTTCTTATTTCGATATTATTAATATCTGAAACTGTAGCTAGAAATAAGCTATCTGGGGAAATAGCAATTGATTTAAACTGATTATTTACTTAAATCTTATGTAGGTATTTAAATCCTTTTTCTACGCTCCAGATTTTACAAGTTTTGTCAAATGAACTAGTTACTAAATAATTACCATCTGGAGTGAAAGCAAGACTATTGATAAAATCTCTATGGGCTTAAATCTTATTTATAAGCTCAAATCCTCTTTCTGTGCTCCATATTTTATAAATTTAAGAATCTGTAGTTGCGAGAAGCTTACCATCAGGTGAAAAAGCAACTGAGTGAATAAAACTAGTGTGTTTCTCATCCATCTTTATCAACTCAAATCCTTTTTCTAAATTCCATAACTTACAAGATTTATCGTAAGAACCTGTTACGAGCTACTTTGCATCTTGACTAAAAGCAGCTGAATTAATAGTTGATGTAATGATATTTAAGAGTTAGAATCCATTTTCTACATTCCAAATCTTACATCCACCTAATAAAGATGATGCAAGATATTTACTATTTGCAGAAAATACAACAGAGTAAACTGGATTATGTGCATTAATTGTATCTATAAGGTCGTATCCTTTTTCTACATTCCAGATATTAAATTTATGATCCAAAGACCCAGTTGCGAGATATTTACCATTTGGAGAAAATGCCACTGAAGAAATATTATCCACATGTCCATAAAGAGTTTCTATTAATTAAAATCCGTCTTTGATTTTCCATACTTTGCAAATGGCTTAAGAACTTGTTGCAATTAACTTACTATCAAAAGAAAAAGCAACTGATAAAATTTATTTTTCATTTGCATTAATTGAATGAAGAAGCTAAAATCCTTTATCTACATCCCAAATTATACAAAGACCGTTAAACAAACCTGTGGCTAGATATTTGCTATCTGCAGAAAATGTAACTGAGAAAATTTCAAAATTATTTCCTTCAACTGTGTGATGCAGTGAGAATCCTTTTTAAGTATTCCAAATTTTGCAAGTTTAATCTGCTGAGGCTGTTGCTAAATATTTATTATCTGCAGAAAAAGCTACTTATTTAACAGGTTTAGTATGTCCTTCAATTGTATTTACGAGCTCTAAACCATTTTTTATACTCCAAATTAAGCATGTGTTATCATCAGAGCCAGATGCTATATATTAATCGTTGGGAGAAAAGGCAATTGAGGAAATACTCTCAGAATGTCCTTAGATCTTATTTACTAGTTTGAATTCTTATTATGAGTCCAAGATTCTGCAAGTTTTATCAGCTGAGCAAGCTATGAGATATCTTCCATCAGTAGAAAAATTCACTGAGTGTATTTTTTTTTATTATATTTAAATATCTTGCAAGAGTGCAAATCCTTCTTTCACATTCCAGATTTTGCAATGACCATCACTTGAGCTTGTAGCTAGATATTTTCCATTTTCAGAAAAGGCAACTGAGGTTATAGGTCTGGTGTGTTCAGTTTAGATAGTTTTTAAGATATCAAATTCATTTACTAAATTAAAAATTATGCAATTTTTTTCTTCTGATATAGCTACAAGATACTTTTCATCACTAGTGATTGAAGATATTGTCAGATCACATGGGCAATTTTAAATATTCTTAATAATTTAAAGATTATGTGAATTATAAACATTGATTTCTTGATTTTTATAAGTGATTATTATTTCCTTTAAGGAAATAGACGATTCAGCTTGAATTTTATTTTAATCTAAAAGCGTGAATCCTTTTTAAAAATCCCCTTAAAATACTTAATTGTTAATTAAATTAACAAAATATTATGATTTATTGATTGATAAATATGATATCGGAAAAGTGAATGTGAAAGAGGAAATTATTTCAAAAGTTTTAGAATTTATCTCAAATAAAGACTTTTTTGTATGAGCAACAAAAATACTTTTTGTGCTTTCATAATAAATATTTTTCAAAGGGCTATTAGTAATCTGCTTTGATTTTAATTATTTGAAATTATTTTCAATTATCTCAAATTTATTAATAAAACCACTCTCAGTGATAGATATAAGATTATTTTTTGATAGTATTGCTTTGTTAAATTAATAAATGTTATCTGAGTCCATTAATTTTTAGAAACCACCAAATATTGCATTCGTCATGTTTGAACTTTCATATTTTTCTAAGTTTTAATTTTCAATAAAAGAGTCGCTTAGATTGCAATCATAAAACTCAGTTAGAATTTCAGATTGAGAAGTAATATATGCTAAGGAAAACGAACATTTATTTAAAATCAAATTAGGATATGAGAATTTAGAAAGAAACAGAGCTGACAGTAAATTAGAAGCTCCAATATCTATTTAGCTCTTTTCAGTGTTTTTAGAAATTTTCGATTTCTTTAGGTATTAAATGTATTTATTAGTTTTAGATATATCTTATAAGCTGTATGTTTAGTAGAAAAATTATGACTGAATATCTGATTACATAAGTTTATAAAGTTTTAAAAGAATTTGTTGCTCTGATGTATTTTTTTCACTGCTCATTATGATTCTTTTGTTAATGTTGAATTACTTCAGTTGTTAAATGTCTAACTTAAAAATATTTTCTTTGTGTAAATCAAAATCATACTTCATGGCTCTAGCAGCAAAGTATTCAAAAAGAGATTTATGTCTAAACTCGAATTCTTACTATTAATTTTCTTCAATTTTATATTTATCTATTTAAGTTTAATTTTCTTTATGCTGATTTTTAGTGTTTTTTACTTTAAGCTTCAATTAAATTCTCGTAATAACTCTAGAATCTACATAATTAATTAATTTTTAAATGATTTCATCTTCATCTATTTTATTTTATTAGAAGAAAAGTGATACTACCTCTTAAGTCTAAAATTTAATCTATTCTCTAGTTATTGAAAGAAAGTTTGATTTTTAGTCCTTTTAAATAAACATTTGAATAGCTATCGATTGGAAATATTCAAAATAACAAGATTCTACTTTTTCTGCTATAGCTTATCTTTTTTTGTCATCTAATGTAAGGAATTTTTTTTATTGAATGAATATTTGAGCTTATTTTTTGAATTGCTAAGAGAAAAATAACTCTTAAATAGCAATCTAGTCTGAAGCTTACTATAAAGTATTCAAAGTTCTTTCGTCATTAAGGTCAATATCTGAAATCATTCTTGTTGTGAGATACAAATTGATTGGCAACTTTAGCAATTCAGTTAGTTAATTATTACTAAATATAATTTTTTTAAGTTTTTCATGTTGTTCTAAATCAAATTCTGCTTGATTTTCTAATTCTTGTTAATTTTTATACTTCTCTAAGTAATCTTCAATATCTTGGTTAGTTATTTTTTCTAGTTTAAAAATTGCATATGAATCTCTATGACCTATGTTTCCTTAATTATCGTAGTAATTAAAGTATCCTTTAGCATCAGAGACTGTGATTTTTTCTAATCTAGAAGTCACAATGACTAGAGTATTCACCCATTCATTAAGATTTAACTTTTGGTAAACCTTAAAATAATCACCTGTATATTCATCATAGCCATCAAGCATGATTAGTTTATTTCTCTCAGATTTCTTTAAATTATCGATGTCTTTTCTCCTTATGTTTAAAGATTCTAAGTAATCTTCAATTGAAGGTTTTTCTTTATCTAACGAGTTGCATTTTATTATAAATGGTATGAAATCAGTTCTTTTGTCATTTTTATATTTTGAATTATCATTGAGAATTTCGACTTCAATTTTTTTCAAGAGCATCGACTTTCCTGAACCTCCTTCTGCCAAAATTGATATGATTTTACATGTAGATATTTAATTTAATTAATCATTTGCATTTGCTTCTTCTTAAGAAAATACAAAGTTAGGGATGAGGAAATAATCAAAAATTTATTTCACTGCATCTTTTTCTTGTGTGTTAAATTTATAGCCATCCTAATATGTTATCTATTAATTAATATACAAGTGAATAGCCTCAAGCAAAACATCATCTTTGTGAGTTATTTCAAGATTTTTGTATCGTTACTTGACGCTTTATTCCCAAATCTCAACAAAATATTTAGCTAATTGTTTGTCTAAATCTTTTTCATTTTAAATATCATATGCAAAGTTATTGAAGTCTGACTTATCATCTAAATGCTTAGTCATTTATTATTTCTGCTCGTTAATTTTATTAAAAACTTCATTTTTATTAAGTTAATTATCAATAAACTCAGCCATAACTTAATTATATTGGCTCACAATTTTAACAGATTTTTATTTTTCAATTAAATAATTTGAGACGATATTATTCATTATGCCTTTAAATTCGTTTAAGTGTTTGATTTTTAAGATTTAAGCAAAATGTAGAAGTAATTAAGCTTTTATGTATCTAAATTAATGGCTCTATGCTATTAAATTAGCTAAACTTTTTAGCTTATCAATAATCCCATCAGAATACTCTTCCACTTATAGAAACTTCTATTAATTGATAATAAGCTCTATCTTATTCTCTTTTTCTAATCTCTCACTTAGTTCTTCATAATCTTTGTTTATTTACTACTTTGACAACAAATAGTTCAATTGAATATAAACAAATAATCGAGTGTCATTATTTTAAATTTTATCACACTCTTCCAAATAGAAAATAATTTCTAAAATCTGATCAGAGAGATTCTCTCCCATATATTAAACCTTTTTTAGCCATAAAGATAACATATTGTTGGATATATTATTACTATTGTAATTAGAATAAGCACCAAGTCCTTAGTTAATAGACCCTATAGAAGAATCAGAAGTTAATTTTTCTGCAATATTTTTTATATCATTTATGAAGCTTTTCAGTTTATTGAAATCAACTTCTGTTATATTTTTGATAGCACCTGCAATACTGACAAATCCTGCTCCAAACTTAGCAACTTAAACTATTTTCTCAATAATTTGTATAGCGGCGTGCTTATTTGCTTCATCTAAACCAACTCTCTAAGAATTCAAAGTCTTTAAAATGTCAAAATATTAAAATAAATCCAAACAAGGATGTCTCTCTTTATTTTCTTTACAATAAACAATGAGTTTTTATAATTTTTCACTTATCTCATTAATATCAGATTGCACAGATGACTTAGAATCGTTTTATTTAATAATAAGAAAATAGTTGATAAGTAAATTTATCATGTCTATGACTTTTGGTCTAATTTCTTACAAAACTATTTACTCTCTGAAATCAAATAAAGTTTTTTCTATTATCTATCTTACTTCAGTTTCTAAGACATTTAAGCTTTCTTCAACATCACTATCTTATTTGATTGCAAAAAATTCATTATATGATTTAATAAATTTTTCGAATTTTCTATTAACTCGCTCATCCTCCTTCTCTTTTTCTTCTTTACTCTAATTTATTTTTTTAAGTTTGATTTCTTATTTTATTTGTTAAAGCTCATTTGGTTTCACAGGAATTACTTTTTATTTACTGCCACAAATACCTCCACCTAAAATTTTTTACTTCTATGTTTATTTCTACAAATTTTGACATTCAAACTAATTATTGGCTTTAAGTTTTAAGTATTATTTATCTTTTTAGAGTTTTAACACTTACAGTACTTTAAGCTAGTTATTACCACAATTTAAATTGGTAATATTTTATTAAGTTTCAGCATATTTATAGATTAATTCCTAAATAGAATTTTTCTTAGAAATCCTAGTTTCATGTGAATCAACTTTCATTTTATAGAAATGTGTTTAGATCAAATTTTGTTTTTATGTTTCGCATAATATGTTTTACCAATATTATACAAAGAATTTATTTGATATTTTATTGCTTTCCCTATTAAACTGATTTTTAACGGGGAAATAAAAACTCTTCTAGTTAGATAATTTATCATTAGCATTTGGAGTTTGATATGTTTTTTCTTCTAATAATTTATTTCTTATATTTTTGATTGGCTTTTCAATTTTTAATCTGAATTAAGATTAAGGAAAACTCAATTAATTTTCAACTATATGAATCAATTTTCTATTGAATTTGTTTATTTGATTTTTCATAATTAAATTATGTAAATTTTGCCTTTATATTTAATTTAAGGAAATTTTATTTAAATAATTTCCTTTGTTAATTTTATTATTTAAATATTCCCCTTTTTATTAATGCGTTTAGATTTTTAATGCTTGTTTTATTATTGAATTAAATTTGCAATTTTTTCCATGGTCTTATTGCTATTTTTATGACTTTTAATCTACAAAAAGCTCTAATGTTTCAATGCATTGTTGCTAAAATTCAATTTTCTCTCTTAAATATTCATTTTAATGATCCTAAAACGAATCGCAATTTGGTAAAGAAATGTGCTCAGCTTTATATTTTTCTTCTTTATTATTGGGATAGGAAGATTAACTTTTTGAATGTTAAAACTGTTTCTAAGGATTCTATTCATTTTGTGCTTTTGCTTGGTTGCTTATTTTACTCATTTCTACTAGTTTTTATATAAATAAACTAGATGGTTATCCTGAAGTTGTTTTTTCTTAATAAGATTGACAAATTTGATCTCTCAAGCTATTTAATAAAACTTTTTTTTAGATGAGCCCTCCATTTTAGAGGTATTTGTGAGCTAAAAATTCTTGATACTTTTCTACTCTTACTTTCATAATATGAGGATATTTTTTTTTTTGAATAAACTTCCTTAACTATTTTCTAATCTAACTCTTTTGAGATTAGCTTATCCCTTTGTAAGAAGAAAGATCTAAATATTTTTAAATTTCTTTGGGTAATATTTCGAAAAATAAATTCAGCTTTAATAAATGCTTGATAGTTTCATCATAATTAAATGTTTAAAGATGGCGAGAAATATGCCCACTTATAACTTCTTCTTACAACTAAATAAAAAGAATTTTTTTGAAACTCCTTTTGATTTTCTAGATATTTTTACTCTTTTTTTACTTTAAAATACATTTACTCATTTTATTTAAATTTTAAGCTCTTAATTATACTTATTTTACTCTCATTTTTCACTAATACTACTTATTCTACTTATTGTCTTTGTTTATTTTTTAATTATACCTAATCAGATAACTAATATATTAAATGTATGAAAACATCATAGAAATTTTTTTCAGTTATCTTTAATAAATTCACCAAAATTGCAATATTTTAAACAATTAAAAAATAAGAAAGTAGAATATAAAATGGTTAATTAATTCAAATAATATGAATCATCTAAACCTACTCTTTAACAATAAATTAAAATTTCAAAATATTAAAATAAATACAAACAAGTATGTATGCCTGTCACTCTTGATTTTCTTTACAATAAATCAAAGAGTTTTTATAATTTTTCGCTTATCGCGTTAACATCAGTTTGTACAGATGACTTAGAATCCTTTTATTTAATAATAAGAAAATAGTTAATAAGTTGAGTAAATTATCATATATATTACTTTAGGTCTAATTTCTTTCAAAACTATTTACTTTACTCTCTGAAATCATATATTTTTTATCTTACTTCAGTCATCGCTCTCTTCTTTGATGGTAAAAAATTCATTATATGATTTTAATTTTTCAAATTTTCTTTAAATTTAATATTATTCCTTCATTCTTTCTTAGCTTTAATTTTTTGTACTTTTGCTTTTGATTTCTTTTCTTATTAGTTAATACGAAACTGGATCCACAATAAATACCTTTTATTTACTGCAACAGATGATCTCCATCTAAAATTGTATTCCTCTATCTCAGCATATTTATACTAATTATGGCATTAAAGCTAATAATATCTTTAAATTTTAAGTATTAATTATATTTTTATAGTTATAATGCTGATAATAATTTAAGCAACTTATTATTAGAATTTAGATAGCTGATATTTTATTAAGTTTCAACATATTTATTGCTAAATAGAAGTTTTATTTTCATGTGAATTAACTTTCATTTTATAGCAATGTATTTAGATCAAATTTTGATTTGAATTCTAGATTAAAATGTTTTAGCAAAATTATACAATGAATTTATTTGATATTCTATTGCTTTACCTATTAAATTCATTTTTAGCTGAGAAATAACAATTCCTCTTGGTTCTTAACTTATTGTTTGCATTTAGGGTTTTCTTCTAATAATTTATTTCCTCCATAATTGATTAGCTTTTCAATTTTGAATCTGAATTAAGGAAAACAGAATCAATTTTCAACTATTCGAACTAATTTTCGATTGAATATTGTTTATTTGATTTTTGATTATTAAATTAAGCAAATTTTGATTTAAAATCTAAGTTAAGGTAATTTTAATTAAATAATTTCCTTGGTTAGTATTATTAATTAAATAATTCCCTTTTTTAGTGTTATTATTTAAATATTTTCCTTCCTATTAATACGTTTAGATTTTTAATATTACTTTTACATTGAATAATATTTGTAATTGTTTTCATGTTCTTATTACTATTTTTATGACTTTTAATTGATAAAAAGCTCTAATCTTTGCATGCATTATTGCTAACATTCAATTTTCTCTCTTAAATATTACTTTGAGTCATTCTAAAACAAATCGCAATTCGTCAAATAAATCCGCTCAGCTTTAAATTTTTTTCTTTACCATTGGGATATGAAGCTTAACATTTTGAAAAACTATTTCTAAGGATTCTTTCTATTCATTTTGTATTTGTTGGTTGCTTATCTCTCTCTTTTCTAATAGTTTTTATTGAAATAAACGAGATGGTTATCCTGAAGTTGTCTTTTCTAAATAAGATTACCAAATTTTATCTCTCAATCTATTTAATAAAACTCTTTTTTAAATTCACCATCCATTTTTAGAAGTATTTGTGAGCAAAATATTCTTAATACATTTCGACTATATCTTCACTAATATGAGGAGATATTTTTTTGAATAAACCTCCTTAACTGCTTTCTAATCTAACTAACTCCTTTGGATGGGTGAGCTTGTCTCTTGGTAAGAAGAAAGATATAATATTTTTAAATATCTTTAGATAATATATCTATCTACGAATAAATTCAGCTTTAATAAATGCTTAATAGTTTCATCATAATTAAATGCTTGAAGATGCTGAGAAATATGCCCTCTTATAACTTCTTCTTACGCTTAAACAAAAGGAATTTCTTTGTAACTATATATGGTCTTCAACACATTTGCTCTCTTTTTTTACTTTAAATTATGTTTACTCTATTTATTAAACTTTTAGCTTTAATCTTACTTATTTTACTCTCATTTTTTTTCCTAATACTACTTTTTCTACTTATTGTCTTTGATTATTAATTCAATGAAATCTCTCAGTTATCTTTATTAAGTTCATCAAAATTGCATTTGGAAAAGAAATGAAAGAAAAATTATTTTATTTTA